AACAAATGAAAGTGGAAACTTGTGATGAATTGGTTGAGACTAGCAGTGACAAGTCAATAACTAATCAATATTACCAACCTAGTCGATTCTAGGATTGGTTAAGATATAATCGATTTAATAAGATTAGCAGTGGCAAATCTTAAACATTAATTATAAAAAAACAATAGAGGTGCAAAGCTTGAGGTTCGAACATGGCGTGATAGATGAAATGGAGGCAAAAGCTTTATAGTTAAATTTGACACATGGTACAAAGTATGAACTGAAACTAATTACAATGACTGCCTGTTACTACTAACAACAAAAAGTTTGAAGTTTGAACACCATTTCAAACTGGGCCGACTCATCAATTGAAGTCATTGGGCTCCTTTTCTTCTCCTCTCTTTGAGCCCAAACCAGATCACATACCTGCAAAATGAAAAAGAAAGCGATCATGATACAACCAAAACAGAGCCCAATTCGGCCCAAAACAGAGCCCAATTCGGCCCAAAACAGAACCCAGGTTCAGGACTAGACCAAGCCCTGGTACCGGCCCAAACGAATTCAAGGCCCAACTCGGCCCAATCTTATCCAAGCAGTTAGTCAGCACCTTTGTAGGTGGAGGCCTCAGAAGCAGCCTTGGGAACCAACCAATCAGAGAGAAGCATGTCATGCTCATCATCAATCATAGACTAAGCAAGGTGGAGGCCTCAGAAGCAGCCTTGAGAACCAACCAATCAAAGAGAAGCACGTCATGCTCATCATCAATCACAGCATGACACGTGGCATGCAATTCTTGCTATAAATGAGCTCTTTGGGCTCTGTGTTGAGGGGAGGACAGATTGGAAGAAGAAAGACAGAGAAATAGAAACATACACAATACAAAGGGATCGTTTTTTGTTCTTGTCCTTTGGCCGAAGTTCAGTGGGGAAACTGTGAAATTGAAGGAGCAGATTTGAAGATCGTTGTAGGGAAAGGCCATTCTTAGGCCTTGATCCAGGTTGGTACTTGTATCAACTTCATTTTGTCAAATTATACAGTCGTTATGACGTTATACAATCATCCATCTATTTGCATATTTATACTCTTTGAGTATTTTCCAATACAAGCTATGTGATGGTCAAATATTATTTACTCAGATCTGCTCTTATCAATTTCATTAAGCTCTATCATCAAAGTTTCTTTTCATTCCCATATTAATAGTTTTGGCTGTGCGATTACTATTATGCCGATTAACTTAACTATGACTAGAGTTGGATGTTTTGGTTTAAACTCTTTTTGCCATGTTTAGATTTCCCGCATTAGTAGCCGTACATACACATACATATATATATATATATATATATATATATATATATATATATATATTAAAGTAAAACTAGATATAGCACATTTTTTTTTACAATCAAAACAAACTTTTTAAGAGGTCCTTGGATGAACCTGGATCCAAATCCAACAAAAATCAATCAAGCACCATAAGTTTTAGAGTTTAAAACCCATACCAATTTCGACAAAATCATAAGCAGTAGCAATGATTTATAGCACTCAGTAAAGCAAAATCACGGGCAGAGGCAGCGATTTATAATCGCCAAAATTATCAATTTTAGGGCCGTTTAATTACTTAAACCATTACAAAAACTTCTTTTTCGTTTTAGCAAATTCCAACATATCAAGATTTGCATCTAAATTCATCCACCAAACACCAAAATTATCGAACTCATACATAACCATTTTTGGTGAAAACCCAAAACTTCAATCAGATTCAACCCATTTTTTTGTTCAAGTTCCAAAATCTTACTAAGTCAGGTTTAGCAAATCTTACCCAGATCTGTAAATCTCCACACCTGCACCAAAATAAATCAACAGTTAGAAATTGGAATCGATTAAGCAGGCATCAAACGAAATTAAAAAGGAGCCACCACTGCTCACCTACTCCCCCTGTCGCCGGCGTTTCTCAACGACGGCGAATACCCTTCTCCTTCGGTCAACCTTTTTTTTCTTCTCCCTCGTCCGAGACCAAACCCCAATAAAAAATAAAAAATAAATAAATATCAGAACCTCAAATCAACAATAAAAAAACACGAATAGCAAAAAAAGAAACTACCTAAGCCAACATCGCCGTCGCCCCGACGCAGGCCGCGCCGCCGACAACCTTCCCCTCCTTATCAAAAATCCGAAATCAAAAAGAGGTTAGAATCGCATTAAATCCCAAATAAAATCACCTAAACCGAAAGAAAAAGGCTTTGCATGTCGAGAATCTTACCTGGATTCGTCTATTTCCGATCGACCTAGGAAGACTATAGTCGTCTTTTTGCCTGAATCGAAAGAGGAGCCCTTCGTCATCTTCTGTCGTTCGCCCTTCCCCTCCACCAAAAACCAAAAATAAAACAAAATCCATGATCAGAAGCCATAAAACGAAAATGAAACCGGCAAATAACCCAAATCGACATGCAAACAAAGAAAACGAACCTTTAATCCCGCCTTTTTCGTCGCCCGGGCTCCCCTTCCTCGTTTTCTTTGTCGGTACCAGAAATACAGAGAGAGAGAGAGAGAAGGAAGAAGGAGAGGGCGGCGGTGATAGATGGTGGTTAGGGTTTCGGTTTTCTCTATGGGTGAGAGAGAGGCGGCTGGTTCATTCGGCTAGGGTTTCGTTTTTTTAGAGTGGAGAGGAGGAAGCGAGAGGAAGAAGAAGATGAGAGAGTGGCAAGGGTTAGAGCGGCGGCCAAAATGGTGATTAGGGTTCGTTTTTTGCTTATATACTTTTCCAATTGACTAAAATGCCCCTAGGGTTTATTGTTAATTACGCGGCCGTGCCACCGTCCTTTTGTGAGCTTACCAAATTGCCCTTCCCCCTTCTCTGCTCTAAAACGAGATAAACAAAAAATTTGTAGTTAGCGCGTTTCGAACCCTTGTTCCCTCGGTCAAACGCGAATTTGGTCTAGCGTTTTAGCCAGTTGGGCTGCTGGCCCTCATGCGTCAATATTATAATCTCGTATAGTTTTATTCATTTAAAGTCATTAATACAAAATGTAGAATTGCGGATTAAGTATATCTCGTTTCTTTTCTAATACATCAAAACTCCTCTTAATAATTGAAATTATTACATTATCTTTTTATAATTTCATAATACCAACCTAAATTTTACTAACAATAAATTTTGATACGAGAACCACGAGCAGTTGAATGTGGTAATAATATTATTTAAAATTATCAAAGTCTAGCGAACTACGTGGACTTTGATCCCGTCTTACGGGTACGTAGGCAACCGATAAGGTTCGAGTCCAATTAATCAACTAACTTTATCTTTAAATTTTTACGTCAGTGGGCGTATAATTAAATTACAACTAATATGATTAAATCATTAAATGGTCCAGTGGGACCCCTAAAATTACAAATTATTACTAAAATACACCCAACTCGTATAAAACTTATCGACTTAAGTAGTACCGATTTAGGGCGTTGTGGGGGTGTTGCTTAACTTCCCTACACGTAACCGTACTCCCGAACTCAGAACTTCATTTTCGCAGACCATATCTCGGTTCTGACCCTAAGGTTAGAGCCGATCCTAAGAGTGTTCGATCCACTCCAACTAAGATCGATGGCGACTCCCAAAAATGCCGATGCGACGACATTCGGACCCCCGGACGGGACGGTTGCGACAAACGGCCCCCAATCCTTTCTTTGTGTCTAAACATGAGTCTTCCTTGTGTCGTGGAGCTCTCACTTTTGAGTTCCATAGAGGTTCTACATAGGAGGTTTGTGTGCGTTTCTTGCTAGGAATGAAAAATGAAGTGTAGTGTTAAAGTGAGTTCTTGAAAAGAGAGCATTGGTCGCTAAATATATAGGTGGCAAAGGTTTTACTCTCTAGTGCCCCCCTCAGAAAGAAAACGAAAAGAAAAAGAAAAGAAAAGAGAAACGAAAAAGACATAATAAAACGAGCTAAATAAAGTAGAGAGAGTGTCACGGAAAACCAAAGTTTATTCTCTAGGGGGGTTTCTTGACACTCAAGCCATTGAAACCCCCCACATTGTTTTAGAATTCCTTTGGTTGATGCTAGTAGCCTTTGGTTGAAGAGAAGGGTTCTAGTAGGAACCATAGAACCTTCGAGTTTAGGTCGAAGAAGTAGAACCTCACATCATGATTGCCACCACCCAAAAAAGCCTTTTCCCCATGTCCAAGACAATTTCCAGTCATGTGAACCCGTGTCTAAGAACTCCAGACAAGCTAGTGATGACAACCATCCCGTGAACTCTAGCATTTAGAGGTTACCGCCATGGTATTGAGACGATAGGGCCGAGTATTGATGATTGTGCACATCTTTTGCACCAAAAAGGTCCCGACCCCACTAGTATTGAGAGTGAGTGATTCATTCTTGTTTTGCATGCCATATCATACCTAGATGAGGACCTTTATTTCCTTTCCATTTGTTCCTCGGACTTGAATTCTATCCATGGTTAGTTGTGGTTGATAAGTGGTCTTGTTGAGACTTGCATTGATCCATGAACAAGGTTAGAACTTTTTGTTTGCCCACTTTTGGTGGCCTCGAATGTCGTTTGTGGTGGATGTCGGTATTGCTTTCAACGATCCATGCATTAATTTCTAATAGCCATTGAGAATTCCCACTTTGTGCCCTTTGAGTTGTCCTCAAAGTATGTTTGTAGGATGAAATATTACCTTGTCTGAAATGGTTTGCTTAGGGACAAGCAAAACGTCTAAGTGTGATGGAGTGATTCAGGCCTAATTGTACATATTTTACCCCCATTTTCCTTAGCCATTGGTGGCAATTGTGCTCCTAAAAGGGTGGTTTCACGCGAGGTTTCTTGCGTTTTGGCATGTTTCAGGATCTAACAGGTGAAACCAGCCCCGGAGTCGAAAGTTGGACGAAAAGGAGCGAAAACCGAGAGAAGAGCTGAAAAGAAGACGGTTCACGACTTTCCTTGGATGTTCACGGTCTGCTTAGACCGTGAAGAGGAGCTGTTTCCCGTGAACATCAAGGCGTCCGGGGCCAAATCTCAAGTTACTAACGCTAATTAAGTTCACGGTCACTAAGACCGTGAACTGAAGTTGTTGCCCGTGAACTCGTGCAAGCGAAGCGGTGCGTTTCGACGCCCATCTTGAGTTCACGGACGCGTTTCAGAGTTCACGGCCGTGAACTGAACATGATCCCTGTTTAAAAGAAGAGCTGAAAGGAATAGAGAAAGGAGAGCCCAAAGAGTGAGAAAGTCTTCTTCTTCAGATTTTAGAGAGAGAAAGACGAACCAAAGGATAACGAGGCTAGGGTTTTGCTCCAAGAGTGGATTTGGGAAGATTCTCCCCAAGAGAAGTTCAACACAAGTGTAAAGAAGATTGGAAGCCTCTCCATGATGGTTTCTACCACTTCCCCTTGTGTTTCTCCCATTTCTAGCATGGAGTAGATTTCTTTTTCACTTGGGTGTTGTGAAACCCTAACTATCTACCATGTAGTTTTTGTTATGTGAATTGAATGATTGTGTATGGGTGTTGTTTAATACAATGATTGAGGTATTATTCATGTTGATTGTGCATGTTTATGCTTAGCAATCTAATTGGGCAATTTAACCTAGACTAGAGAGGGAAAACCCCCTTTCAAGGGAGGCTCAATGGAGTTGGTATTCCTAGGGATTTTTTAAGTCGCATATCTAGGTTAATTTAGGTCAAACCTCGAAGTTGGATTAAGAAATTTGGTTAAGCGCGATTAAGCTGACCAACCTTTTGGATTGAGTGAGGGAGTAAGTCAACCATCGATTACCTAAACTGAGAGGGTCGAGTGAAAGCCTATAATGTATCCCTCGGTTTGGCAATCGAAAGTGTGTTCTATGACCACATTTGCGTCCCCTAGCGGTTCGCGGTCACCTTGCCCATATCAATCGTTTCGATTCACATACCATGGTAGTAGTTAGGGGAAGCGACACCCGAGTGATCCTTCTCATAAAGAGCTTTCAAAACCATTTACTTTTACCTTGATTTACTTTAATTAGAAAACTTTTCAACCAAAACCGAGTCGCTAGATAATGATTCAAATTACCGATGTAGGGGTACACGGACCGGCCCGAGTCGATATTTAAACATACTTGCCTTGTACTGCACCCGAGTAAGGTTTATACTTGGACCTTAGGCAGGAATTATTTGTGGTATTCGGAACGAGTTAGTTTTCCCTACATTAACCTAGATAGATGGCTTAGAAAGCCCTAGGAATCCCAACTCAATTGAGCCTCCCTTGAAGGGGGGTCTTCCCTCTCTAATCTAGGTTAAAATGGCCAATTAGATTGCTAAGCACAAACATGCACAATCAACCTGAAAAATACCTCAATCATTGAATTAAACAACACCCATAAACAATCATTCAATTCACAAAACAAAAACTACATGGTAGATACTTAGGGTTTCACAACACCCAAGTGAAAAAGGAAACTACTCCATGCTAGAAAGGGGAGAAACACAAGAGGAAGAGGTAGAAACCATCACTAAGATGCTTCCAATCTTCTTTGAACTTGTGCTGAACTTCTCTTGGGGAGAATCTTCCCAATTCACCACTTGGAGCAAACCCTAGCCTTCTTTCTTCCTTGGTTTGTTCTTTCTCTCTCTAAAATATGAAGAAGGCACTTTATCACTCTTGGGCTCTCCCTTCTCTCTTCCTTTCAGCTCTCATTTTAAACAGGGATCATGCTCAGTTCACGTCCTAGGTTCACGGTCGTGAACTCAAGTTTGGCGTCGAAACGCACTGCTTCGCTTACACAGGTTCACGAGCAACAACTCCAGTTCACGGTCATAGTGACCGTGAACTCACCTCGCGTTAGTAACTTAAGATTTGGCCCTGGACGCCTTGGTGTTCACAGGCAAGAGATCCTCTTCACGATCTTAGTAGACCGTGAACATCCAAGAGAAACTGTGAACTGCCAGTTTTTCACCTCTTCTCCAGGTTTTCGCTCATTTTAGTCACACTTTCGACTCTGGGGCTAGTTTCACCTGTTAAATCCTAAAACATGCTAAAACACAAGAAACCTCGCGTAAAACCACCCGGTTAGGAGCACAATTGCCACAAACGCCTAAGGAAAACGAGGGCAAAATATGTACAATTAGGCCCGAATCATAGCCCCAATCGATGGACAATGTTGAGAAATGGAAACGGATATGGAATCTGGACATCCCCCTAAGCTCAAGTTATTTATTTGGAGATGTGACAGGAACAACCTGGCAACAAAATAGAGACTCTTACATAGGAAATGCTCCCCCAACTCTACGTGCCAAGTGTGCCAATGCCTCCACTAAGTCCCTCTTTTATTGCCTTTTTTTGTGTCCCCGCGCTAGGGTTTCATGGAACATTGTTTTTCCAAACCTTCCACTGCGCCTCATACTGTTGCTTTCCTTGATTGGTTGTTCTCCATCAAGGATTCTATCCATCCAGGAGCCCTGAATCATGTTCTATTCCTCTGTTGGAATATTTGGAAGGCTAGAAATGATGTGTTTTCAAAAATCGGATCCCTTGGCATCCGAATGTGATTTTGCAAACTTACAAGGAGTTCATTGAATGTACAACTTGCCTGAGGAGCCCCCCACCGATTGTCCTTTACTCAGCTAGGTGAACCCACTCACTCATTTCCCCTTCGCCAAGCAATCATAAATTGGTGATTCACTGTGATGGGTAGTTCTTAAGAGACTCCCAGTCGACGACATATGGTGTTGTGCTCATTAACCACTATGGACAAGTTTGTGATGGGCAACCTGACACTCTCCTTTGTTCCACCCCTCTCGAAGCCGAAACAAAAGCTCTTTTGAAAGGTCTCAACTCTCAAATTAGCTCAAGACTGTTAGGTGCTAGGTAAAACTCTTGATCAAGATCCTCGAAGTTGGCCATAGCGGAGGATCCGCCTGGATTGGATCAATGATCTTAATCCTTCGAGCGAATCCCCAAGTGAAAGTCAAGGCAGTTTCACGTAAATACAATATTAGAACTGATTGGATTGCAATATCACTTGCTAGATCTTCTCTCCCAGTTAACTAAATTAGTATTCTTGACTTAGGACTTGTTTGCTTGTTGGATTTGAAAATGAAGGTTTTTAGTTTGGATTTATGATGGATTTGTTTCATTTGGTATTTGAAAGATAACATTGTTTGTTTAGTTGATTTTGATCATGGATTTAAAGATTTTTGTACCATGGGTCTCAACTCCTTGCCTTCAATGACCAAATACCAAAGGAAATGTGGTATTTGCAAATACGTGGGGTCCACGAATTTGGGGCTAAAAAAATTGTCCAAATTCGTAGGCCCCACGGATTTGTATGCCTCAACAAATAATGTTTTTATATCAAATAAGTAATTTATGATTTCCTTTGATAAGTGTAATATTGTTTTCTCGAGTTGGAAGTGGAATAAAAGATTAATTTTACTGTAAAAAATAAATATTCTCAGTGTATATGTATCCTGTAGAATACAACATTTTTTGACTTGATATAATAACAGAATGCATGTATTCAAAATACATTATGTATTCCTAATACATAGAAAATGATATATAGTGAATCTTACATTTTTATGAAATTTACTGATTTAGTATACATAATTCATTTAAACTATAATCCATACATTCTTTAATACATCATTTTTTTTTTCCTTTTTCAAAAGCAAAGGTTCCAAACGACCGCTAAAGAACGAGAGAGGATGTGCATAGATTCATGACTAGATAGTGTGATAACACCCCTTGTGTTGTTATTTGTACAACACTAACCTCCAACCAATAGGAAGCTAGGGTTGTGATAACTTTTTATTAGCTAAGTTGACCTAGTGTAAAATCAAAGCAGGGGTATAATTGTCATTATGAAAAATATTTTTAAATCATAATAAAAAATTAAAATATTTTTTTTATTTTCTGCCCAAAATTTTGGTCTCCGAAATTCGGCCACCGGTCACTGGAAACTGGTTGCCGGTCACCGGAATATGTTTTTTGTCGCCGGAATATGCCTTTTGTCGTCGGAATATGCTTACCGGCGTTGGAATCTAGTCATCGGGGCCGGAATATGCTTATCGGCGCTAGAATGTACTCACTGATGGTCATCAGAGTTTGGTCAACGATTTTCGTTGACCAGCCAACGCTCAACGACCACCGGATGTAATGGTTTGCATTGTAAGATTTATGGTTTGGTTTCTCATATTTTTGTATGCCTTTTGTGGTTTGCTTTATCGTGTTTGTGGTTTGCATTAAGAAGTGTCTGGTTTGCTTTCAAAAAATTTGTGGTTTGCATTGTGAGGTTTCTGGTTTGTTTGAATGTATTTGTGGTTTGCATTAGAAGGTTTCTGGTGTGCTTTTTAAACTTTTGTAGTTTGCATTGCAAGGTATCTGGTGTGCTTTTGAAACTTTTGTGGTTTGCTTTGCAAAGTTTGTTTTAATAGATTTGTGGTTTGCATTAGAAGGTTTTTGGTAGCTTTTGAAAATTTTGTGGTTTGGTTTGTGAGGTTTCTGGTTTGTTTTAATAGATTTGTGTTCTGCATTAGGAAGAATCTGGTTGTTTTATGTGGTTTGCTTTGTCGTGTTTGGGGTTTGCATTATGTAGTTTTTGGTGTGCTTTTGAAAATTTTATGGTTTGCTTTGTTAGATTTCTGGTATGTTTTATCACATTTATGATTTGTATTAGGAGGTTTCTAGTGTGCTTTAGAATGTTTGTGCTTTTTGTGCATGACTGTTGTCTGAGGGTGAAGATTTGTGGACCTTGATGCAACTTTTATGTGGTTGTTAAATTACTTTGTAATGTTTATTTAATTTGTGTACCAATTAGTGTTTTACCGTTGCTATAAAGTCTGAATCTGTAATTGAATGATGTAATTTTCCAGTTGATGATATCCACGTGCTCTCATTCTTCCTCAGCTCTGCAAACCAGGGGTGGCAGAAGGGTTTCCGGTTAGCAGTTAACTGGACGATTTCAACCAAACCGGCTGGTTTTCGGCTAACTGAAAAACCGTTTCTGCTTGCATCGGTCGATTGGCCGTGGAGATGGGAAGAGGTTCGGCTAGCCGACTAACCGGGGTCAGAAACCGGCGGTTAACCGGCTAACCGACCCCTTCCCTTTCCCCAAAACGACCCCGATTCAATCCTCCTCCTCCCTAACCCTAAGTCGACTCCCTCCTCCTCCCAAAGAATTCGACCTTCGCCGCTCAACCCTTCCGCCGAGCCCTCCTTGGTCCGCTCTCTCTTGATGTTCACCCTCGCCGAGGCGGATTGCGTCGGGATCGCTTACGATCCGTCCAAGGTCGGATTCCTAGCGAATTTGTTGTTCCATTCATCGATCGAGGCGCGGGTGAATTCCACGGCGATGGTCGAGATGGTCGTCGTCTGGACGCGGTGCTCGGATCTGAGACCGGTGGTGAGCTGGGTGGAGGAGATCCTCGAGGGAGATGTGGAGATGATGCGAAATTCGATCCCCTACCCGCGGGCTCTGAAGATCGGGATCAAGGCGATGTTCGCGCTGTGCCTGGCAAAGCAGACGAGGCACAAGGCGGTGAGCGCGGGCGCGGGGAAGACGCTGGTGGACAGGCTGCCCGATTTCGACAAGTGCGACGCGGAGCGCGCCCTGGCGACGGTGGAGCTTCTTTGCGCGTCCCCTCTGGATGCGAGGCGCTTGCGGATCACGCACTCACCGTTCCGCTCCTGGTGAAGACGATACTCAAGATCTCGGACAGGGCGACGGAGTACGCCGCCGGGGCGCTGCTAGCGCTGTGCTCGGCGTCAGAGATTTTCCAGGCGGCGCTGCTGGCGCTGTGCTCGGCGTCGGAGATTTGCCAGGTGGAGACTACTACCATTTCTCCTCCCTCGCCCTCTTTGTTTGCTTCGTGTTGGGATGAGAAATGGTGGAGGAAGGAGAGAAGAAGTGGTTTGGTGGGTGTGAAATGGTGGAGGAAGGAAGGAGAGAGAAGAGAAGTGGTCTGGTGGAGGAAGGAAGGAGAGAGGAGGAGATAAGCATTGAGATGAGTGGTGCAGATTTTTTGTTTTTTTTTTTATTATTATTTTTTTGTTTTTAGAAAAGCTAGTTTTCCGGTTGGCCGGCTACGCGAGGCTAAACCCAAAACCGACCTATCGGTTGGCCGGCTAACCGTGACCTCTCTCACGGTCGGTGGTCGGCAGCTATAGGGGGTGGCTCGGTTTAACCGATAACCGGGTTTTCGGTTAAACCGAAACCGACTGACTGCCATCCCTACTGCAAACAACCTTCTTCCTCCTTCCTCTGCAATTTGTTCGATCAAGACCTCCAACAAGAAACTCTTTTAACCTAACCAATATAACTTGTTATGATCCAGAAGAAGAAGGCTTATAGTCAAATTCGGGGCAAGCAACTTCACAATCTAGAACTTTTTTGAGAAATTTATGATAAAGACGGAGCAATGGACAAACTTCTTCAGGAAGACGCTATATTCCACGGTGGATTGACGAAGCGGAGAGAATGGCGGCGGCCTCGCGAGGAACATGCAAGGCAAACCGGAGAAGAAGAAATCTCCTCCGTTGTCTCTGGCGATTCGGATTCCACTCCGTGTAAAAGTCGGCGGTAGCGGTGGAGCTCTGATGCAAAACGACGCGACGTGGGTTGCCGGACCTGCGCCGACTACGCCCGTTCCCAACTTTCCTCCAGCGCGGACATCGTCCTCAACCACGTCTTCCTCCAGCACAACGCCACCGACCGACGAGGGTGCCAGCAGGTCAAGCTCTTCATCAACAAGTTCAACGCCTCCCACGTGGCATACACGAGCGCCAACGAGATCTACTTCAGCGCCGACTTCATCGAGACCTACTCGGGCCTAGACCTCAAGAGGGAGTTCTCTAGCATGCTATACAGGGAGAAGGTGCACGTGTGGCTGTGATTGAAAATTTATTTTTTAATTTTAATTAGTTATTTTGTGCTAGTTTATCCTTTTACCCTTAATGAATCTTGTGGTTAGTATAACAAGGGGACTAGATAGTGTGACAACACCCCTTGTGTTGTTATTGTAACAACACTAGTCTCCAACCAATAAGAAGCTAGGATTGTGATTACTTTTTATTAGATGAGTTGACCTAGTGTAAAATCAAAGCAGGGGTATAATTGTCATTATGAAAAATATTTTTAAATAATAATTAAAATAATAAAAAATATTTTTTAATCTTCGGCCCAAAATTTTGGTCGCTGGAATCTGGTCGTGGTCACCGGAATATGTTTTTTTTGTCATCGGAATATGTTATTTTGTCATCGGAATATGCTCACCATCGCTGGAATATGCTCATCGTGGTCGGAATATGCTTACCGGCGTCGGAATCTAGTCATCGGGACCGGAATATGCCTATCGGCGCCGGAATCCGGTCACTGACGGTCTTCGGAGTTTGGTCAACGAACTCTGTTGACCGATCAACGGTCTTTGTTGACCGGTCAACAGCCAACGGCCACCGGATGTTATGGTCTGCTTTGTGAGATTTATGGTTTGGTTTCTCATATTTTTGTATGTCTTTTGTGGTTTGCTTTATCGTGTTTGTGGTTTGCATTAAGAAGTTTCTGGTTTGCTTTCAAAAATTTTGTGGTTTGCATTGTGAGGTTTCTGGTTTGTTTGAATATATTTGTGATTTGCATTAGAAGGTTTCTGGTGTGCTTTTGAAACTTTTGTGGTTTGCTTTGCAAGGTTTCTGGTTTGTTTTAATATATTTATGGTTTGCATTAGAAGGTTTCTGGTGTGCTTTTGAAACTTTTGTAGTTTGCATTTAGAAGTTTCTGGTTTGCTTTCAAAAATTTATTGGTTTACATTGTGAGGTTTCTGGTTTGTTTTAATATATTTGTGGCCTGCATTAGGACGTTTCCGGTTTGCTTTTTGGTAGTTTGATTTACTGTGTTTGTGGTTTGTATTAGGAGGTTTCTGGTGTGCTTTCGAAAATGTTGTGGTTTGCTTTGTGAGGTTTCTGGTTTGTTTTAATATATTTGTGGTCTGCATTAGGACGTTTATGGTTTGTTTTTTGTGGTTTGATTTACTGTGTTTGTGGTTTGCATTAGGAGGTTTCTGGTGTGCTTTCGCAAATGTTGTGGTTTGCTTTGTGAGGTTTGTGGTATGCTTCTATAAATTTATGGTATGCATTAAAAGATTTATGGTGTGTTTTAGAAACATATTTGTGGTGTTTCATGTTTTCTTAGCGAGATTTGTGGTCTGCCATGTATTATCATCCCAATATGCTTATCACCAACAATATGCATTCATATACAAAATCATCATCCCCAACCTAAAGCAACAACTAATACATATAAACAGGGGGACTTGTCGAGCTCGACAACAACAATTTGGGTTCAACCAACAACAAGAATTTCGAAACGAGTAACAATGTCAAATTAGTAAATGGAAAGAGTAGAATCAACACATTGAAGCTAAAAGAATCACTAGTCAACATAGACTTACAAGCACTCGAAGGTAAGAGGCAAAAAAAGCCAGCATTCAATCTATAATTCCAATACAACCAAAGACCATTGAAGACTAATCCGACTCAGCATTGCATACTATTTCAGCAAGTAAAAATGGCATATAATTCCATTACTTGAGGATGAATGTTGAGAAATTCCGGCCCTTTAAAAATGCGGTTTCTACTTCCGCCATCATCGTCTCTCTGGTTTTGCCCCACTGTGCTTACCACCGGAGCTCTATTGTAGCTGGACCATCTCCTTCGATTTCAACTTCTCCGTTGACGTTAGAGGATTTGGTCTCCGTTTAACCAACTCTCCTCGTTTCTCACCTCCAGGTCGTTTGAATGCGTAGATCCAAGGATAAAAAATGAGATCGTCGTCGTTGTGGTTGAGGTGGCATAGGTCGACGGTGCTGGCGCAGATAATAATGGCGATTGGCACGATGGCGGAGGTGGAAGAAGAGGAAGAGGCGGGGAAAAGACTCGATTTCAAAGCGTCCATGTCTTAAAAATCATATATCTGGCATTTCTGATGGTATCTCCGGAAGGGAGTCACCGTCTCAAGGGAAGGCGCTGGCTAGTGCCATCACCGGAAAATTTGCCAGATCGGATTGCTTAACCCCCAATGCCGCTGCCGCGGGTCTCCTCCGCTTCCTCAACCTCATCCTCCGCCGAGCCCGACTTGGCCACGGTCTACGCCTCCCAAGGCTTCTTCTTCTCCTCCCCCGGCCGCTCCAACTCCATCGTCGATTCCTCCTCCGCCGACCTCAACAAATCCATGGTTGCTGTTACTCTGCTGATGGCGACACAGTGACGATTTGTTGAAATTCGTCAGGAAGATTGGTGAAGGAGATGAACCACTCCTATTGTTCGACGCCTGGGATGGTTGATTCGCGATTCGAGTGACGATGGAGAGACGACGGAGTTGAAATGCCGATGAGGGTTTTGATTTTTCAAGGAAAACCGGCAGGGGAGAAGAAGAAACGAGACCCATCGGAAGTGTGAAGGAGACGACGCCTGTGGTTCAGAGCGAACGGGAAAATACGTAGGGTAATTTTTATTTATTATTTTTATTGTTAATTTACCCTTTTACCCTTAATGAATCCTATTGTTATTATAACAACAAAAAGAGTGTTGTTATACTATCCGGAGACTATAACAAGAGTATACCTGGCAAATTACAACCCGACCCGAAACCGCCCAAAAACTAGAAATTTTGTAACCCGAACCCGATAACCCATGTTTTTTTGGGTCAGGTTGGGTGGGTTAGCGGGTCGACCCGTTAGACCCGTTCCATTTTATATATCACTCCCAAAATGATAAAATCACTCATAAATTGGTGAGATATTTAAAAAAAATCACAAAAATTTGAATGATATGTTTTGGAGTTTAAGGATAATCAAATATCATGTGTTTCTTGTAGTAGTATTACTCTTGTGATTGTTTTTTGACGATTTGTGCAATTTGTATTTCATTTCATTAGCGTGGGAAGATTTGAGAATATGTTAATTGACATGTGTTAGGTAAACTATTGTCATGCATATGTGAAAGTTTGTGTTCTGTAAGAAAATATGAAACATGTTTGATATTGTTTCTGAGAACGCTCATAACCCGAAATGACCTGTAACCCAACCGAAACCAAATGGGTTGGGTCAATATTTGACCCGATCAGCCAACCAAACATGACCCAACCCGTAACCAAAGTCCCCAACCCGAAATTACCCAACCCGACCCGATTGCCAGGTCTAAACAAGAGTGTTGTTATACTATCTGCTACCCTAGATTCCTTTCGAGTAGGGGCCTATGTTAAACCGGTTAATTTTCTGAAAAGAGCGGTAACGTTGATCAAACGGTGCGCCGAAGTTAATCTGCTAACTGCTCAAAGTGTTAGCAGATACTAACAGGGCTTGATTTTGGGCCACGTCGGCGAAGTCTTCATCCAACGGAGGGGAGAGGCGGTGTGGTGGTGGCTCACTTAAGTGAGCTGTAGGTGGGCCAACGTGTAGAAGCTGGCCCAGCATGCGGCGGCGGCGGCGGATCCGAGCAAGTGGCGTGGTGGGCTTGTGGGCCCGGCTTGAGTTTGGGCGGGAGAATGGACAGGAGTGGAAAGAGAACGAAAATTAATGGGCCCCCTTTGATATTTATGTATGTTTGTTTGTGTGGATATTTATTTGTTTTCAGTCGATATTATTTTCTGTTGTGTTGAATTGAAATATTTTGTTTTACATCAAATTAAACACACTATCAAGTCTTACACACTATCAAGTCCTAACACATAAGGCTTGCAACCTTAGTTAGGGCTGCCCGCCGAGGGCCCATTAAATAATAATAGTTTTTATTGTTTATAGTTTATTTTTACGGTTTATGGTATAGGTTTGGTTTAGGGTTTAGGGTTTAGGGATTACGGTATAGAGCTTAGGGTTAAGGTTTCAACAATAGGGTTTGGGTTATCTTTTAGCATATAAGGTTTAGTCTGGTCAGTATGAATATCTATTCTTTCCTGATTATATTGTTTTTAGAGTTTATTTAGTAGTGTTCATTGCTTAGGGTTCGGGGTTAGGGTTTCTTGTTTCAATGTTTCTTGTTTTATTTTAGATATTTGTGTGTAACCTTTGAATATTCTTGGCTTGGGCAAACAATAATAGTTTTATTTTTTTAGCGTTTAGTGATTAGGGCTTTAGAGTTTAGAGTTTAGGGTTTAGGGTTTAGGGTATTTGGTGTGTTGTGGATACTTGACTTTCGTAGTTGTAATACTTTTTACTAAACACATGATATTTATTTAAAACATTCTGATATTTTCCGGGCTGTGTGGATATTTATTTGAATCTGAGGAAATATTCCTTTAGTTCATGTGTTTAGATATTTGTGTGGAACCTTTGAATATTCTCGGCTTGGGCAAACAATAATAGTTTTATTTTTTTAGTGTTTAGTGATTAGGGCTTTAGAGTTTAGAGTTTAGGGTTAGGGTACAAATATAAGATATTAGTTGGTGTGTTATGGATACTTGTCTTTCATAGTTGTAATACTTTTTACAAACAATAGGATATTTATTGATAATATTTTGATATTTTTCCGGCTTGTGTGGATATTTATTTGAACTTGAGGAAATATTCCTTTAGTTCATGTGTTTAGATATTTGTGTGTAACCTTTGAATATTCTCGGCTTGGGCAAACAATAATAGTTTTATTTTTTTAGTGTTTAGTGATTAGGGTTTTAGAGTTTAGAGTTTAGGGTTAGGGTACAAATATAAGATATTAATTGGTGTGTTATGGATACTTGTCTTTCCTAGTTGTAATACTTTTTACAAACAACAGGATATTTATTGATAATATTTTGATATTTTTCCGGCTTATGTGGATATTTATTTGAACCTGAGGAAATATTCCTTTAGTTCATGTGTTTCGATATTTGTGTGTAACCTTTGAATATTCTCGGCTTGGGCAAATAATAATAGTTTTATTTTTTTAGTGTTTAGTGATTAGGGTTTTAGAGTTTAGAGTTTAGGGTTTAGGGTTAGGGTACAACAATTTGATATTAGTTGGGGTGTTGTGGATATTTGTCAGTCTTTGTTGTAAATTTTTTTTACTTATTTATTGATTTTTGCTTGTATTACGTGGATATTTTTTTGGGTTGCTTGGATATTTGTTTGAACCTAAAGAATATTCATTTATTTTTTGTGTTGGATATTTGTGTGGTTTGTTGAGATACTATTCGTGGTGGCGTGGATACTTGTTATGGTGAACATCTTAGTATGGGTGGGCCCGAATCAGTTTTGGGTGGGCTTTTGGGTCTTTTCAAAAAATTGGGGAAAGAAAAGAAGTGATAGGGCAATTAATGCCACAACCACTTTTTCTCTCTCAAGTCTCCCAACCCCTCCTTCTCTCTTCTTTTCTCTGAATTCCCTCTTCCTCTTCTCCGACGGAAAAGTCGCCGACGGCGGCCTGTCTTTTTCCTCTTCATCCTCCGCCGTCCAGGAAACGTTGCTGATGATGATCGATGATGAGGCCGAGTTAGATCGTCCATCAACGAGCTCGTCCCATGAAGAAAAATTTGTTGATGGTGTATTAGAAGGTTTGACTCAAATAGATGGTGGTTGTGTGTTTGGCTTCGATGCAACAGTACAAGAAGAAGAAGAGGGTGATTGTGGATTGACATATTTATAAGTTTGTGTTGTTGAGTTTTGGTTGGGAGCATTGAATGAAATTTAATGTCTTTGGTGTGAGTTTAATGTTTGTTGGTCTTCTGGGATTCTACTATGAGCTAGTTGGATACTAGTTACCTACTGTTTGCTGGACGTAGTTTGTAGCCTATGTTTAATTTGTATGGATACTAGTCTGGGCATTTTTTATATTCATTCAATTATTGTGGATACTAGTATGTCGGATTATAGTGTGGATACATCGTTGGAGCAATAGGATACTAGTTTAAGATTCATGGATACTACTGTTTACGGATATTTGTTAGACGTATTCTGGGCACATTGGATACTAACTGGGAATGGAAATATCTCGCAGCTCACAACACTTCGGACCTAGAAGATGATGAAGCGAGGAATAACCTCTTTTTTCGCACTAAGGAAGAGTGTGTTCGTTTCTACGAACGCTATGCTCACAAAAAAGGGTTTGGTGTTCGAGTAGATTCGCAACATTTGAGAAAAAAGAAGAATTATGAAGGAGAGGTGGTGGAAATTTATGCCTACCTTTATTATGTTTGTAATAAGCAAGGGTCATCGGAAGAAGTCAATGTTGAGAAACAGAAACATGGAGAGGATTCGGTTGTAGAGAGAAGCCGCCCTAAAAGAAAGAGGTCTCGAATTAGGGCTGAATGCCCCGCCCTTGTTCGTTTTCGATGGGATGAGAATAAGGATGGATATGTGGTGCACAATTTCATTGGAGCTCACAATCATGATTTGCACTCCACCAAGCATGCTCACCTGTTAAAGTCAAACAAGTCCGTGAGCGTTCCTCAAGGACTTGTTGCTGAAGCAAATCGCAATGCCAGGATGAGTCTTAGGTCATCGTATCAGCTATTGGCTGAGTGTGCCGGAGGGTATGAGAATTTGACTTTTACCAAATGTGATCAGAAGAACCATTTGAATAAGAACAGACAAAAGACTATGTCTCGTGGCGAAGCGACTTTCTTGCTTGACTACTTTCAAGACCAAAAAGAGAAGTATCCCGGCTTCTTTTATGTTTTAGAGGTAGATTGTGAGGAGAAAGTTGCCAATATTTTTTGCGCAAACAATAGGATGCGTGAAGATTATGCACTTTTCGGAGACTCTGTCTCCTTCGACACCACCTTCCGAACCAATAAATACTTCCGACCATTGGGTATGTTGACCACTTATTTTCCTTATTTTTTTGACACGCAAGCGGTTATGCATTGTTTTTAATACCAAGTCTTTTGCAGGGATGTTTGTAGGTTTCAATCATCACCGACAAACTTGTGTGTTTGGCGCTTGTTTGTTATATGACGAGACAACTCCTTCTTTTGAATGGTTGTTTGAAGCATTAAGTCGGTGCATGAAGAGGAAACTCCCAGTGACCATCTTCACGGATCAGGACGCCGGTATGGCAGCTGCCCTTAGAAAAGAGTGGCCAGATGTGTTTCATGCCCTCTGTACTTGGCACATCTTGATGAATGCGAAGAAGAATCTTCGTAAGAGTAAGAAATTTTGGCATAAGTTCCAAAATCATCTTGCTTATCTTTTCTACTACGTCGACAGCGAGGCCGAGTTTGATGAGGCATGGAGCAACATGGTTTCTTATTGTTTTCCCGGTAGTGAAACTGTTGATGGCCACCAATGGATGCAATACTTGAAGAAATTTCATCATCAGTGGTGTTCCTTATATCTGAGAGATCAATTCACAGCGGGAATGTTGACAACGCAAGCCAGTGAGTCGTGCAATGCACAAGTGCGAATCTTTTTGAAACCGAAACATAATCTCGACGAGTTTTTCATCAACTTTAACTGGTACGTTATCCAAATACTAGATGGACATTTATGGATATTACTTAGCAAATTATGGATATTTTTAGATGCTTTTCAGGTATTTGTATGTGATGGTGTGATACATTTTTTTTGTTGTTTGGATATTTGCTCTATTTGTATACGGATATTAGTCTGGGCAATTTGGTTTTCTTCATACATGCAGCTTGTTGGCTGACAAAAGGCGCAAAGAGACTGAGTCCGACTACGATGGGAAACAATCAGCCCTTACATATTGTTGGAGAAAAGCTTGATCCTCCAACATGCTGCCAAGATCTTCACGAAAAACATCTTCAACCGGATTCAAGAGCAGTATCTGGAAATTGAAGACTATCTAATTGAGCTTGTCCCAGATAATAGGTATGATGGATTCATTAGCTACCGTACATATAAGATGGAGGATGGTGAGCGTAGCGATGAACGTGTCACTCATGTCGATACTTCTACGGCCACATTGGTATGCGATTGTAGGATGTTTAGAACATTCGGGGTCTTATGTCGGCATATGCTTAAGGTGATGCGATTGCTTGGAGAGTTTGGGAACGATAGTAGGAGAACTATTCCAGACCATTACATACTCAAGCGATGGACGTTGGAGGCGAGAAGGAAAGAGGTTGGTGATGCTGATGCTTCAGGCGATACTTCACATAGTCATGAGAACGAGACGGGAAAAGGAGATATAGCAATGAGGTACCGAGAAACCACTGCAATGTTTAATCAGCTCGCAACAAAATTGTCAATGGCGGATGAGAAAGTGTACAACAGGTGGATGGGAGCATTGCAGAAAGGGTGCAAGGAGGCAAACAAGGCATTGTCAAATACTATAACTAGCGAGGATGGTAAGTGTATCGAATATTTTTTGTAAATTAGTATAAGTTAATATCATTGGACGGATTACTTAAGCCACTAACATTGTAGGGAATTATGTACCAACAAGTGGCCTCTCTCTCAAGGAGAAGAGTAATCCAAGGAAGCACGGCAAGGAACGTTATGAGTCAAGGAATGAGAAAGAGCGTCGTCGAAAGACGATTGTCTATGGAAAGAGATTGAAAGCAGTGGAAGTGCTCACGCAGGACACCCATTTTCAACATGATGACCATCTCACTGACTTGGAAGACGACCTTGCTGAATTTGGGTGTGGATATTAGTTTGTCAAACTCGGATATTTTGTAAGCAGGCTACGATATTTATCTACGTTATAAGGATATTAGTATGCATTGTAGGGATATGTCTTTTGGTTCTACAAATATGTATACTAAACATTCGGATATTTTTGTTATATTTTATGTATGTGGTTGTGTGGATTTTATGTATTTCCATCGCATATGCTCATATTTAGTTTGGGTGTTTTGGATATCACTTTGGGTCATATGATATACTTTTGTTGAAGGAAAGATATCACTTTTAGTCAGGGATATACTTAGTGTTGTCTACTTTAAACTAATAAACCGAGCAATTTAATCAACATAGTTAGTGTCTACTTTTGTCCAAAAATTACCAAAATAACACAATCACCTTAAATTAATAAAGCGAGGGATCAGGATAGAGTTAGTTTCTCATTTTCTCCAAAACTTCCCAAAATAACCCAATCACCTTAATACCGTAACATCAACATATGTCCCATGAAACATAAGGAGGTAAGTTTCAGCTACTCTTCCCTTTCTCCTTATCTTTTTCCCACTCATTTGCCTCCTCAAGTATGACATTCCTTACTTTGTTGTATTTCCATTGAAGGAGACTGCCTGCAATGGATGCTCGCTGGTGCTCCACGTGCTTTGCCAAGTGCCAAGTTTCCTTGTATTCCGATGGAATGTGACCCGCCCAGTGCTCCATGAACATGCATGCGAACACTCCACAATCATCGTTTCCTTTTTGTTGAGGAACATCCACAATTAAGAATTCCCAATCATGCAAGGGAGCATCGATGTTGTGCTTTGCAAGGAAGGCAGCCCCATACTCTAATATCAATTTCCCCATGGGACTGTGATCCACCTTGGACACTGCTGGCTTGGGTTTTATGCTGTTCAGAAGGAAAGTCTTCTAACTCCTTAGATCAGCAGCGTAGAACCGGTAGTGATGGTCTGTATGCACAGGGGGAAAAATCTGAAACATAGAAAAAAATCAGTTATTCACTCGGATAAATATCCAAAAAGCCCAGACTAGTATCCAAAACTAACATTTCAGATATTCACAGGCAAATCTTCAAACAAATCAATTATTCTCTCGGATAAATATCAAAGAAACCCAGACTAGTATCCAAAACTAACATTTCATATATTCACAGACAAATCTTCAAACAAATCAATTATTCTTTCAGATAAATATCCAAAAAACCCAGACTAGTATCCAAAACTAACATTTCAGATATTCACAGGCAAATCTTCAAACCCAGACAATTATTCTCTCGGATAAATATCCAAAAAACCCATACTAGTATCCAAAACAACGTAAATCAGTATCAAGATAGAATAAGGATTCACTTACATATTCTAATTTGTCCCATGCAACACGTTTGAAGACTGGAACCCGCTGGGTCACTTCAACAACAGCATCGAGTCTCTCTTTGGACGGGGGCACACTCGTCTAAGAATTAAGGATGGCAAGTTGTTGTTTGCAAAGGAAAAGAATAGCTAATTAGTTACTGAAAAATCTAAAATTATTGTAAGTTGTGAGTGAAGAGCCTACTTACACCAAAGGTGAACGGAAAGTTAACTCTGTTCTTGTCACCAGCAAGTGCTTTGTCGTTCAAGAAATGACCATAAGCCTCAACCACTTGGATATTGACCCACTCTAATAGCTTCAATGTCAGCAGATGAAGACGGGCGAGTTTAATTGAAGGAGTGTGCACCACCAAGCCCTTACCCTCAGGGGTACTGAAGACGAACTCAACCATATGACGAGCAACTGGGTCGAGCTTTGTCGACACATCCTTCAACAAATAATATACTGATGAATAAGCATATGGGTTCTTCTTCGACCTCTCGAACGCTGGGGTCTTTAGTGTTGCAAGCCATTCCTCATGTGTGTAGCTGTACAGACGTTCTTGTTCCTCCTCATTCATAGTCGTCTCATGCGTGATAATCACATCTGGACTCCTCAGCGCTATTACAAGCCTCTTCTACCAACTCCTCGTCTGTAGGCAACATTCCCATCTCTGCAAGTTGGGAGAACGACTCCACCACATCATGAGTAGTCGTCTCTAGAACTTCCTCCCTTGTCGGTGGGTCTTCTTCCTCGGCATTAGCAGTTGTAGTATCCTCATGAGCTATCTGCATAATGTCCTCAAAAGTGGTATCTGGGTCTGTATAGTGTATCACCATAGGGACTGTCGGCTCAAACACCTCCTCGACCGGTGTCTCTACAGTCTTCTCTGCTTCATTCTCCACCACCTCAAATCTATTCTTCTCTTTAGGATCTTCTTCACACATCTCTCCAGTTTTCTCCACTTGTGGCTCGACCTGGTCCTTTTCTAGAGACTACTCATCCATTTCTATTTCAGCTTCAGGATTCTCTACTTGGTCTTCCACCATCTCTGTTTTAAGTTGATCTAGCACCTCTTCAACAGTATTCTCCAAAGGTCTACTCCTGGAATTCACGACCTTGCACCTGTCATGCTCCTCACTCTTTTCTATCATCTGTCCCAGTTTTGTGGCAAAGTCAACCAATTTTCCCAAATCTCGGTCAATCGAACCACCTAGTACATTAAGCTGGAAGACAAACGAACATTTTGCGCAAATTTAAAACTATCAACGCACATGTATCTAGTATAGTATCCAAACTGCTTGTGCAATTATCACATGTACCCAGAATAGTATCACAAGAGAGCGTACAAATATTCAAGTTGGCATAATTGATATCCAAAAATAACAAACAACTATTTCACATAAATATCCAAATGCATAACATTAATATCCAAACCTCACAAACCAGTATTCATAACTAAAAAGAAACCACAAGCTGATATCCAAATGAAACCAACAAATATTCCAGAACAACAAACTAATATCCAAAGCCATTCCAACATGGCATCAAATTCACGGAAAGCAGTACAACCCCCCACCAAACAACGGAAAACAGTAGATCAAATTCACTATTGCTGTTCCAAATTCCGGACAATCGTTTGGACCTTGTCCCTTCGAGCCACCCACTTTTCAATCATGCTCTCAGTCATTTCCTTCAATCCCTTAAGCTACACATATGTTGTGAAATATTTAGGTTACTATATCGTCCAAGTCTACCAATGCACTATCTTAGTTAGGGAGGAAGATAACATTTTACCTGCCCTAGCGAAAGGCTAGTCAAATCTTCAGTCTCCCACCATTCCGCGGTGGGCATCGGTGCACGATCTGGATGAGGAGCTGAACTGCTGGCAGCTGCTGCACTAGTACCCCCAATAGCCACCGGCTGGAGCTGCCTGCGAGAGGCCATTTCTTCCCTACTCAGCAGAGCGGCAGCTAGTCATATCTTCCCCTGACTAAGGGGATAGATGTGCTTGCCCTCTCGACACTTTGTTTCCACCAAAACCGGCAGCTAGGTATGGTCTTTGTGTGCAACCCGCCTACTTTTAGAGAGTCCAGCAGATGGAGTTGTAAAAAAATTACAATTAATAAATGTTAAGCGCCATTTCTAGCAATTTAATCAAGAAATATCCAGTCTCAACACAAATAGTATCTTATGTGACTAAACTGATATCCATAAATCATTTCAAGCTAATTTCTTACAAAACAAAGAGTATCCGAGTTCAGTTAGATGATACCCAAATACGAAATTCACTAGTTTTCATGCAATTGAACCAACAATTGGAAGAAAAGGTTAGGACTTACTATCAAGAAGTAGCAATCTCCGAGAACCCACACGCACGGCGAGCCCAACGCCCTTGCACTATGTTCTTTTTTCTTGGCAACAGTCAACTCTAATTTCAGTTCACGGACAATAAATGTACACCAATCGTACACCCTCACGTCCTCAACACTCCCACCTAGGTAAGGGGCAAAGTCCAGCTTGCACCTCCGCGAAAATGTTGGCACGAGCATCGAACTAGTAGCTAGCAACAAGAATTGCTTGACAGCAATTGCAACAGGTGTTCTAGGACCGTTGGCTGGAATGGCTGTTACACTCTACCCTATACGTATTACCTAATCATATTGTTCATACAATTGCAGCGGAAATAATCTCGGGTGTTACAGTAATTATCAAAATTTACCAAAATAAAATTTCGACATGAATTACTCTCGTAATGGGCTAACAGTTCTTGCAACTAGACCTGCAAAATAATTCATCACAAACATATATACTCACAACCATATGCATTGGCTTTTCATAGCCATAGTCACAGTTTCATACTCCACAACTGCATACCTTACTAATACATGTCATAGTCGTCACAACTTACACAACCATACAAATATATACATATCAACTTCCACACCTGTGGATATCTCACACCACATCAGAAGCTAGTATGCACATGAAAAATGTTCTCAAAACATTTTTACAAAAAGGTGTGGATCACTGGCCAAAATCCCGAGTAGTCGTCCAAGCACAGAATAGTTGAAGACCATACCTCATCCTGGCTTCAACTCTAGCTCCTCTCCCACCTAACACTTATCTACTGCTGCTGCTGATGTTCTGCTTACACATAGCATAAGCAGAGAAGAAGAATAAAAGAGGGTCAGCTCATAGCTGAGTGAGATAATCATAGCATCGTGAGTTCATAACAGAGCATACCCCTACCATACATCTAGCAAACAAGCCAAAGCATTGGGATCAAATCTCAACCCTCCGACATCCCAATAGGCAAAAGACTCAACCACCTTGACTTATGCATATGCATCTTATCATGTTTTAATTATAGGCGCCTGGCTACTCCCATGCTAATAACTCTCCCGGGAAACGTACCCCACATCTCGTCGGATGTAGTCATACATACCCCAACATCCCGTCGGATGTGGTCATACATACCCCACACCACTATGGGTGTAGTCATACCCCGACACCACTCTGGGTGTGGTCATATCTCGTAAGAAATCTTCAGTCACCACCACATGAGAGGTGTGACTATCATACATATCATAATAGAGTAATAGCATAGGGAGCCCTAATTACTATATAGTTGACCGGGAGACCACAACACTCATATTTGGTATCCTTATACATGATTCATATCTCATCTTACTAAATCGTAATTCGTTACTTGCACATGTGCTTGACCTGGCCATAATCGTCTCAACATAACCAGGAGTCGTATAATCGCACTTCCTCGGGATATACCCTCGTGCAAGTCATCCTCCTTAAACATCATAATATCGTCATGAGATATATATTATCCCACTTGTGCATCCAAATACAATAATCATGAAAAATCATGCCCAATCACCGTCTCAAACTATCATAAGGTATATCCACAATTAAACCCACATCTGGCAACATTTATGCAATCATCAACATAAACAAGGTCCATATCGATTAGGGCAAGTCAATAACATCATACAACAGTCCAAGGTTCATCATACAACACAAAAGTTCATACACCCCTAATCATGCCATTCTAGTTCACCTAGGTCAATTCTAAGCATCAATATAATTATCATGATACGACAAACCCGGTATGCCGTGCTAATCCCTCACCAGTTCTGGTCGTTCAAACACCGGTTTAACCTTCCCGTACTAAAACATCAATTTCATGAACGAACCGCGAATTAAAATCCGAGACCGTCCTAATATCCCCTACAGTATCCCCGTCAATATTAGTTCTAGGCTCCGGGTCAAATTCTTGATAAAAACACATCAAACCCTGGTCGGAGCTAAATTCAGCAGTTTGGACCCCGACCTAAATAATTGACGAAATTCAGGGATTAGAACCAGAGGATTAATTACCTCGCTGTAGGAAGCTTGTATATGAAATTTGGGCTTAAACCAGCTTCTGAATCCTCCAAAACTCTAATTCACACGATCGGAGATTCAGAAATTGCTGGTCCGAAATTTTGCTATCAACTACGAGATTGATAAACTAGGTTGTATTGATGGATTACCTATTGATTGCACCAATTTTGGATTGCTAAAACCCAAAAACCCAGTTGTCCAAAACTATTCGAACCTCCCCTGATTCTGCTCTCCATTTTGCTTGCGGGACAAAAAATGAAATAAATGGGAAGTGAGGTGTGTGCATATATAAAGACGAGGGAGGGGTGTACGTGTACAAACAATGGCAAAGCGGTTCGGCCGCTTCTTTATCTTTTATTTTCCTTTTTCCTTTTTAATTATATATATAATATAATTAATACGAATACTTATCCGATCGATCGATATCCCGATTTTCAATGAAATACTGTCAAAACACTCGATTTTAAATCTTGAAATTTTCTAGGGATCTTAACACGAGTTTAGCCAAAATGGGATGTTACAATGGCCAACTCCCGCAGCTTCTTGATAGGCACCATGCGAGCCCTGTTAGGAATTATGCCAACTTCCTCGCTGAAACAGTCGAGCATCCCCCCCTCAACGTTCTTCAAATCAATCACAGCACCACCGAGAGGAAGGTCGTACACACGTGCCACATCCTCAGCTGTGAAGTCGAACACCTTCTTCGATTCTCCTTCCCCAAAAACAAAAGTATTGGTTGAGGGGTCATAAGCAGCCATCAAGTCGTCCATGAAGACATTGGGAATCTTCGGCATGCGAAGTTCCAATAGGCCCCCGAATCCTGCCTTCTCGACTTCTTTCTTGCATGCTTCATAGTATCCAACATCTTGTTTCCAGTAGCTTATAATTTTGAAGAGGGAATAGGTGGAGCCACGAAATCTGAAGTATGAGCCGCAGGGTCCCTCTCCCTCATCATCTTCTTCCTCATCTTCATCCTCACCTTCTGGAATAGCAGGCGGCGGCTGCCTCGATCCTTCTTCTTCACAAGATCTCGGTGCAACCATTTTCGATCTCTTCCTCTCGGGTTGTTCGTGAAACACAATTATATATTAAGCAAAATATCCATAATCCTTGGACAAATAACTAAAACGCACAGATAAATATCCACATTAATAGAACTGATATCCACACATCAGAGTAGATTTTTAAGCCAATATATACAATTATTATCGTAGTAAAGCAAAAGTGCATCCAAACGGAGATAACTGATATCCGTGAAAAAAATATCCATAATCCTTGGACAAATAATTAAAACGCACAGTTAAATATCCACATTAACAGAACTGATATCCACACATCAGTGTAGATTTTTAAGCCAATATATACAATTATTATCGTAGTAAAGCAAAAGTGTATCCAAACGGAGATAACTGATATCCATGAAAAAATATCCATAATACCCACACAAAAAAAAAACTAAAACGAACAGTTAAGCATCCACACTAACAGAACTTATATCCACACATCCGATTATTTTTTTAGCCAATATATACTAATCGAGAAACGAAGTGAGAAATCAAACCTTTGGTGGTTGTTTATCCGATGGCTGCTGTGATGATCCAGCTGCTTCACGAGATTTCCATGCAGATTTTGGTGCAACAGTCTTAGATTTCTTCATCACGGGTTGTTCCTGAAACATAGTTAGAGAATAAGAAAACTATCCAGCCAAGGAAAATATTAAAATGCATCCGACTATTAATTTTTAGCCAACATAACCAATCGAGAAACGGAGTAAGAAATGAAACATGTGGTTGTTGTTCATCCGGCGGCTACTGTGATGATCCTTCTCCTTCATTGTTGGGCTTTGACTTCTTTTTCGGTCTCCCCATTCACCGAAACAATATAAAAAAATTACCATAATAAGTATCGGAAGTGACAAAACTGATATCCATGTAACATTTAATCAAGGAATCGACAAACGATACCCAGACTGCCCAAAATCGTATCCAACAAACCCCCAACATCCTATTCGAGAAACCATACTGAAATAATATAAAAAATGAATAGAATAAGTATCGGAAGTGACAAAACTGATATCCATATAACCTATAATCAAAGAATCAACAAACAATACCTAGATTCCCCAAAATCGTATCCAACAAACCCCCAAAATGGAATCCGAGAAACCATAAATCTGGAAACTAGGAAACAAAAACCAGAGCCCCAAAATTCGAATCCCACAGACCCAGAATCTGGTAATCTAGAAACATAACCCTAAACACCCATATTCGAATCCATGAAACCCAAAATCTACAAATCGAGAATCGAAACCCTAAACCCCCAAATTCGAATCCCACGGACACAAAATCTGGTAATTTAGAATCAAAACCCTAAACACCCATATTCAAATCAATGAAACCCAAAATCTACAAATCCAGAAACGAAACCCTAAACCCCCAGATTCGAATCCCACGGACACAAAATCTGGAAATGTAGAATCAAAACCCTAAACACCCTAAATCGAATCGCATGAACCATAAATTTTGAAATCGATAAACAAAACCCAGATTTCCACAAAAAAAATCCATGAAACCCTAACTTACTATCCACAAACAAAATGCACAGATTAAGAGAGGAGAACAAGGCAACCTGAAACCAAAGCTTCTTCCTTCTTCGTCGGCGGCGGCGGCGGCTTCCTTCTTTGTCGGCGAAGTCCTCGTCTTCTTCTTCCTTCTTCGTCGGCGGCGTCTTCTTCCTCGTCGGGATAGCTTCAACGTCGTTGTCGGCATGGTTTCCAAGAAGCAGTCGCCGACCTCGCAGCCGTCGTCGCCGTCGCTTTGTTGGTGGTGGTTTTCGGGAGAAGAAGAAACAGAGAGGGAGAGGGTTCGAAAGATTTTTTGGAGAGAGAGAGGGGAGAATGGAAAACGCGGGGCAGGGAGAGAGAATCGAGTTTTTGGTTTGAAATTTTGGGTTTTTTTTTCTGGCCCTACTTCTCCCAAAAGTGGCTCGACTTGGGCAAAAAACCAATTCACCCTCACATCTTGGCGCCGGCGATCACTCAACCTCCGATGGTGGCAAGGCGACGTGGCCTTTCATCCTGCCCTGTTAATATCTGCTAACAACTTAAAGGGTTAGCAGCAGAACTAGATTGCAAACGGTGGCCGAGGATAGAGTGGAATAAATGCGAGGGGTAGAACGGAGATGGGCAACTCACGGAACACCGTCACTCAAAATAATTTGGGAAAGGAAAACTCTAGAAGAAAACTATTTTTTTTTTTAACTTAAAAAATTGTCATTTGTTTTGCTTGTAATTTCTAATTCGATATTTCTGTTGTATCCTTCGTCCCAACTCCTTGCTCGCTGCTGTGTCCATAAAAGGAGAGAGGGTCTCGCTCTTTCTCTCTTCTTCTTCTCTCTATTCATCACACTCTTCAGACAACGAAGGAGATAAGGTTATACCCTTCATAGGGGTGCAGGGTATATCTTTCTGGCTATTGGTGTGACCATTTCCGCTGTTTTCCTTTTGACCATTTTGGGTTCTTTTGCGGTGGGTTTTGGTTTGGATGTGCAAACTAGGGATTGTGAGTTATATGTCGACGATGGTTTCTGTCTAATTGTAACGGGCTGATGTGGGGATTCTCGATGGATTAGGGTCTTCTGATTCGTTGTATTCGTGAATTGAAGCTAGGATTTGGTTATGTTATCCAGATAGGGATTCCTAGCTGTTAATGTTTGACTTTTTGTTCTTCTCTTGCTCGTCGAAGGAAGTCGGGATAAACGTTGTCTTTGAGAGATACTTCGAGGCTGAAGTTCCTGATGCAATTGTTCTCGTTCGTCTGAGCTTTTATGCTGAGTTGGATTCTGTTTCTTAGCCGGAGCTCTGATTGTTTTCTGCCTTCTTGCTTTGAGGTGTTAATTTTGTTAGATGTATTGTGGAATTGTTGAAGTTTCAATCTTTCATGAATGACATCATGTGAAAGGTTGACTTCATTGGTTTTTTGTTATAAATATTCCCAAAAGGTTAGAAAGGTTGACTTCATTGTTGGATTTGCGTTTTATATGAACTGGCAAGCTTCATTGATACATTTAGTGAACTTCTTTTGTTTGATGTATAGAATTTTTGGTTGGGCTACTTGTGTACGTTGCAATATCATAATGGCAACCTTAAACTAGTTTTGGTCTCAGATTCACTAGTGTTGTAACTTTGCAGTGGTGTTTGTTCTGATGGCATTGTACCTATCTTTAACTAACCTGCCTTCCCTTTTACCAATGTGAACTGCAGGTGTTCTAGCTGTAAAAATGGCAAGATTTCTAGTTCATTCCACCAATACCCCTGTTCTGGCTCCTCTTCCGAAGGGAATCCAGTCTCAGAGATGTGAAAACACAAGGAGGACTGCTGTCAAGATGATGTCTAGTTTACAAGCACCTGTATATACATTGAAAGGTTTCTCAGGATTGCGGAGTTCCAACTGCTTAGATGCAACAATGAAATCTGGACTAGATTTTCATTCCAGAGTTGCTGTCACTATGTCTCCCATGCAGAAAAGGGGTAAAAAATTTGCAGCTAGAGCCATGTTTGAGCGGTTCACAGAAAAAGCCATCAAAGTTATCATGCTTGCCCAAGAGGAGGCACGACGGCTTGGCCACAACTTTGTTGGCACAGAGCAAATCTTATTGGGTCTTATTGGCGAGGGCACTGGAATAGCTGCAAAGGTTCTTAAATCTATGGGAATCAATCTTAAAGATGCTCGTGTGGAAGTGGAGAAAATCATTGGAAGAGGTAGTGGATTTGTTGCTGTGGAGATCCCATTCACTCCACGGGCGAAGCGTGTTTTAGAATTGTCACTTGAAGAAGCCCGCCAGCTTGGTACGACATCCTTCTAATTATTCGTTCAAGACTTGCTCCTAATCATTCTATGTTCCTCTTACCATGGATACTTGTTGTGATATGTGTGTAGGTACTGACCTTGTATTAATTTAATATAATTTTTGTAAGTCCAACTTTCAATGATATGCGAGTTCAACTTTTTGTGTAGGTCATAACTACATTGGATCAGAGCACTTGCTCTTGGGGCTGCTTCGTGAAGGTGAGGGTGTGGCTGCCCGTGTTCTTGAAAATTTGGGTGCTGATCCTAGTAACATAAGAACACAGGTGAGTATTAATAATTGGTGTAATCTGTAAAGAAAGTGCTATCAGCATCATATTATTGGCTAACTGTACTTTTTTTCTTTTAGGTCATTCGCATGGTGGGTGAGAACAATGAAGTTACGGCTAATATAGGACCGAATACTAGAGACGCAAAGATGCCAACTCTTGAAGAGTATGGAACTAATTTGACCAAGCTTGCAGAGGAGGTAATGATGTTTTTTTTTTTTCTCCCTTCAGTTTTATATTGGAGTTGTTTGATGCTGATTCATTATTCCTTTTCAGGGTAAATTAGACCCCGTCGTTGGAAGACAGCCACAAATAGAGCGTGTCATCCAAATCTTGGGTCGGAGGACTAAGAATAACCCTTGCCTAATTGGAGAGCCTGGTGTTGGTAAAACTGCAATTGCTGAGGGTCTTGCTCAACGAATAGCAACTGGGGATGTTCCTGAAACAATTGAAGGGAAGAAGGTGGGCATCTCCAATTTAGTTTGATTAATCTTACAATGGGTTGTTATTAAATTATCTTACTACTCACTAAATTTGAGATTGTTCTTAAAGAATAGCCATGGGTTCCTGTGTAATAGGTTATTACTTTGGATATGGGTCTTCTTGTTGCTGGCACAAAATACCGTGGTGAATTTGAGGAAAGGCTCAAAAAGCTGATGGAGGAAATCAAGCAGAGTGATGAAATAATTCTTTTTATTGATGAGGTGCACACGTTAATTGGTGCTGGGGCTGCAGAAGGGGCTATCGACGCTGCTAATATCTTGAAGCCCGCTCTTGCTAGGGGTGAATTGCAGGTACTTTATGTTCAGTTTCAAATTAAATATTTTCATGAAAAAACTTCATTATTTGGTTCGTCCTGTTGTGGTATTTTTAGAAGCCATTCTGTGTTGGGTTTCTTCTAGGCATGAGGTGCTCATGTTGGAAGAGCCTGCTATAGTTATTGCTGTATTATACTAGAGACGTGTTTATGGTTGGCCGGTTGGGTGTCTACGCTCTGTCTAGTTGTATTACCAAATGTGATGCATTTCTAATTCTTATATATCCGAGTCATCCTCATTACTTGTCGTTCTAAATTTTTGCAGTGCATTGGAGCTACAACACTTGATGAATACAGAAAGCATATTGAGAAGGACCCGGCTTTGGAAAGACGATTCCAGCCAGTCAAAGTACCTGAGCCTTCTGTGGATGAAACAATCCAGATATTGAAAGGCCTGCGCGAGCGATACGAGATCCACCATAAACTTCGTTACACTGATGAGGCCCTAGTTGCTGCTGCTCGGCTATCATACCAGTATATCAGGTGTGCAGTCCGTGGCAGTTGCCTTTTTTCAGGTTTCTTGTTCATGTCTAGACCGTTGGTGACCTGAAAAAAAGCCCAGGAATTCTGCCTTAACATCTATTTTCTAAGCTGGATTATGCTATTCATGGTGGCTTATGTTGTGAGCATCCTAGATGCAGCTGTTGGGCATAAGTGGAAGAACTTGTCTACCCCGTTTAATTTGGGACTTCTGTAGTATGTCTTGATTCTCATTTTTTCTGTCATTTTCTTCAGTGACCGTTTCTTGCCTGATAAGGCAATTGACTTGATTGATGAAGCTGGCTCTCGGGTTCGTCTTCGTCATGCACAGGTGTGGGCTCTTTTCAGTTCGTTGTTGTACCATCTTTGTTGTGGGTTCTATTTCTCAAGTAGTATTTCCCGCAGGTCCCTGAGGAAGCTAAGGAGCTTGAGAAAGAGGTCAGGCAGATTATAAAAGAGAAGGATGAAGCTGTCCGCAATCAAGACTTTGAAAAGGTAGCCACCTTTTCTCAGTCTGCAGGTTGCTGTGTTTTGGTATCATTATTATATTGTTATTGTTATTGAAACTGTGGTGATGATAGGCTGGGGAATTGCGTGACCGAGAAATGGACCTCAAGGCACAGATCACAGCCATAGTGGAGAAAGGCAAGGAAATGAGCAAAGCCGAGACAGAAGCTGGGGATGTAGGTCCCACTGTGACTGAGTCAGACATTCAGCACATTGTCTCTTCGTGGACTGGAATACCTGTTGAGAAGGTGTCAACTGATGAATCTGATCGACTGCTGAAGATGGAAGAAACCTTGCACAAGCGAGTTATTGGTCAAGATGAAGCTGTCAAGGCCATCAGCCGAGCTATTCGCAGGGCCCGCGTTGGTCTCAAGAATCCCAACCGGCCAATTGCAAGCTTCATCTTTTCGGGTCCAACTGGTGTCGGAAAGTCGGAACTGGCCAAATCACTTGCTGCCTACTACTTTGGCTCTGAAGAAGCAATGATCAGGCTTGACATGAGCGAGTTCATGGAGAGACACACAGTCTCCAAGCTCATTGGTTCGCCTCCAGGGTATGTTGGTTACACAGAAGGTGGTCAGCTCACTGAAGCTGTCAGGCGTCGCCCTTACACCGTGGTACTCTTTGATGAGATAGAGAAAGCCCACCCTGATGTCTTCAACATGATGCTTCAAATCCTCGAAGATGGTAGATTGACCGATAGCAAAGGTAGAACTGTTGACTTCAAGAACACCCTTTTGATCATGACTTCCAATGTTGGAAGCAGCGTTATTGAGAAGGGAGGAAGGAGGATAGGGTTTGACCTTGATTATGATGAGAAGGACAGCAGTTACAACAGGATCAAGAGTCTGGTGACTGAGGAACTGAAACAGTATTTCAGGCCGGAGTTCTTGAACAGATTGGATGAGATGATTGTATTCAGACAACTGACTAAGCTGGAGGTGAAGGAGATTGCTGACATCATGTTGGCGGAGGTGTTTGATCGGCTGAAGGGGAAAGAGATTGAGCTTCAAGTGACTGAAAAGTTCAGAGAAAGAGTCGTGGATGAGGGGTACAATCCTAGCTATGGAGCAAGACCTCTGAGGAGAGCAATAATGAGACTCCTGGAGGATAGCATGGCTGAGAAGATGCTTGCAGGGGAGATTAAAGAGGGTGACTCGGTTATCGTGGACGTAGACTCCGAGGGAAATGTTATTGTTCTCAATGGAAGCAGTGGCACTCCTGATACCTTACCCGATGTATTATCTGTGGCTTAGAGAAAGTTCTTAGCACTTTTGCCATGGTGTTGTCTTGTACTTTTGGATGTTTGAAAAACTATTTGTACTGGCTAGAACAGTAGAAAACTTGGGGGCTGGCTGGCTGGCTCTGTCAGGCAGGCTACTTGGCCGTGGAGAATATGGGGTCAGGACCATGGATGCGGGTACATGGTAGGAAATTGATAGTTCGGTTGGTGGAAAATAGACGGCCTGTTTTGCTATAGCTCTCATAGTGAAAGGATGTAGTCTATACTTCTATTTTATAATTGTGGTGGTTTGTAATTGTGGGTTTTATACTTCTATTTTAAATTTGCAATTCTGGCTTTCTGCTGAGTGAGGTGATATAAATATAATGCAGTGCATTCCCATGAAATGCGGATAAGCACTTCATAAGTGAGTCGAAGGGTTAAGTTTCAGCTCTCCAAGTTTGAATTGCAAACCTAGATGATTGACCAATTAATTAGCAACGCTGTGACTCCTGGAACAAACAAAGCTTGTGGCAAGGTACTAAAAGCTTCTTCGGAGGTAAGATTCTCTCCTCGCTCAAAAAGCACTTGCATCGGACTGTTTCTCCAAACTCGTCGAACTCAGCCACACTCCCTAAGAATATATTCTTGCGTTTCTCTTAGATCACAGAAAGGGCATACCTCGGTGCCCTTTTGAGTCCTCTCTAGAATCCGAACTGCCGTATGAAGTATGTTTTGTAGGCATCGCCACACGAACATTTTTACCTTCGGTGGGATGTTTAATCCCACACCTTTTTCCAGTTCCCCGACGAACATAATTCACCCTCTGTTTCTTCATTCCTGGTTTCCGATAAGCCGACTTGACAGTATACTCCCTTGACTTTTCCCTGCTCCAAATTCTTGCATCCTCAGTAGGGTTCCTAGGGGTCGGATTTCGCTGAATGTTTTTTCCTGTCCGTTGGGTTGAAATGAGCCAGGAGTAAGTCACTCCAACTTCTTGTCTCCTGATCTATCAGTTCCCCAGTGAAGTAGAGGTTCCAATGGGGGGGGGGGGGGGGATAAACTTTAGGTTAGCACTCGATAGTACCCATTTATCAATCCCGATGTCAATCTTATGATCATTCTCCGATCTCCATCTCATTCCATGTCTTACTATATCCTTTGCTGCCATTAATCCCCTCCACACTCGGCTAGGATTCCTACCCACTTCAACTTCGAGAGGGTCTCTGTCCTGGAAGTATTTTACTTTCAAAACTCTTGCAACTAGAGTTTCAGGGTATTGAATAATTCTCCACAACTGTTTACCTAGTAAGGCAAGAATAAAACTTTGCAAATTGAATTTGTACATTTCTGTTATACTACAAATGGAACTTGCGTCATAATATCAAAATAGGGTAATTGCCTCATTTGGTCATTAAGATTACTAAATCGTGTCATGTTTAGTCACTAGAAAAATTTAATATCAATTTTGGTTACTCGAATTACTGAAACAAGTCACATTTAGTCACTCTCCCGTTAGTTTCCGTCCAACTTTATTAATGGAGTTGAACGGACACTAACAGGAGAGTGACTAAATGTGACATGTTTCAGTTATTCGAGTGACTAAATGTACACGTTTCAGCAATTCGAGTGATCGGAGTTGGACGGAGGCTAACAGGAGAGTGACTAAATGTGACCTGTTTCAATAATTCGAGTGACCAAAATTGATATTAAATTTTTCTAGTGACTAAAATGACTTCGTAATATTAGCATTTCAAAATACAAATTATTTTATACTACATACAAATTAAATTGATAACTATTTTGGAATATAATAGAAGGGCTTCAAACAAATACGTAGATACATACATACATTATGGTTCTTTAACGATGCTACACACAAATCAGAGAGCTTTCAATCTAGGCGGCACCAAGCAACCGAAAAACATGCATGATACCTTTTGTGGCAAATGTATACGCATTTGCAGATGCATAAATATGATTACTCTCTCAATGTGGTTCCTAGGGGAAGTCGCCCAAGCCTCACGCTTTCTGGGAAGTGGAAAGCCATTGAATGTCAGCTAGGGCTACTCGTCCATATCAGTCATTGATGAAGGGGTCTGCGTGGGGCTGGCACTCCCACTTCTGGTCAATTTTAGCGCGTCTAAGGCCTTTTCAATCTCCATGGTCATGGCACTGTCCACACTCCCTGATGACAGCTTCTTGTGTGACTTCTGCAGATGAAGCTTAAGTGAACTACTGCTTAGGCCAGCATTCTTCCCACAAATTGGACAAACTTTCATCATGGGTTTCCTCTGCTGCCACTCCATGGACACTTTCCCAAACAGTTTTTTGTCAAGATCCAGTAACACCTTTGCAAAGCCATCGTTTGGTTGGGCTCTTCTGTGCACTCGCCTCAGGATGGTCCATGCTTCTGCTAGTGTGAAGTTCCTGCAATCAGATGAGGGGAGGAAATGAATCGACAAAGTTATCAATGTCTGTCTGTTCTCAACCCTTGGGATTCTGGTTTTGACTTACTTCCTGAGCATCAAATATGCCAGAACTAAGGTGGCACTTCTACTTTTGCCTTCAAAGCAGTGAACTAGAATCTTCCCGCTGGCTGACTCAACAAGGTCTATATAGTCAGATGCCTCGTCAAAGATGCTGCTGATGTTTGTATCCTCACTGTCACATATCTGTTTGAAGTAACCAATTTCTATTCAGTGCCTTCGAGCGAATTCTAATACATAAACTTGAACACCATTGGCATACAGTTCTAGTAAAATGACAAAACCATGCCAGATCAGAGAAATGACTTACCGAATAGTTTCTGTACTCAAACAGGTCCGGATACTGAGAATCCGACTGTCCAATTTCATTGGCACATAGACATAATATGTGAGTGATTCCCACATGTTGCAAAGTATAAAGAGACCTGGCAGCCAAAGCCCCTCCAATGAACAGACAGCTTGTTATGGATGATGGTTTCTCCGTATTTGCAGCATCGGATATTAGCGATATCCTCTCAAGGATGTGTTCTAGTCTAACCTGTAAGTCATAGTGGTGAATGAATCGGGATTCAATGGAAATGTATGAATGAAGTGCACAACATAAATGTAACATTTCCAGTAGGTTTATTACCTTCAACTCATAAGCATCGACAACACCGTTACTATCACTGCCTTCAAAGAATCCGGTATTAAAATTATTATCCTGACACAGTTTGATAGCATCATTTCTAAGCATCTCATTCCACAGTTCCAGATCTTTATTCGACTCCGTGTCACACTGAAATGTCAACTTGAGACATCAAATTCTAGAGAAAAAACAATAGAGAACTGCTAGAATCTAGGACTGTAGACCAACCTTGGCAAACTTTTGGAGGTCACGAAGCTTTGTTGTCAAACGGAAGCTACGAAGGTGATCTACACCCCCCTTGGACAACTTACCATGCCAATTCTCTCTGGAAATGGGCGAACTAGTGTCAGGGGTATCTCTACTTCCTGAAGGCGTTGATGACCTTGCAGCAGTTCTAGGAAGGTCGGCGTCTATAAAGTCTGGATGGTTATCATTGAAAAACCTGTCCTTGCTTGGTGGTGAAGGGCAACGAGCACGTGGCGACTCCGGAGTCGTAAAATCCTCTCTATCTGAGTCTCCTGAAGCTGTTTTGCTTGCAATGCTCAAGAATGCTCTCAACAAGCTATCTAGCTTTTGGTGAAGCGTGAGAAGAAATATGTGGAACCCTTGGAGATCTCTCAGAGCCGCACGAAACCCACCACGAAAGTATCGAGCAGCAGCTGAAACTGAAGCTGAACTTGCATCTGTGTGCTTTAAATGAAGCATGTCATCACCATCTTCAGATGGAGAGCCTAACTTCCCACCAGTTATGTCATACAACAAGTTTGAAGCATAGTCAGGGTTGTTCAGAAGTAACTCAACCAATTTAGGATAGTTTTCATGGTCATTTGCACGTTTCCCAGCTGGAGGCCTTCGAGGAACACCCGAGTCTATGGCCACAATATGAAAACTGGAGAGATCAGATACAACCGAGTCTTGTGAAGCCTGTCTTACCAGGCCGGGGCTGCTAGATTTTTGTGATTCTGTTGCATCAGAAAGATCGGAACCTTGTGATAATCTTGGGTTATGGGAAACGATTTTGATATCTACTGAGCTTGCCCTTCTATCATTTTGAAGAGCTCTAGCCACTCTTGGTTGGAGTTTCCTAATTGCAGAATCAAAAACATGCCCCCCAAGTTCATCCCAATCTGTGGAATTCACTTTATCAGCCAACAGCAAATTGGCTGGATTCCCACGCCATCTCAGATCACGACATGGAAGTCTATCTTCATTGCGGATTACAAGATCCAACATCAACACCCTACCAAGAGCTGCTGCAGTTTTTTCTGCATATTCAGGTGACTCAAATGCATTGGAGCTTTCCAATAGAGGAGACCCATGAACATAACTGCAGAATTACAAAACTATTAACCTCAGCAACAGATAGTGCGGATTCCAGGGTTTTTTTTTTCTTAAAAAAAAAGCATTTGTACATTTTACTGGTTTTGGTCCAGTTTGAAAGTACTTGTTCACGAAATGCGAGTAGCAATAGGCATAGCACATAATGGTAAGGTTGGATTAGGAAATTTCAAACTGCATTGGACAAAGGTAACCATGACTCCTATTTTAAGCCTGACAGAAGTATTCGCGGCACATGCTGATAGTTTGTGATCAACTTTTTAATTGAAAAGGCAGCATTCGGGTATTTGTACCTCATCAGAAATAGACATCGACTTAATTCAAGAGCTTCCATGAGTTCTGAACAAGTCATTTCACCAACTCCATCCCCTTCTGCAGCTGCTGTAGCTTTCGCCTTTTCTGCAGCTTCCTTAATCTGGAGCCACTCTGGGCTGAAGTTATGGATCACTCTAGCCTGCAATGTTCCAACAGATTAATTTAGTGTCATCGGTCCACGTGGGAGGCATAGGAACAAAGTTCCTACAACAAGTATTTTAAGAACCACGACATGAGATTGCAACCTGTGGAGTTCGGACACCTAACCATTTTGCAAATTCATAACCAAGGCGTTCTGATTGTGTGGCCATCCTTGATGATGAAAACTTTATTACGGCTGCTGCTTCCCTTGGAATCACATCACTGCTTTCAGGCTGGTTGAATAAGGCAAAGAAGACAACTCCCCCGGAATTCACTGTAACCTAGATGAACACAGCTGAGAAGATTTTTGAGCCAGCTAATGAGAAAAAGGTAGATGCAATGTATCATCTTGATAGCTCCTCTTTTCATAATTCCCTTTCTGCCCATTGCTATGGGTTGCAGCATACACCATAACATAAAGATTTGGCCATGCTAATTAGGAATAATTTGTTATCAATACCCCAATTACTGATATCTCAAAAAGGAGATTCTACATGGTAAGTAGACTAGTCTATCTGTTATAATAATAAATCTGGTACAGCATGATACAAACACGGATACTATACATAAATGTAAACCCACAACATATTAAATCTCTCTCATGCTGTAGTCTGTAACAATGCTTCAGCATATGGCGTGGAGGAAATGTTGCATGTATTCAAAAAGTTGGATGAGAGGACATACCTCAAGCGCTTTGGTCATTTCATCCTCTGATTGCTCATTGCTACTGCTATGCTCATTATGGTGGAGTGAAGCAAGCATGTCCCAGTTAAAAGAGGTAGAGTCTATGTCTAACATGGCGGCTTTACCCAGCCTATCCCACAAACTAAGCTCCGGAACTTGCTCAGGAGGTGGATCAGTTCTGGTATCAGAAACTACTTCTTCTCCTGCACTGGAAGGCAACCGGGGACAGATCTGTTAGGAACAGAGCGATCTCAGCTAGACAAAAATATTCATCTCAACACTTTCCTCCAATTCCCTTCGCCCCTCAACTCACGATTCACTAATGGTTGACCACTCAATAGCATCAATCAATCACCTATAAGTTCAATGATTCTCTAACATGGGAAATTAATTATCACTCAATTGCAATATGCACTATAATGCCGCCTATTAGTGACTAGAATAGCCAATTGAATCCAATATTACTGCATGTCATTGCGCCTTTATTCGAAAAAAGGGGACGGGAGAGAGAAAGGACCTGGGGAAGGGCATACTAGGGAGGCGGCGGGGGAAGCCAGAGGGGCGACTTCTCCCACTTCTTTTACGGACCAACTCCAGCCATTGTGTGAAACGATATGCAGGACCTGCTGTTATATCTCCCAACATATAAAGCACCTATGAATTCAAGAAACCAGACATTGCCATTTCTATCGGATTAGATCATCCGCATTGCAGCGCACTATTCTGTGTAATCAAGGGAAGAAACCATGGAAATGGGGAAGAAGAAAAGCATAGAAAGCAGAAGGATGAGAAGGTAAGGTACCCGGGAAGTGACGGTGAGCGGCAAAGGAGTTTGAGGATCGTCGGGACCTAAGTCCAAACCCCTCTCAACGACTTCTTCCTCCTTCTCCTGCAATTCCAGCATATTTAAATTAATGTGTAGTAAAAGTAAAACCCAAGAGCGAAAGCAAAAGAAGAAGAGAGATGTTATTCAATCAACACCAGCGTTGTCAACATCAACAACCCAGATCCAGAAATGGCATCAGGCGGGAGAGCAATTATCTAGATTGCGACCAAAGAGAAGAAAGCATCATCGATTTTTTGTATTAGATTCTACCGAATGAAAAAGGGGATATGTAGCTCTGTAGGGGAAACGGAAGAGTGGAGGAGGAGGAGATTCAGATTTGAGGGTGGGAGAAGAAATGAAATAAGTAGGAAGGAAGAGAAGGAGAAGCTTATTCCTACCTGGGCCTGAAGAAGACTGTTGCCGATGACGGGGAAAGGCGAGGAGGTTTGCCTTTGATCTTTTGCCATCTGGTTTTTCCTTCTTTCTTTGGATGGGGTTCTTTTTTGGTGGGTCTTTTGGGTTAGTTTTACTTTTTCCAAAGGAGAGAGAGAGAGAGAGTACAGAATTAGGAAAGTGGGAAGAGGTATGGCACCACTCTGCTGTATGATTGCTATGTACGATCGGAGCTCTGAAAGACTGTAACTGGAACGAAGGAGGGAAAGGAGGGAGCAAAGGAGGCCTGAGGGTCGGTTTCATTCATGATTGCCCTTTTTTTATTTGTTTTTCCCGCTTTTCCAGGCGGGAGAAGGCAGTTTCCGGCTCAACAGGGCCCATTTTTAATTATTTCTTTCTAGCCGGTTTATTTCGTTAGAGTAAATTACATGTTTCTCCCTCAATTTATTAAAAATGTTCACATTTGTCACCCACAAAATTTCCTCTAATTACGAGTCACTAACTTTATATTTATTTTCATTAATGTTCGTTCGTTGTCCAACTCTGTTAAGTTGGCAGCAACTACAATTGTTGGCATGTCATTTCATCAGATAAAATATAATGAAAAAGAAAGAAAAAACTAAACAACATTGAGCCATCGCTCTCAGGAGACCACACTACTGCTAACCCTCCTGCTGAGTCAACAACATCGACCAAATGAAAATCAGAAAAACCAAGACCACGCAATCTACGAGAGACAAACTATTGTGGCGCAATTTGATACATTACATAGTTATTGCGCGGGGGTTACAGGTACCATATATGATGGTTGGTGATTTTAATGAGATTCTCTCATCTGATGAGAAAGTAGGGGGAAGCCCGTGGAAACCTGCTCAGTTGCAGAATTTTCGATCTTTTGTTGATGGGTTGGGAATTCATGACTTAGGTTATCGCGATAATCTCTTCACTTGGTCTAACCGGCGAATGGGAAATGAGACTTGACAGAGCCTTCACGTCGGATATTTGGATGGAGAAATTCGTGGAGTCGTTAGTTAATCATGGCACTGACCTGGGATCTAATCACAAAGCAATTATTGTCTTTTGAAAATCGTACTCGCGGATGGTCTGCCCCCTCTTTCGATTAGACACTCGGTGGCCTTTGAATCCAGAGGTGCGCCTGATGGTGGAAGAAGTCTGAAGTGAGCAAATTCAAGGATCCCCGATGTTTCAACTTTGGACGAGATTGAAGAAGCTTTGCCATAAGCTCTTTCAATGGAGTCGGGCAGGAACTTCCAATTCAACGAGGTAGATTCAGGGGCTTGAAGCTGAAATTGCAGCGATTAAAGAAGAATACCCGATAGATTGGGAGCGGGCAAACACCTTAGAGATGAATTTGGCGCTTAAATGGGCGGAGGAGGAGCTATATTAGCGCCAAAAATAACGTGTTCGATGTTTGAAGGAAGGCGATCAGAATTCCTCGTACTTCCACACAGTCACACGATCGAGACGGAGGCGGAATTTTGTGGACTAGCTTAGGACGAATGCGGGAGATTGGGTGGTGGAAGAGCCTGCTAAGGCGGATTTGGCAGTCGACTTCTATGCCCATCTGTCTACGTCTGAGATGAGTGATGATGGTGTTTGGAAAATGGTTAATGCCCTACCCATAGAGCAAAGGGTTACATCGGAGATGAACACCACCCTGGTAGCTTATGAGACTACAATGGAGATAAGAAGTACAGTCTTTGTCATGGGATAGACGCATGCCCCGTGGTGAGATGAGTTTACGGGAAAGTTCTTTAAAACATTTTAGGATATAGTAGGCTCTTCGGTGGTTGAAGCTATACATCCTTTCTTTGTGAATGGGCGTATTTTACGAAGCTTTAAGCATACTTGGCTTGCTCTTATCCCAAAAGTGGAGCAGGTGGAGACCATGAGACAGCTGCGACCGATCATCTTGTGCCAGTTTGTGTACAAGATCATTTCAAAGATTATGGCGGAATGTATGGCAATTTTTTTGCCATCGCGGGTGGTGCACTTGTTTTGCTTGTTATGGAGGATTTGGAAGGCTAGGAATGAGGTGGTCTTTGAGGACAAACAGACTCTTCCTGCTTTCCTAAAACTCCAGTTTCAGTTTCAAGTTTAGGAGTGGCTGCAAATCCCGGAGGGTAGGGTTAGGGTTTCCAGATTTGGCGATGTCGGCAGTGTCGATGGGGGGTATGGCTGATGTGGGAGCAGGTGTGATGAGTGTCACATGCTCCTTGGATGGAGCTCTATGAGTGGGCTCTCACACGACAGTAGGACTAGTTTTGCGGAACATGGCTGTTTTTGTGGTGGGTACACTAGGAATGTGGTGGGTACACGAGGAATGTGGTATGTTGGTCTTCAAAATTCGATGTTGGTGGAAGCCTTGGCCCTACGGGATGCAATCCATTGGTGCCAGAATAAGGGATTTGATATGGTGCGGATCGAAGGAGATGCGAAGGTTGTCATTGACAAGGTGAATGTCGGTGTTGTTCGTGATGAGACGGTTGGTGCCTTGTTGGAAGAAATTCGTCATCTCTTGGTGCATGCACCTGTTTCCGAGTGAGTTTGTTGGTAGGAAGAACAATAGGATAGCCCATAGAGTGGCTAGAAAAGCTCGGTTCTTCTTTCCTACGAGTTGTAATAGCTTTGATTTTAGAGCCTGGCTTTGGTCGGAGTCTGAATCTTTGTAACTTGGTGTTCTTGTTAATACAAGTGATCTTTGGTCGTCATCTCCTGGTGCATGCACCTGTTTCCGAGTTAGTTGTGTTGGTAGGCAGAACAATAGGATAGCCCATAGAGTGGCTAGAAAAGCTCTGCCCTTCTTTCCTACGAGTTGTAATAGCTTTAATTTTAGAGCATGACTTTGGTCGGAGTCTGAATCTTTGTAACTTGGTGTTCTTGTTAATACAAGTGATATTTTCGTAAAAAAAAAAGATAAAATATAATATAATTTTAAAAAAGAAGGAATAAGATATAATGCACAAATCACTACAAAACCTCATCAAACACCATCTTTTCCTTCTCTCATCTAATGGTCAAGATTATTTTGTAACAAAAGAAAAAAGAGATGGGTCTAGAGGTGAGACAAGACAACTGACTAGACAAAGAACATATTAATTATGTTCTACACAATGATATCCATTTTGCTATATTTTGAGCAAAGAAAAAATTAACTCTTGCAAAAAAATGTCTATTCTGATATATCGATAAGGGCAAGAGAAGCAGAAGTGCAGTTGGAGCTATTGCAGAGAAATGTTATGTTTGATCCTATACAGTCCAATTCTTAGGATGTGTTGGATCATGAGGGGGTGTGTCGGGAGTTGCGGAGTGTTGAGAAGTCTTTTTACAGGCAAAAGTGGAGGATTCATGGATCACACAAGGTGATGCTAATACAAAGTTCTTTCATAGGCAAACTATCCAGAAGCTTATCTCTGCAGATGGTGAAGTGGTTACTGGAGTAAAGGAGATGGGAAAGTTTGCAGTAGATTTTTACAAAGGGCTCTTAGGGAAAGTTGATAAAAATGTTCAACAATTCTCAACTGAGTTTTTGCAGAGTTGTTGATTAGTAAGTTGGAAGTTGATACAGTATGCTTGACTGCACCTCTTACTAGAAAGGAAATTAGAAAAGTCTTCTTCGGTATGGGGAACGATAAGGCCCCAAGACCTAATGGATATGTTGCAGAGTTTTTTCAAGCTTGACTGGAGATTATTGGTGCTAATGTGGAGAATATTGTTCTCGATTTTTTCAAATATAGAATCATGCCCAAGCAGGTAAATTCTAGAGCCATCTCTCTCATTCCTAAGCTTTCCATTGTTGAAAGGATAAAAGATTTTCGCCCTATATAATGTTGTAATGTGATTTATAAGGCCATTTTCTAGCTGCTCTCAAATAGGTTGTCACTGGTTTTGCCAAAACTAATTGGAAGAAGTTAATATGCTTTCATGAAGGGTAGGTTAAATAGAGATAATATTTTAATGGCTACCGAATTAGATAAGGACTACTATAAAAACAAAATCTCTCTTAGGTGTGCTCTCAAGATTGAATGAAAGTCTTTGACTTAGTTGATTGTAAGTTTCTTTTCAAGGTTGTGAATGTTGTGGGCAGTGCCATTTATCTATGTTAGGTTGATTGAAGCATGTTTTACGTCTCCTATGCTAAGTGTTTCTTTTAATGGAGGACTGTGTGAGTACTTCCCAGCTGCCAAGGGATTGAGGCAAGGGAATTCGTTATCCTTTGGGTAAGTTACCTGTTCGATATTTTGAGGTGTCGCTTCTGTCATGTAAATTGACTTATGGCAAGGTTGTCAAACCGGTTTATGTCTGTGCGCTGGTTTTGCAAGTGGAATGGTTCTACCGTGGTACAACCAGTTCATGTGCCGGTTATGCCGGTTTTAACGAAATTTATGAATATAAATATAAATAACCTATTTAGAAAAATATTACTGGAATATACATCCATATTTAAACAAAAGCCAACATAATTCAACCCTCTAATCTTCCCTAAATCTAACATTGCTTTGATTCTCCAGCAGCTCCTCTCTTTTAATCTCTCTTTTGTTTTTGAAGTTTGGGTGCTCCTGTAAAAATGAAAAATGATGGTCGTGTGTTTGGCAAGGGTAAAGAAAAGAAGAAACCTGATATTTTAACAAAACTATAAAAGTTTAGCTGGGTGGGGCCGAACACTACTGCTTTAATTTGAACAAAACAAACAGCTACAGTTGAAAGTTCCAGAATTAGGAATTCTGGTTGGACCACTGGAATTTCCGATATTGACCAGTTTTGACCGGCTTTGACCAGTATTGACCAGAGTATTATACCGGTTGCATTCTAGTTGGTTTCATGACTGGTACCGGTTCTACCAGGTTCAACCGGCCGGCATGCCACTGGCATGACAACCATGACTTATGGTGATTGTGAGTATCTGGTTGACAAATTAAAAAATGGATAAGTACATGGCTGGCTAGGTCACTGAGTTATGCAAGGAAATTGCAGTTATCACAAGTTTATTCTGGTATTGGATGTGAGTTTATTTGCTCCCAATAAAGGTTCTTAAATTGATTGAGGAAGCTGGTAATAAGTTTTTGTGGGGTGTGGATGGTGATAACAGGAAGAAATCCCATGTTGCTTGGTCAAAACTTGCATTTTTACGACATGAAGGGGGTTTGGGAATTCAAGATTTCAAGACTTGGAAGACTTGGAATAAGGCTTGTGTGATCAGAAACTTGTGGAATTTGTTAGCTGAAGCTAGGTCGTTGTGGGTGGCATGGATGCAAAGGTATCATGTTAAAGGAAAAAACATCTGGTCTCTTCCTGTCAGTACATTGGTTTGGAAGAATAAAAATATAGAGTGCGTCACAACAACACATTATTGGTTTAGGAGATATATTAGCTTAGGATGGTGCAATCATTGCTAAGTTCTCGGTTAAAATTGTATGGGCATCAACCAAATTTCCTTCTCCCACTGTTACATGGTATCACTATGTTTGGGGCAAACTAGTCAATCTTAAGCATAGTGCGGTGATGTGGTTGATCATCTTAGATAGAATAAAAATAAAGGACAAGTTGTCTGGATGGAGTTATCCATTGTGATACATGTTGTATGCTTTGTCCTGGGGGTATTGAGAGTAGAGATCACTTGTTTAGGAGATGTTCTTTTCGTAATGCGGTTTTGAAGAGAGTGATGCATAATGTTTGTGTTTGCCCTAAGTTTGCAGATTGGCAGTCGCAGTTGGCATGGGCTGAGTAGCACTGGGTGCAACCTAGTGATGCAGCTGCACTTGGAAGGCTTTTGTGGATTATGGGGTTTAGATTTGTTTGAAGATAAAGATGCGCTAGATTTTATGGCACCTCGACTGCCCTTTCCCTAGATCAAGTCTTGTTAAAGCTAATGAACGAGTTCTCTATTTTTTGCTCGCAACCATTTGTCATTCCAGTTGAAAGTACATAAAGTATTAGGGACTTTATTATAATACTACTTGTCTTTCTATTCTATAGCAGTTTGATGATTGTAATCGCATAGTTGACATTTTGAGAGGGAGTTTTGCGAGTTGCACTCCCCAGACTTCAATACAGTTTTTTATTAACCATAAAAAGTTAACTCTTTAAAACATGTATTGGTTGTAGTATTATCACTGTCATATCTATAATATCATCATGATATGACAATGATATGATGACTCATCTCCTTCGTTTCTACTCAAAATTAGGGGGAAATGTATAGAAAGACCGATTCATTAAGATTTACACAGTAATATACATTTTGTTATGTTTTGTCAAACATAAGATCTCATATCAACATCATATCACTGTCATATCATTATAATATCATAATATGACACTGATTTATGATATCATCACATTATTTTCTCAAACATAAGAACTCATACCAACACCATATCACTATTGACTCAAACCTAACTACAGAATTCCTAATCAATGGCCAAGTATAACCAACGACCGAGTGCAAAATAAGGCAAGTGTTTAATAATTAACTTGAGGTAGTCTATGTACCCCTACTTCAATCGTTTAAATAATATCTAGCACACAGTTTATGGTGAAATCTAAGAAACTACAGTTGAAAGCAAACAAGCAAAGTAAATTGTGGCGGATTCTATTTGAGAAGGCTTCAATCGGATATTGTTCCCCCTAGTATCGTGTCAAGCTCTGTGAATGGAACTCTAATGTGCAAGTGTGATTAGATAGAGAGACCCCTACTTTATTCGAGTCTACACCATCGTCGAGTCACCCTTGTATTTGGAAGCTCCCATCATATCGTTTGAGCTTAATTGAGGTTCCCCATAGGGCTGAAAATTACCCTGACCCGCCCTTGACCCTGCCCATGTTTCCTTCTTGACCCTGTCTGACCCTCAAGGGTCGGGTTGGGTTGGGTCATTGGGTCGACTTTTATTAACACACTGATTTTTTACAAATTACGTTTTGGTACCTAAAATTAATTTTTTTACAATTTAGTACCTATACTTTTAAAATTTTACAAACAAATTCAATGTGTTACCATGTGGAATTTCATATCACTAGTTGTAGCTAAGGGTCACAGGTCAAAAAGTGACCCGATCCTAAGCTGACTCAACCCTACCCGACCGTTAAAGGGTCAAAAGATGACCCAGCCCTAAACTGACGCTATAGACAAACTTACCCAGCCCGACCCTTAGGGTCAGGGTGGGTTAGTGGGTTTTTAGGTTCAAGCTTATAACCCTACACATGAGTGATTTATGCATGGTTTTGCTAAGAATGAAAAAGTTAGTGTTGGAGGAAGTACTTAAAAGTGAGCATTGTTCATTAAGTTCAAGAATGTTGCATGTGTTTGTAGTTCTTTACTAGCCCTCACGAAGTGGTAAAGAAAAGAAAACAAAAAGAAAGAAATAAATAAAGAGGGTTAGGATGAAAAGAGAGCCGCCAGAAAAAGTCGTTTATGCTCTAAACATGTGTTTCTTAGCAGTCAAGCTTAGAAACACGTACATGATTGTTTACCTCCTTCACTCTTGTGCTTGAAATGTTTGATAGCAATTGTAGCAAGAAAGTTTGTTGTGAATGGTTTAGTGATTGGTTATGGTTTAGAATTGAGAGAAGTATATTTTTCGGCCGTGTTAGTGGTCATTGTTTGTGGAGGAAGGTTCTAGATCAAAACTATGGAACCTTGTACTTTGATTCTAGGTTGAAGTTTTGCAAACCTCATGCTATATATGCCACCACCCAAAAATCCTTTTCCCATGTCCTAGACCCTAGCTAGTCATTTGAACCCGTGTCTAAGACCTCCGAACAAGCTAGTGGTGAAAACCGTCTTGTGAAATATATAATTTAGAGGCTACCGTCATGGTGAAGAGACGATAGAGCTGAGCATTTGAGTATGCTCATATTTTGCATCAAAATGGTCCTAACCCCACGGGTAGAGAGTGATTTTTTCATTCCTCATGCTTTGTTCTTATTATGTATCCCAGTGAGGACCTAGTTTGCTCGATCATTTGTTCTAATGACTTGATCTCGATGCATGAATGAATGTGATTGGTGAGTCTTTTAGACAGGTTATGTATTGGTTTGTGAGCAATGTGAGGACTTTTCCTTTACACGGTTCTATTGCATTCGAATGTCATTTGTGGTGTGCCCTATGACATGTCCCAAAGTTTTTCAAGAAAGAAGTTGTAAGCTTACCTTGTTTTGTACTTGGTTTGCTTGGATACAAGCAAACGTTCAAGTGTGGGGGCATGATTCGGGCATAATTACACATATTTTACCCTTTATTTATTGATTGTTTGGTTTGGAAATCATCATCCCCCGACCTATTCTACGCTAGGTTGTGCTTCTTTTGTTATATTTCAGTTCCTAGTACGTGTGGGAAGGTCGAGGCCGAGTTTCGGGTAGATTGGAGTTCGAAAAAGTGCCAAAAAGTGAAGAAAAGGCTAAGGATCATAGTTTGGGGGTGATTATCACGGCCTACGGGCCGTGACAATTGCAAAGATCTAGAAGAGTTTGCACGTCTCGCGGGCAACGACAGATGTCACGGTCACCAAACCGTGACAATGTCCAGCTGACCGTAATATTGGACAAAAACGGCAGTAAACGCCTGTGCTTTTGGATGAGATCATGGCAGGGCTGCCAATGTCACCCCCGTGACATATGACCTTGACATTAGCCCTCTGGCTGTATAAAAAGAAAGCAGTGGGGAGAAAGAAAGGAAAGCTGGTTTTTGGGAGAAGAACTTGGTTCTCTCTCTAGAGTTTCGACCCAAAACACCAAAGAAAGTTTTTAAGGGAGGGAGGGAGAGAGAGAGAGAGAGAGAGAGAGAGAGAGAGAGTAACCTTGAGTGATTTTTTAGCTTAATTGGTGGTTTGGGTTGATCTTGGAGTCAAGAATTCAAGCCTAGAAGATGAAGATCTTGGGCTATGTTTGTAATCTCTCCTCTCTCTATGAACTACACATCTTTCTCTTATTGATGAACCCTAGATCTAGATTTTGGTTTGAAGTTTATGTATGTGACATATTTTATATTTGATTGATGATTTTATCTATTTTATGGATGGTTTCATGAATTGCATGATTTTGGATTCCACTTCGTGTCAATTGAGCTTTTGACATAGGAGAGAGATAATCCTGTTAGATCCCATTATTGGTGTCTTAGGGTCACTCCTACCATATGTCGTTCCGGATAATCCCCGAGGGAGATTCGAACGACCTCCTAATGATATATGAATCCCTAGGTTCAATAGAGCACTACTCATCCACCCATCCATCACTTAGTACAAATATAAGTTATCAATCTATTAAAAATAAAGTTTTGTTAGTAACCAAAATCATAAGTGAACTTTTAGGCTTTTATGCTATCATAAATCCTAAATCCTAAAAATACTATATGGAGGTTCTCATTAGAAATCCCATTAGCTTCAAGTTTCCAGCCTCCTGCGCATAGCACGGAGGGGCCATTAGGTGATTTTCTTACTTTAATTATTATGGGTAATGGGCAATAGCATAAAAGCTTTAATTTACAACTGAGGGTTCCATTTGTCTTTTTTTTTTAATTCATTTGGGCCTTAGATATCACAGAAAACATTAATTAATATATGGGTAATTAACATGGGTAATGGGCCTTAGAGATCACAAACGCAGCTGCTGCTGTTTTTGGTACCAGATCTTTTGAAAAATCGTGAATCAAATTGTTATTGGTTCAAATTTTTGTGTGGTTGACTAAACAAATTGTTCATTATTTGGTCATTATTGGGTGTAATTTGTGCTTGAAATTTTCAACATAGGCCTTTAATAGATTCAACAAATATTCAATAATCACTTATTAAAATATATCAAACCGTTTGAAAAATTGTGGGTCAAATTGTCATTGGTTCAAATTTTTGTGTGGTTGACTAAACAAATTGTTCATTATTGGTTCATTATTAGGTGTGATTTATGCTTGAAATTTTCAACATAGGCCTTTAATAGATTCAACAAATAGTCAATAATCACTAATTAAAATGTATAGATTTAACAATATAGATCGCTTATGTATATTATTAAAAATCATTGATAGAGTGTTAAGTATTTTGATTGATAAATAAGTGTATACTCTATCAAGGTCTCTTAAACCTATATCAAAGTTACACGCAAAAGACCATGAGTATTTAACAGTAGAATATTAAAAAATCAATTACAATTGACTCTCACCAATCTCTATTTGAACTACAAAACAAGTTTACTAATGATATGACCATAAATAATAACTCTTATCGATTTATAATCATTTCAATTATTTTGACTTTCGACATTATAGAATTAATGTTTTTCAAATTAAATTTTCAACAATCGATTCACGTAAGTTAAAATTGAAGATAATTTATCAACTATTGGCAAAATTAGTAAGATCGAAACATTTCTTTCTATCAGAAAAAATTCTAAAAAAAATATAAAAAAAAGCTTAACGAGACATGATTCTTTAAACTTGCATCTTAAAATTGCATGCATTGTTTAAAATTTAATTTGGGTCTACTATATAATAATATCGACGAGGCATGAAGGGATGGGTACCTTAATACCCATACCCACTCCATACTAAGCGTTGGTCAGGTTGGATAATACCCGCTCGGGTGTGGGGTGTGGCAGGTCGACCGACCCACTCTTATATGTTATCTGAAAAAAGAACGTCGATATTTAGTTCTTTGACAATAACACATAGAAAAAATAATTCATAAATGGATGAGAAATGTAGTAGAATGAATAATTGAGTCTCAATAGTTGAAAGATAGTATAGAGAATTTCTTTGGGATGTAAACATGATTTTAGAAAGGTCAAAAGAGAAAAAATACATGTAGATATTGACGTAAATCAAGATAGAACGGGTAAAAAACGGGGACGGGGAGGGACAGATGGTAAGCAATATCCATGCCTCGCAACAAGCTACTGGAGGTCAGATGATATCCGCCCCAAACAAGTTGGGACAGGTCGGGTCACACGGTTCATATAAGATATTGTCATCACTACTAATATACAATTTGGGTACCTGAATTAGTTATGAAGGTTCCCCTATAGGGCAGGACAATATATATTATTCTCGCAAACATTGGTGACCGTCTTCTCATTTTAGTCACTACATTAAAATTGAAGAGAATTGATTAGCGATTGACAAAGTTAGTAAGAGGGAAACATGTAATTTTATAAGAAAATAGAGATCCAACTAAAGCTTTATGAGTATATGATTCTTTAAACTTGCATCTATATATTTGCATGCTTTGTTGAAAATTTTTATTTGGGCCTAATATACAATTTGGGTACATGGAGTTTGTTGTGAAGGTTCTCTGTGGGGCGGGACAATATATGCAATTCTCACAAATATTGGTGATCATTTTCTCCTTTTGGTCATTACATTAATATTTGTCTCTTAACATGATGATAAAGAAACCTATTTTCTTATAGATTTGTCTCTTAATGAAACTACAAATTTCAGAGTTTTAGAAAACCAAAATTTGGTTTCACAAGTATTGTTTTCGTGATAAAAGTGATGGATGTGCACCACATCCTTCAGGGAGTGTAAACGAATTGAAATGATGAAACTCCAGTTTCAATCTAACGACTCATTAATATTAAAGTGCTATCTCTTTTTCTAATAAGTAGGATAATTCATATTCCTTCCAATGTAATTAAGTTGTCAAAGTTAGGAACTGGTGGTGCTATGCTTAATGCGACCTATCGACCAAAAGTTGAAGAAAACTCTCTCAAGTAAAATAATACACAAAATTAAAGATGATGTCAACTAGGTAGCAATCTATCTTTAGACGTCCATTCTTCTTAACTTCATAATTCACTTTAGGAAAATCACCATACCCATTAAAACATAAATTATGCTAATTTTTTTAGAAGAGGAAGATACTATCCATGTTGGAAATCAGTGGTTTCAGATAGAATAAACAACAAATCATTAACAATATCATGACTTGGATGTAATATATTCTACTTGAAGTATCATATTTGTCATATCATTATAGTTTCGCTTTTATTGAGATGTGAGAGAAGCAGAAAGAGTCGGTCTTCTAATGTTGGAAGTAGTGGATTTAAAAATGGAGGTGACCACATTGTTAACAAGAAGGAAACGAATATTGATTGTAGATATCTTCATTAATGTTTGGTTTTTTTATATGTTTTTATTTTATTATGAGATGGTTCTTTGACATGAGTTTGGTTATTTACTTTCATCCTTACACTATAGAATTTGCTAGAATTTAAGAAAAAAACTCTAGAATGTACATTTATTTTTATGAACAATTACTATAGTACGTAATGTATTCGTCCAATAATGAATTTATTATAAAACTAAAATTATATATAGCCACCAACGGATGGGCCCGGATCTGGTTAATAATTAAGTATTTAAACCGTTAAAAAGGGGAGAAAGCCACGAGCCAGGTGGCATGACTGTTGACTCTCGTCGTAAGAGTCCCGCGGAAATTAAGGAAAGCCGTTCCAGAAAGAGCCACCCATTTCTTTCTTTCTTTCTTTACATTCCTTAACGTTCGATTTTTCTCCCTTTGCGGCCACATTCCTGCTATATTGGAACCAAACGCCAGGAGGAACATCGTCAATCTCCCAAATTACCTAAAAAATTCATTCTCATTCCCACACACACACAAAAAAAAAAAAATGGCCGTCTCCGATCACCGACATCACCGGTCTCTGATCCCAAGCTTCGTCTACTCCTCCCCCGTCTCCACCAACAAACTTTTCGGTCTGAACGACTCCGCTGCGCAAAAATCTACCTCCAACGCGTCCTCCGTCAGTGGCGATGGCGGAACTGCGTTGCAGAGGTTCGCGATCCCTGCCCCGAGCGAGAAGATTGCGATGTACTCGCCCGCTTTCTACGCCGCCTGTACAGCCGGTGGTATATTCAGCTGCGGCCTCACTCACATGGCCGTCACTCCTCTCGATCTTGTCAAGTGCAATATGCAGGTAGGTAACCCTCTGCCCGCCGGTTCCGCTTTCCGTTCGTCTACTTGTTTGGTTTCTCGCCGGATCAATTCTCCGAGGACTTCTTCCTCCGTTGATCAATCTATTGTCATGCATGTTGATGGATTCAAATTGTATGTTTGTTATGCTGCCCTGTTTTGTTCTTGTTTGGCTGCTTGCTTATATGAGTGTCACCATCAAATCTGCTACGCAATGGCAGAGACTTTTTTGCTCTGCAGTGGTAATTTCAGAAGTTGTAGAAAAATACAGCAGCCGGATCTTTGTCGAATCTAAATGCCATCCTGAGCTTATATAAAAGTAAAAAACTCAGCAAATTTGTTGTTCAATGCTTGTGTAAGAAGTGGAAGCGCTTCTGGTGGTTCATATCAATTTCTTTCTGTCCCCGTGGACAATTTTTTTGTTGCCATTGCCAAATTGCATTGATCTCTGGTTTGTATATCCAGATCAACCCAGCCAAGTACAAAAGCATTACATCTGGGTTTGGAGTATTGCTGAAAGAACAAGGGGCGAAAGGTTTCTTCAGGGGATGGGTGCCTACACTGCTTGGTTACAGTGCTCAAGGCGCCTGCAAATTCGGGTTCTACGAGTTCTTCAAAAAATACTACTCAGACATGGCCGGGCCCGAGTTCGCAACCAAGTACAAGACCTTGATCTACCTTGCTGGTTCTGCATCTGCTGAGGTGATCGCCGATGTCGCTCTCTGCCCCTTGGAGGCAGTGAAGGTTCGCGTCCAAACCCAGCCTGGCTTTGCCCGTGGTTTGTCAGATGGATTCCCCAAGTTTGTCAAAGCAGAAGGCTTTGCTGGGTAACATAATAATGACCATTCATTGATAATACCTAGTCTTTTAACTGGAGATTTGATTTTCCTCGTTACACTTGAGTCTAGCTAAAACGGGATGATTCCTACTCTTTCTGCAGATTATACAAAGGCCTTGTTCCACTGTGGGGACGCCAGATTCCATGTAAGCAAACCAATTTTCATTTTTGTGACCAGCCGATTGATGAGTGAAACAAGTCATAATACGTTGCGTTGGGCAATTCGCTGCAGACACGATGATGAAGTTTGCATCGTTTGAGAAGATTGTGGAGCTAATCTACAAGCATGCCATCCCGACCCCGAAAGAGCAGTGCAGCAAGCAGTTGCAGCTCGGGGTTAGCTTCGCCGGTGGATACATTGCAGGTGTTTTCTGTGCTATCGTCTCGCACCCAGCCGACAATCTGGTTTCTTTCCTCAACAACGCCAAGGGAGCAACGGCCGGCGATGTGAGTGTGTGAAAACCCAATTCTCCCTCCCTCCCTCCTTTCGTGCATATCCCATTTCCGGTTGTGACCAACCAGTCAGTCATATACTTGTTGCAGGCGGTTAAGCAGCTAGGGCTATGGGGGCTTTTCACCCGGGGGCTTCCTCTCCGAATCGTCATGATTGGTACGCTCACAGGAGCCCAATGGGGCATCTACGATGCGTTCAAAGTGTTTGTGGGACTGTGAGTTGCTATCTATGTAACTTCATTGATTTCGATTGCATTCATTCCTCAAAGCTTTAGCTTCCTAATGACTAGTTTCTCTCTTGTCCGGTTGGTTTGTCCAGCCCAACTACAGGTGGAGCTGCCCCTCCTCCCATAAAGAATTGAAGAAGAGAGCGAGCGAGTTCATGTGGCGAACTGAACGAGATTATCAACTTTCTGAGTAGCGATCTACTGCCAGGAGATCGATGGTCAAATAATAGTAGCTTAAGCTTAGTATTTGGATCTCAGTAATTGCACCACAGAACAAAACCAATTCTTTTCAAAACATACTCTTGCTATTCCATTAAATTTTTCTGCCATTTTTGTTTTCTTTTGGACGGAAATCAAGGGATAGGTTTATTTAACCCTAGCCGTTTAAGAAGTCATGATATCATCGACGTTGGTCTGGTATTCATTAAATTTTGATACCCTGATTATTTATTGCTGCTTTCTATTATTGTTGTCTGTTGAATCTCCCCCTCCCCCAACTTCCACTTCCAAGTATGAACGAATAGTACAAGCAGTAGAAGACAAAAACAGGAAGGCACATTCTAACACGCGAAAGTTTTACCTGTTGGCTGTTCGAACTTCGAACATATGTACACGACACAAATTCTTCAAAAATAAATAAACAGAAGCAGGATTATAACAATTAATAAATCGAAGATCGCTCTTGTGAATGGCTATTGACTGAGTTAATATTTTTGGTTGAGTGGATAGACAGTATCAAAGACCACTCTTGCGAATGTATGCCGAACTTCATGCAAGCTCCCTATGCTCAGCAACTCATGATTTATCTTTCTACCTTGCTTGGCCACGAATCCCCTTTCCTTCCCTTCTCCTACGCACTCAAAGATCCTCCGCACTCTCAAATACAAGGCCAGTGGGATGAACACCTGCACATTGCGCACCACAAGACAAGAGGTTGGTTGTTCAGTTGCCATTTGACTCTGAAAATGGGATGGCACAAGTTAAAAAGGCACTTGCCATATCTGAATAAGGAGCTTTAGGGTACTTAGCCATGGCCTTGGAGACATAGTACTCATCAGTCATTCGAGATAACTCCTGCTTAACAGATGCTGCAAGATTCATAACCTCATTGACAAGTGCACGTGAATCTAGGATCTGGGGTTCTAACAATTCGTGATAGCTTTTATCATGTGGCTTGGTAATCCTCTTTGCTATCTTCACTGCTTCTGATGTATCTCCCCCATTGTGAACGGCAAGGCAAAAGGTGGCGACTACCATGGGATCCCTTGGGTTGTCAGACAGTGCTTTATGAAAAGCCAACATTCCAATCCTGCAAATTTCAAAGCCATTGTTGGATTGATTTACTTCATTACATCTGATACACCCAGCTTGAGAAGCGTACAAGATTACAATATATAGCTGAAAGTTCGGAAATCAAGATATGTTTCAGGTGCATCCAGTAAATGGCATCTTAAATCTCAAAAGTGTATGCTTCAGTGAGCATGATTTGAAACCCTATTCAGCAACTACAATTATCCCTAACAGTAGTATACTAAGACTTTGATACAACTCCACTCTCAGAAACTTAACCAAGAGTTGAATGCAGCGGGCGTGACATGCTTGCAAATATTGGCCAATCTATTAGGAAAAAGGAAACTATAAAATTTGATTTTTTGGGGTGAATTATTACCATAAGCTGCTATGGCATGGTTTGTCTGGTGCAACAAGTTTATCCAAGCGAGAAAACAATGACTGCAGACGTGAAACAAGGCATGTTAGAAGACAGGGAAGTCCTTGAATCTTTGTGGAAGTGTTAAGGGATCTTAATCTTAGCAAAGACTGGGTGAAAAACCAATACAATTGAAAAACCAGATAGCAGATGCTTTTAGCAACATGAGAAACTGTAAATAGGAAAATAAAGAGGGCAGCAGCATATTACCAACAGCATATTTGATCTGGTATCACGTCTCCTAAAACCATTTTGAACAAAGTATGATGCCTGCCAGAAAAAAAGAGGTGCATTAGATTGATGTGTATTAATTACTTATTGTTCATTTAGTAATCATCAGATTTAGTATTTTGGGATATTTGTGTTTTAATTAATTGTTTGAGTAGGTATAGTTATTGTTTAGGAATCTTATTCCTTCTTTTTTTAGTGTTCATGTAGTTTCTTCGGGAATAAGTTACCCTTGTCAGATAAGTTGCCGAATAGGTTTTTTGATTTCTACTTTGGATATGTAAGTTGTCCGTGGGTTTTGATTATGAATAAGATTGAACCCTAATTAGCTAAATCAATTGTCTTCTTCTTCCTTCAATTCTTCTTGTTCTTGTCCTCAATTTTTCTAGTTTTCTTATCTCGAATTCCTCTCAAATGTCTTCTCACGGTGCGTAAACGTTTATACGCATCAATTGGTGTACGAGTTTGGTTCTGCTCAACATCAAAATCCAGGAGCGATGGCACCCTCAAAGCGACCACAACCTTAACATTCCCAAACAATACGTTGGATGAGGAAAACATCCAAGGGTTGCTGCAAGCTCAGAAAACTATTTAAGAGTGGACGCAAGTCCAGCAAGACATGGCTACCATCATGAGCTAGAGGATAGCATGAAGAACCACGAATTAGGTATCAGTCTATAACCGACCTCCAAGGCCGAGTCCAAAGTTTGCAGGTGCGTCAAGAAGGTCTTCAATGAAGCCAAGAAACATTGCAATTCGGGCAGGCAAACTTACAGACTGGAAATTGTGATGACTGTTACACTTATGGGCATATTCCTCTGCTTCACTTACAGCGAGGACAGAAACTGTTACACCAACTGCAAACTTACACTGAGGACAGAAACACCATTACCTCCACCACCAGAGGGGGTAGCTCGACATAGGCACGACAGTCTTTGCTACAATTGGGATGACTGTTACACTTATGGGCATCGATGTGCCAATGGAAATGTATTCATCCTGATTGGAAACTTTGATGAAGGTGGTGACGAGGCGGAAGAAGAGGCAAAAGGGCAACCTCGGGACAAGGTTGCTTTAGAGGGGAGGGATGATGCGTGTTAATTATTTACCGTTCATTTAGTAATTTTCGGATTTGGTACTTTGGGATATTGGTGGTTTGATTAATCGTTTGAATCTGTTTAGTTATTGTTTAGGAATCATATTCCTATTTAAGTGTTTAGTTTCTTTATGAACAAGTTAACGAATCCTTGCCAAATTCGTGAGATTAGATTTTTCGACTTCACTAATATATAATTTGTCTGCTGGTTATGATCATGAATACGATTGAACCCTACTTAGTTGAATCCCTTAGCTTCTTCTCATTCTTCCGTTAATTTTTCTCGTTCTTGTCGTAATTCTTCTAGGTTTCTATCACAGAATCCCTCTCAAATTCTCTTCTCACTGTGCGTAAACCTTTACACGCGATAACTTAAAACTAATTTGGGACAGGGACTAATTTACAACAGGCAATAAGCAAACCTGAATAGGCAGGAGTATCTCAAGAAGCCCGAATTTCCATAAAAGGCGCAAAGAAGCTTCTGCCGAACCATATGCTAGCATGTAATTCATTTCCATCATAATCCTTGTCTAGCAAATCCGAACAAAAATTGGTTAGCCAGCAAGTTCTAGCCTTTGACTGCACGGAGAAGTTTTTGGAAGCACTAGAATAAAAACAGCAGTTATACCTTATCAAGTCTTGAAACTGAGCCAGACAAATTCTTAACATAGCGAGCTGTTTCCTTAGAGAATCTAAATTCTAGGCGAGCAGCAATCCTAACTGCACGTAGAATGCGAGCTACAAAGAAGAGCAAATGAATTAGAGCCCTCGTAGTTAAGAGTCAAATTGCAGACACAGATACAGATAATCAAAAGGAAAATTGTAAACTGAAGACTCACCACAGTCTTCCTGAAAAGAAGCACTAGCAGGAATCACAGTGCGCACCTGCATTTGCATAAGGCATTGTGAGGTAAAGTACTCCTTCTGATAAGTATAGATGACTAACTAATGTGGAAATACATGCACACTTTAGCCTTTCTAATATCTTCCAGACCTCCCAAGTAGTCGTACACAATTCTTGCATATGGATCAAACATCAACCTGCATGCAAATTGAGAAACATGCTGAAACAAAGATCGTCAAGGAAACAAAACAGGGTAGATCGCATGTAGAGCAGCTAACAAGACATATAAGAGAAAATCAACTTTAAGAAAACCAAATCTAAACTATATGCACTTCCTGGCACCAACCCATTAATTGTGAAGTCACGCCGCATGCAATTTCCCCAACGAACAAAATCTTTCTCCTCACAGTCAACAGGGTTCAAAAATTTAGAGTTCCAAACGCCATGAACTGTCCTTCCTGTTGTACTAAAACTTGACACCTGTTTCCAAATTATATTAAGAGCAACCAACCAGTAAAAACGAGAGAAAGGAAAAACATCAAACAATTGACTTGTTGTAGAAGTGTGCTTAAACTATCACTTCGATAATTCTACTAGGAGAAAAGGATAAAAGAGCATACCTCAATGATAGTGTCATCAATGTGTACATGACAAATGGGGAACCTTTTGCCAACTATTTGGCAACATGAAAAGGCTCTTACCACCTGAAACCAGGAAAACCAACTCAGCGGCTATCTCAAACAAATGAATAGGAATTCAGCCGTTGAACATCAAAATTCTAATACAAACAGACCCAGAGCATGACCTCTTTAAGCTGTGCTGATGTTATTATGTCAAAATCCTTTGGGGTTCGCTTCAGGATAAGATCGCGAACACACCCACCAACAAGATAAACCTCATACCCTGCAAAAGGAAAAACATATCAATAACTATCATCATCCTCAAACAATTACTCCAAAGAAGAAGAAAACCAACCAATAAAGCCAGGGGATAAAGAATCACCTTTTTTCTTGAGGGCATTGAGAACTCTCCTTGTAGGTTTTGCTATCATAGAAGTGCTAATTCCAAGGTCCTCGGAATTCAGCTTCTTAAAAGCTGGGGTCTTTTTCCCTCCGTTCACTTCGCTCCCTGGACATATTGACGATCATGAACTCAAACACACACGAATTACAGAGAGATAGAAACCAAAACCGAAATCTTTTCTTTCCTCCCACCAAAGCAGGGAGCTTTCTAACGGCTCGGATCACTTGCCTGAGGCAGCAGAGCCTCCCGAACTGTAACTGTTGCGTTTGACGGAGGCCTCGGGTTCATTAAGCATCTCAATTGCCGCAACAGCACCATATCTAGCCTATATGGACAAAGGAAAAGGATAAATGCAAGAAAAGGGCATGTAGCTGCTCCAGATATTAAATCGATGTTCCATACGAGGAGAGATTGTGGAAGATAAGAAATTACTTTGCGAACGCAGTAGAACATAGGTGGCCGGAGAGGCATGCGAGGTCCACAGGCAAATCCTAAGCCGGAAACCACCATTCTTCTCTCTGAGCTACTGCGTCTGGATTCAACCTACTCCAGCCAGCGGGCAGCTGATTGACGTTAGTGCGTCTGATGATTGGGATAAGCTTAAACCCCCACCCCCAACTGTCGCTGGCTGGTTAGAAGAGAAAGGGGTTTTGCGTTTTTATTACTAGGGTTTTAGTTGACACCCTAAAATTGAAACGCAGCCCCATCTCTTACATGTTCAAATCAATCGGCACCGGAATCATCTGCTTGCGTGGCCGAGGTAGGGTGTACTTAGGGTCTTAAATTCTCACAATTGATATATTTCTTCCACTAATGTATTAGAATGGGTTAATAACATTTTATGCTCCTCTACTTTTGCAAGTTAACAAACATACCCTTCTATTATTATTTTTCATTTTCGTGTCCTTTTATTATTGCAACATAACAAACATACCCTTCTGTCAATATTTCCGTTAGTTGACCGTTAAATGACATACCAAATGACTACATTGCCCTTCTTTCTAACTTATGATATAATTTTTTCAATATAAAAAATAAACTAATTATTTTACTCTTTAATTTAGTATTAGTTTATGAATTTCCCCAATTTCTACCACTCCCCTCCAATTTCTTTCATCGCACATACCCTGTATCTTCATCTTCAGAAACTCAGGGCCCAACTACTCCTTCGTCGATCAGTAGAGAGAGAGAGAGAGAGAGAAACAAAAGAATTTTTTTGTCCTACCATGAACTCGAGCTTGAACACTTAGGGTTTGGATTGTTGCGGTTTTGATAAGCTCCGGGTTTGGTGTGAGAATTCAATCGGAAATCAGCAGCCAAAGTGAAAGGAACAGCAAGTCTGCTTCTTGTAGTGAAAGGAAACTATGACGGGATGTTTATCATGTTGAGGCAACAACTATTCCCAGAGGTGTTTCTCTTGCCTTCATCTCATCTTTACATGTTTTCTGAAAACCCTAAATTTTTTTATTTTCTTTGTTTACGGTTAGGGTTGTATGTAAAAATTTAAATCCTCTATCACTTAGGTCTTAGTTTAGGAGAAGAATTGGGCGGAGCAGAGGAGCAATAGATCAATAGAGGTAAAGGTTGTTGCTGCCAGAATGGTGAACTACGATGGTCGGTGATGGCGAAGGAGTGGGGGGGGGGGGGGGGGTACGAAGAGTTGGAGACGATAGATAAAAATGGACATTGGTGAAGGTATACGAAGAGTTGGAGACGATAGATATTGAAAGGATGGGATTCCTAAAAATAAAGAAATTCAATTATTAGTTTATTTATGTTTAAAATATTTATTTTATAAGTTAAAAAGAGGGGCAATATAATCATTTTGTATGTCATTTAACGGTCAACTGACGGAAATATTGACAGAAGGGTATTAGTACGCCCCTGGGGGGTGTATGTTATCAAAGTAACGCAGCAAACAACTCAATCGAGGAATCGATTGAGCTCGAATCAAGAACGAAGCGCTCTTAATACGAACTTGGGATAAAACGGAACCAACGGACAATTTCACACCTGGGGAAAGCTCGTATGGTATAAAAGGGTAGCTGTTCGACCACGATTGAAGAGAATATTCAATCGATACAAAGCTCACAAGTTTGGAATCCACCAAACTCAAACAAGTCGCAACTTGCACAAAACCAAAGGTTTGTTTTTCGATTAATCAAAGTCTGACGATTACAATGCAAAAGACGAGTTTAAATAGGCCTTCGTACAAGCAACTCATAATTACAATCTAATACGAATAAGAACTAAAAAGTAGCAAAAAGGACCTAATCCTAACCGAATAAGGAAAACAATTCTGTTTTTACAAAGGCAGAATTTTGTGACTTCATACTAACTTCGCGCCTTTCGTTCGAGGCCTTCCCGAACTCCCATTCTTCATCCAATTCCTTCCCTTTGTTCACAAACGTACCTAGTTTCATTTTGTGGAAGCCTTTTGACTTGAATACCATCCATTCTCCTTGAATCGAGCTCCAAAGTAGGCTTCACAAAACAGTTTTCTGGCTTAGCCATTTTCTGGCAGTTTTCCAGTTTTGAGGTAGCAACTTTGAGACCTTGGAAAACAACCATAATGACATCATATGGATCCAACAAGCATACCATTGGAAACATGGCAACTTTATATGCAAAAAGAACTCTTGATCTCCAATTTCCATTGAGCCATTTGTGAGATACAAGCTTCCAAAGTAGGCTACCTGAAACTGTTTCAACACTTGACCAAAAATCAGAATTTTTCATGGGAGGTGATATGGCTTCTTTGGCAAGTAATTGTGACTTGTAGATTGATCCAATTGGGATCATATCAGGTATGTTTGTTACGTTACAATAATAAAGGGGCACGAAAGTGCAAAAAAATAATAGAAGGGTATGATTGTTAACTTACAATAGTAGAGGGGCATAATATGCTATTAACCCTATTAGAATTAAGTATATTGAACTATTGTCTGGTGTGTGAACTTTCTTCATGTTTAACATTCTGGTAAATTCTTGTCGTTTGGATGGAGTATTTGTATGAGTTATTTGGGTTCAAATAACTCACAATGAGCTATTTGGACGCAAATAACTCGTTTGATAGCGTTTTACTGAAATGAGTTATTTGGACATTGAGTTATTTACAAATAACTCAAAACGAGTTATTTGAAATAACTTATACCCATGTGTTATTTCGAAATAACTCGTTTTATCACTCTGCTTTTACCAAATACCACATGTCAAATACCACATTTGCATGGTTCAACCAAACGAGATACTTTATTTCAATTACCACTGAAATAACATCGAAATACCACATGAACAATAAATGAGTTCTTTGACTCTACAAATACCACATTGACAATTAACCCATCCAAACGAACCCAATTTGGGTCGTTTGGATGAGTTATTCGTATGAGTTATTTGTACCCAAATAACATGGTACAAATAACACATATGTTATTTGGGTACAAATAACTCATACGAATAACTCATCCAAACGAACCCTAAAAGAATTGACCAGGATGTTAAACATGAAGAAAGTAAATAACTCATATGAGTTATTTGGGTGCAAACAACTCATACGAATAACTCATCCAAACGACCCCAAAAGAATTGACCAGACTTTGGGTGCAAATAACCCGTTTGTCTACAAAAATTGGTGATGAGTTATTTGTACTTGGGTTAATTTGAAATAACTCATTAATGAGTTATTGTCAATACCTCATAGGGGGTAGTTATTGTGAAATAACTCACAAATACCACATTCTAATTCTGTGCGGAATTCCACTTTTATATTAACTCGTATTTAATGTTTGTGGTCTGAACCAACTATACACTTTATCAATTTGGTCAAGGCCATTAACCAACGGTCAACCCACCATCTCATCGCCAACTCAACATCTTTTAACTTAATATAACGAGATTTTGCACATAATCCCTTATTTGTTATGACCGGAAAAAAAAAATTAAAAACCAAAATTGAGACTTATCGGGACCCTCTTGAGGGTAAAGCTTCTTCAACAGGGAGGCACTTATGTGATCCTCCAGAGCGATCCAAAACAACCCTACTCGAAGTGGGAAGAAGGATGCACCTCTTGGAAGCATAAAATTCTCGGTCACAAGACCAATTTCACGGCCGTGGAATAGGTGTTTAGACCGATGGATTTGCATCCCTAGTTCCTATCCTTGTGCCGCTTTTAAGTTCATTTTTTGCAGATTTTTATCCCACCATGTCATCGCCAACTCAACATCTTTTAACTTAATATAACTAGATTTTTCACATAATTCCTTTTCTGTTATGACCGGAAAAGAAAATTAAAAACCAAAATTGGGACTTATCGGGACCCTCTTGAGGGTAAAGCTTCTTCAACAGGGAGGCACTTATGTGATCCTCCAAAGCGATCCAAAACCACCCTACTCGAAGTGGGAAGAAGGATGCACCTCATGGAAGCACAAAATTCCTGGTCACAAGACCAATTCCACGCCCGTGGAATAGGTGTTTAGACCAATGGATTTGGACAGAGGCAATTCGCCAATTCCCCACCCAAGACACCAATTCCACGCCTGTGGAATTGAAGGGCTGGCCGTGGAATTTGCCTGACGAGTTAAAATGACCTTTTGTGTTTAGGATCATTTTCCTTTTCGGATTTTTGTTTAGTGTTTGCTTCTCTAGCCTATATAAAGGCTTGAACTCGAGTTTTATCACAAACTTTGAAGAATCTTGAGTTTATATTAGTTCACTGAGTTTTGGGGTTGTGAATTCTTTATCTGTATCAATCGAGTTTTCCCCTTGACTGTGGTCAAGATTCTACTCTTATATTGATAGAGCCTTCTCCGAAGTGTGAGATTGCACTTCAATTCCGCCCTATCCTTATTTTTTATTCATGTTCTTAGCTGCATGATTTTGATAACTATGGGTATAGGTTCAGTGCTCGTATCAGCCGCCTGTGGCAGAGGCTTGCTCAAGAGTTTTCCAAACTGCAAGGGAGGATCATCCAAGGTCAATGGAGCCCAGCCCATGAAGAAAAAGAGTGGTGGTTCCAACCGCCACCTTACTGCTGCTAAACCCTAGTCTTGTTCAAGAAGTTTACTTAGCCCACAAGGAGTAGGAGACCCTTTCCTAATCAGTTTAGGAGACTTTTAGTTGGGTCGTACCCTGTAAATAGAGGGCATGACTCATTAGCTTAGTATGGCTGCACAAAAACACTAAAACTTATGTACTCTGCTCGAGTAAGAGCTTAGCTTTCGAAGGACAGTCTGTAGCTAAGGAGATGTTTTCATCATCGATGGTGGTACTCAAGTTTTCACTCTTCTACAATAACATATCATCAATGCATGTTGTGATTGAGACCTAGTGACTCGTTCTAACTACAACATCCCAATCGCGTGCCAAGTATAACCGGCGACCGGGTGTAGCATAGGGCAAGCAAGCAATAAGAATTTATCGTACAACGAGGATCTAGGCTTACCTTACTTCAGGTTTAGGGTTCGTTATCTAGCCAACCTAGGATAGTGATTAATAAAAATAAGCTAACTAACCTAGACTAACCACTAACCTAGCTATTTACAAGGTTTGGAGCTCTCCTAGTTTAAATCCCCCTATTTCCGACCTTTGGCTCGATGTTGAGTACCATCCTAGCTTGATCGACCCACTATCCTACCGTTAGGAGATGAACTCCCTTGGTATGGACCCGAAATGGCGATGATGGACGAGTGATGCTCAATTCAACCTAGGACACCCCTATATCGTAGGAGTTCGGTCCAATCGATTCCCTCGGGGATTGCCCGAACGATATGGGGTGAGGATTTGTTTCCCTTCTAGGTCAAAAGCATGATTGACTCAATTACTCTACCGTTAGGAGACGGATTCCCTCGGGAATGATCCAGAATGGCAAATCGATGAATGTGGTAGGCTCTATTCAACCTAGGGCAACCCTATATTGTAGGAGATTGATGGAATCGACTCCCTCAGGGCTTACCCGGATGATATAGGGTGAGGAGCGACCCGAAGACACCAAGAATGGGCTCTAAGGGGATTTTCTCCCTCCTAGGTCAAAAGCTCAATACATGAAAATGGAAACCCAACTCATGTCATTCATGAAAACATCCATCAATTAAGTACACTCATTAATCAAACATGGCATGTGTTACATACATCAACATTAAACCCAAATCTAGACCTAGGCTTCTTAAACCAAGAGAAGAGGGTGAGTTTTAGAGAGAGAAGAGAGAGATTGCAAATTGGGCCCAAGATCTTCTTCTTCTAGGGTTGAATCCTTGTCTTCAATATCAACCCAAACCTACAATTAAGCTCCAAGATCACTCAAGCACTCTCTCTCTCTCACTAGAACTCCCCTTTGGTGTTTTGAGTTCAAACCATAGACCAGGAAACCGGATCGTACCGGCCGGTTCAACCGGAAATTGGACCAAAAGCGGTACGGTGGGCTGATTGTGCTGATTTTACCGTGCCGGTCGGTTTTTTCGGTTTGACCGGTTGAACCGGCCGGTATGATCCGGTTTCCTGGTCTATGATTCAGCTTCATTTCTCCGTATTCTCGTCCAATATGTGGAAAATAATTAAAAAAGAATATTGTTTTGCTATTTTTCTATGTTGAAAATGGGTCACCGTGGTTGTATAATGCTCTATTTGGTTCTTTTTTTGATGGATTATATTTTTTATACTATCGCATTTCATTTCTCTATCAATAGTGAAAAACGGTATTTACCGGTACAAAACGGTTGAACCACGGTCGTACCACAAAATACCATACCAGAAAGGAATCCGGTATGATGTCCGGTACGATTTCCTTTACCATGGTTCAAACCCTAGAGAAAGAAACCAATTCCTCTCCAAAAAACCAGCTCCCCCTTCTCTCTTTCCATTGTTGTCTTCATATTTACCCGAAAGTGAGCAGTTCACGGCCGTGAACATCTAAACGCGTATGTGAACTCAGTGTTGTCCAAAACGCACTACTTCACTCTCCCGGGTTCACGGTCAATGGCCCCCGTTCACGGTCTTAGCAGACCGTGAACTGCCTTGTTCGACTGTGAACTGCGGCCATTTCCTGGACACCTTCACTTCACTGTTACGGGGCAATTGTCACGGTCTTCGGACTTTCCTTTGGTTTTTGCGCTTTTTGAACTCCAATTATCCCCAAACTCATCCTTGACCCTTCCACACGTGCTAGGACCTGAAATGTATCAAAACAAGCACAACCTAGCGTGAAATATGTCGAGGAATGATGAAATACTAAGCTAAACGAATAAGAAATGTGGGGTAAAATGTGTACATTTGGGCACGAATCACCTAGTATCCATTATAGTACTCGAGTTTGCACTCTTCTACAATAACGTATCTTTACATTTATGCATGTATAAATCAAAAAACACCTAAATAACTTTAGTCTTCTTGTTTTACTTTTCTTTGTTTGCTACTAAAATGAAAAACCTCTAAATGTCTTTCTTGTTATCGTGTGTCATAGATGGTTGGTGTGAGTAGTTATGCATTATAAGACCTCATGGAATACGACTCTAGGCACATCTAGGATTATCACTTATGTTTTCTGACATCAAGTTTTTGACGTCGTTGCCTGGGATTTCTAATCATATATAAAATCATCTAACCATCTTGTGTCTTTCTTTTGTTTTAAGTTTCTTTAGTTTTGCAGAATTTCACATGAGTTTTTAGCTACTAGAAGAAAAACCAAAAACCTAAAGTTAGCGTGATCACTTCAATCCGTGCAGATTATTGTGAATGGTTAGCACGTGTCAACAACCACCCCATCTTAAGACAAGTTTAATCTAAGACGACATTGTCGTATAGTGGTAATCAAGGTCGTATTTTACTCGGGTCCTAGTACCCTAGCCTACTTCCCACTTAGTTGCTAATTAGTTAATCGGTTTTGGAGGGTTAAGTGGAAGATTTGAGGATATAACTAGACTAGAGATTGATCAAAGCTAAAAGCAGGTACCTCGGGGAACTAATCCTCCCCCTAGCTTAGGGTTACTATGCATATATAGATAGCAAATGTGGTGAGTGAGCTCTTTTCTGTGGGCTTTAGTGGTTATCCACACGCCTCCGAGTACGCCTACCCTAAATCCATATATAGTCACCTCGATCTAGGCTATCGTATCTGGGGCATTAGGCTTATGGCTTATTTCAATGGACACTATCCATCGTCCACATCGAGGTTTTATCTGGGGTTCTGTCTAGGAAGGCTAACCTACGACAGGGGTTCGGTTGCCTCGATCACCCTAGGTCCCTATTCATACATCTATCACGATTTGCTTTATGGTGCATACCCGTCTAAGACTAGAACTCCAAACCCAACATAGAAGCATAAAGTAGGCTAATAGAGAAGATTGGGCCACCCTGCCATAAACACAATCCATGATAGAATAGCAATAAAATCAACTAGATAAGCACATTCATTCATTCAAACCCTAAAATATTCATTCATACAGAATAAAACCTAAATCTAGGGTTTGGGGTTTAGAACCCCTAGTACCTTAGAGGACTACTCCATAAAGGAGGGAAGAAGAAACATAGAAGAAATTGAAGAAGACTTGGGTTGAGGAAGATGCTCCCTCTCTTCTAACTACTTCTCCTTCCTTTAGCTTCTCTCTCTTCTCTCTCTAAAACCAGAAATTTCTCTCCAAATCAGCTCTCCTAATAGGGGGGAAAGTTATCTCCTATTTATAGAATCCTGGAAACACAGACAAGTTCACGACCAAGGGGTTGAAATTCGCGGTCGTGAACTTGTGAGGCGAGGTCGCGATCTCTGGTCAGCACATTTACGCGTTGAAAACTCAAAGTTCGCGGCCTGACATCTTGGTTGCGATCCATAATGTTGCGGCCATGAATTTCCTCGCAGGTTCAAAGGATGGTGGTCGTGATTCAACTGGGAAAAATCTCTGTTTTTCCTTCGCTGGCTACCTCTCCAAGTTCGTGCCCATCACTCCATAGATTGAGGTCGCGATCTTTAGGCTGGAGGCCGCGATCTTAGCTCTTTCTTCGCATCCTCCATTCCTGGTCGCGATCTTCCTTCTCTAGACCGTGATCTTCAATTTTTCGCCCATAACTCTACACTTGTGCTCCTTTACATACCTAATTCGCATGTATTGTCAAAAGCACCCTAAAATCACATAATAATCAAATAGGAACAAAATAGGGATGCGATTGACTCTATTTAAGCATTTATGCACATGAATTGGCACGAAACAAACCTTAATATGAAGGGTATACAACACCAATTTAGGTGTTGTCATCGTGCAAGAGATAGTTCAAGAAGGAAGAGCCACAAGTTAACCCATCTTGAAGACAAAGGAAGAAGCATCTATATCAGGAGAAGAAGATCCCCCAAACCCCACCAATTTTGGGCTTAGCTTGGGAGAGGAAGACAAGATTGATAAAGACAACTTCAATTCGGAGCAACAAGGAGCATCTTCAACTTCTACAACATCATCGATGGCTAGAGAAAAAAGGAGAAAGACAAGTGGTCGTTCCACTTACTCTTTATGTGTGCTAAAGGCTAAGAGCATCCAACATGTGCTACGCCACCAACAACCATAGAGATCATAATTAACTCAGATGGTGCAACAAGCTAGGAGATATGGAGGAAGAAATGATGATGATCCGGTACAACACTTGAAACATTCTTAGAGATTGTCAATTCCATACCTAGAGATGACGATACCAAAGATGGAATTCGACTATGACTTTTCCTGTTCTCTCTTGGAGGAGGAGCAAAGCAATGACTCGAATTCCATCTACCAGACACCTTCACCACATGGGAGACCTTTGCACAAGCATTCATCGAGGAATACTTTCCACCATGGAAGATAGTGCAGCTTAAAGATGAGATTACTCAATTTCAACATAAGGAAGGAGAGAATTTCTATGATCCTTGGAGGAGATTTCAGGAGTTTATCAAATCATACCCCATCATGGATTCATGCGAGAGAAGATTGCAAAGTATTTCGAGAAAGGTCTTGATCGAGACACCACGATGATGGTAAACCAGTCGGCCGATGTTGATTTCACAACAATGGCAGGAGTACAATGCTATTAGCATTTCGCCGTACTAGCAAGGAAGTCAAAGAACTGGTCCAAGCGTCCAACAATGATCAAACGGTTGAAAGCTGCCCAAGAAAGGGGGATGATGTCGCCACCCTCTGTGCATACATGAAGGAGCTGACCCAACAATTAAGAAAGACTTCAATGGAGCCAAAGAATGGATCATTTGCATCCTTGTTCATTTGTGAAGCATGGGGAGAAGAAGGCCAACAAGGATTCGATTCCTATAGCCAAGAAGAGCAAAAACATGATGTTGTCAATTATATAAATCAAGGCTATTAATCGAGACCTCTTTAGTGGACTTGTGGTCTGCTTTGTCAGGGTTTTGATGTATTTTAAAAAAATTGTGGTTTGCTTAAATAAGCTTGTGGTCTGCTTTATGAGGTTTCTGGTGTGCTTCAGTGGACTTGTGGTTTGCTTTGTCAGGGTTGTGGTGTGTTTTAGAAAACTTGTGGTTTGCTTAAATAAACTTGTGGTTAATAAACTTGTTGGTCTTCTTTATGAGATTTTTGGTGTGCCTCACTGGACTTGTGGTATGGCAGTCAAGGTTTTGGTGTATTTTAGAAAACTTGTGGTTTGCTTAAATAAACTTGTGGTTGCTTTAATAAACTTGTGATGTGGTTACTTGTGATATGCTTTATGGAGCTTGTAATATGGTTACTTGTGGTTTACTTTAGTACTTAAAACTAATTTTCTTACATATAAGTCCTAAAAATGATGAAAATTACATTTTAGTACCTAAAAATTTTTCTATTTACATTTTGGTACATGACCTTTTAAAAATTTACAAATAGGTCCATTATTAAGAAACTTGTAGTGTGTTTTATGTTTATTGTGGATTGCAGAGTAGTTATACCGATTTAAATCCTAAAATCCTACGATTTTACTTACCTATCCTGATTCATATTTTATTATAAAATCTATGGACCTTAAAATCCTATACTATTCACGATTGAAATCCTTAAAATCTTTAAACTCTTACGATTTTATGATTCCAATCTTTGAGTCAATTTTACTTATTTTTACCATAATTTGCAAAATTAAACCTCTTTTCCTTCTACTCCACCAACATCATCTAGTCTCTCACACTAACCACCATCGATCATCATTAATCCACGTCAACGTATTAAACATCATCGATTCACCACCTCTTATGATGCGGTCCCATGACCCCTGATGCCGAAATAAAAAACGAAGATAGGGAGGGCGGGGGTTTTTGGCCGAAATTTTCCCGATCGGGGAAATGGAGGAAGAGATAGGGTAAAAGGAATAGAAGGCCCCCTGTCGATGTAGCTAAATACTTGACCAGGTATTTTCAGGGTCCGACCTGGTATTTGGATCAGGGTGACATGATTTTGTGTTTTAAGTTATTTTTGGTTATTTTTAATTGTCCAGACCTATATAAAGGCTGAAACTCGGGTTTTAGGGTTAGTTTTTAGCAAAATATTGATTTTTATCTTCGTTTTGAGCTTTAGGCTTGAACTTTTCTCTGTATCAGTCAAGTTTTCCCATTGATTTTGGTCGAGATTCTACCTATTATATTAATAGAGCCTTCTCCCAATTACGTGTTGAGATTGCACTTTCAATTCCATCCTATCACTATCATTTTATTTTTGTTATTAGCTGCGTTACTTTGATAACTACGGGTACAGAATCCGTGCTCATATCATCTTAACATTAACCTTGATAAATTGGAACATTAGCCTTGAAAAATTATTATTGTGAGTGTTATGTGTTTTTCCTTATTAATATTATTTCGTTTTTGTTTTTATATGAACCTTAAAATATTACGATTTTACAATTTGATTTAAGATTCTGATGTTACCTCCATATTAGAGTTTATGTAAAATCTCGATTTTAACTGCTTTGGTGGTTTGTTTGATAAATTTGTGGTCTAAACTTGTTGTCTATTTTAAAAAGTTTGTTTACTGTTTAATAAAATTGTGGTCTACATTTTGTGGTTCCCACCCCTTCCCCCATTTAATTGCACGAGACACACGTGAATCCCTCTTCTCCCAAATTTTCATTGATTGTGGTAAACTCATTTAAACTGAAAAGTCATCGAAACAAAATGTTTCTATTGTCTGGAGCTAGTGTTAGCACCATGCCAACAAAAAAGTATTAGCCCACTAGCCCCTCTCATATAAAACCTATGTGATTTCAGTAATAATACACAACAATTCCCACCATATTCTGATTTACCAACAATTAATATAAGAAGATGACCTGCATATAAGAATAATATTATTTATGATAAATAATTTTTACAGATAAAGCCTCTGCGTCCTTGTACGCGCAATTGTCAAACGTGTAACCCCATAAAAGGATTGCCAGAGGCCATGGACGGTAAAATAGTTACATCCTGGCGCGTAGCATGGATAATCTCTGACGTGACATCTCTCAGTAGGCCATTGGAGTGCGAATGTGTAGTAGTCAAATCTTGTCACACACCGGAACGCCGCAACAAGTAGTAGAACACACTGTTAAGTTTGAACCTTTCCCATGGTACGTATTTTTTAAGCAGATATGTACGTAGTAGGAAGTAGGAATTGTTGATGATCCATAGAGGTGCTCTATTATATATTATGTTAACCAACCTAATGGCCAGCGTAGTAAAATTAAGTTAGGTACTTGTGATTGGTAGGTGATTGCTTTGCTATTTGCATGGTGATTACTGTTTGGTTAATCGCGCGCTAGTGGTAGATGAAACTAATTAAATTAACGCAAAATTAATTGTTTTGCTATTTTGCGATGACTGTTTGGTTTACCGAACATTAACCGCTACTGGTTGTCGAAAAGTAAATTGACTCAGCATTAACCTACAGACAACATGCATTTAAAATTTCTGTTGATTCTGCATTGATCCAATCATAATTTTTTCGAATGTGCTTGAATGACTTTCCATTGTAAAAGAATTCAAAACGCGCAGCAAAATTAAGACATGAATAAAAGATATGCGAGCACATGCATGAGCCACATAACATCATATATGTATGGCCATGGAAGTTATTGATTCTAATAGACCGCACTATGTCGCCCTTTCAAATCTTCTATTTATTTATTATGGTTTTCGCCCTTTCAAATCTGGAATCCATTGTAAGTTATTCATTCTGAATGTAACTTATTATATGTCAGCTAAATTAAATTTCAATTATTCTTTTACATCTTTAATCTGTAAATAATAATTGTATAAAATACTTAAATGGGTAGTATGGTGAATGGTCTGTATGAGCACATAGGTAGTGAACATTATAAAAGAAGTGGCAAGCGACAAAACACATTACAAGTAGAGCACACATTTTGAAAGATTTATGTAACAACGTTTTATAACAGTTATATAAAAAATGTTATATAACAATTACATAAATTACAAGTTCATTTGTAAAATTTATAGACACTAGATAAACTAAATTTTATAAAGGGATAACTATTATGTAAGCAACGATATTATATGAGTCTTCTTTAATGATTAGCACACTACGTAAAACTTCTAGATAAATTATAATTTTTTGTGTATCAAGTAAATAAAAATATTACATAAGTCTTCCATAATGATTAAGCACTACGTAAACCTTATGTAATGATAGTTATTTATTATGTATCACTTAAACAAATGGATGACATATGTTATTCATAATGATTAATATACTACCTGAGATTTATGTAGGTATTTTATCTGAATAATTTTGTGAATTATTTGATTTCAAACAAATAATTAGCTTCTTATCGCAGCGGAGCGCTGACCAAAATACTTGTTATCTTCTTAGACAACTACAATCTCCTCGCGCTATCGCTGCTGGGAGTTATGTGAGAGACCTCGTTCGCGATCATGGCGATATGCTACCTAGGATTGAGCAAGAAGAAGCGCCTCGTCGCGAGCCTATACACAACGACCATCGTAGCCATTACAACAGTGGTGACAGTGGCGTGTTTTCTCTTCAACGAGATCCACGCTCGTGGGAAGTTCGTGGGCATCATCCTGACCTGCTTTTCGTTCACCACTCTCCTGTTGGTGGCATATTAACTGGTATGTTAAGCTACGATACTTCATATTACGTACTACTAAATTGAACATGATATTACTAACTAAAGTTATAATTTACCATAGGGTAGTTTTCAAGAGAGACACTGATGTCGAGCTGTCGCCTTTCTCCTCCGTGGTGGAGGAATATGAGGCTCTGAATTTGTGCATCTATGGCATTTTGTTCCACAACAAATTTGTCGCGGTGAGCATTCTGTATCTATCATCTTGATTGTTTCCATAATTTTGTCTTGTATTTGAGTACTTGCTAGTTGCTTGATCTTTAATGGATTCCGGCTTCTTGGATTTGCTGCATGATTATTCTTGATAATAGATTCGCATAGCTTCTTAAAACATGAATCGTAATGGAATGAATTTACGTGCCTTCCTTGTTCGATGATATCAAACAAGACTAGTCCACGGGAAAGGTTTTGATACTTTTCTTATTGATTGGCAGAAGAGATTAGTTGTACATATATACATTCCTTTGGCTATCAACTAGTAACCCTAGCATATTAGTATGTTGATTAAGTCTAATAGGCCAAGGCCTCCAAGACGGACCACATCCCTCTACACCTGACGACCCATATTTCAATAATTTTACCCGCTTTCACTTTCTTTCATGCCTTCTTTTTTTCTAGACTTAAGTGTCATAGCGATAGAAACCCATGTATTCATACCCTATTTCCATTTTCCCAGTTTCTTTAATGCATTATAAAATAAAAATATAATCCATAAAAGTTATAAGTTATTTTTAATTTGATATATACAGATCCTTCATGCGATAGCTTTTGGTGGGCATGTGACCATTTTTTTCGTCATAGGATATATGTACCTCGCCCACCACCGTCGATATGAGGTGGGATTCAATACTATCTTCTTTGTGCTGCTGACATCAACATATTGGGACTACGTTCGCTCCAACATGTCATGAGATAATTAAGACCATAATAACTTCCAAATTCATTCAATTCTTAGAGAATATTTTATCATTTTTTTTAATGGTTTAATACACTTGTATATCCAAAACTTTCACGGTTGTGCCAATAATATCCAAATTTTCCGAAATACCACTTATATCCATGTTTTATAGTTGTTCTTTGCCAAATCTATCCATTTCCCAATATATTTTTGGTTAAATACACTTGTATATCCAAAAATACCGTTAAAGAATGTGAAGAAATTGGATATAAGTGGTATTTTGGAAAATTTGGATATTATTTGCACAACCGTGAAAGTTTTGGATATACAAGTGTATTTAACCTTTTTTAATCAATATTGATTGTGTTTTTTTAACTAAGTATTTGTAATTTGCTTTATTGCGACAAGCCTTCGTCGCATGTATGACGCTCCAACTTTTGGCCGGAAATCGACTCTGAAGCACTAGTAGTGACAATAAGAGGGTAGCAGTTGTTTGGGGCAGTGGCCGCGACGGTGGCAGTAGTGATGGTCCTTGGTAGGTTTAATGTTGACTTGGAGTAACCAAAGCAACCTCTTGTGGGATATGGAGAAGGGGGAAGACAAAGACTTCTTAATCAGTCAGGCTTTGGAATTGGATCAACCAGCGATATCAACAACAATTTTTGTTTTTTCCATTAACATTAGTAAAATATTTGGTAAGCAAAGCTATTGAGATTATACAATGTGGTGTTGTGCGTGGCTGGTGAGAATAGAAAGTAAATATATTTCACCAATAAATCACGCACAATAAATATATTTATGGTAAGTTGAAATTGGTAGTAGAGCCTCCGAAACTATTTCAACCACCTTTCTTAGACTAATTCACTTCGGTAATTTAATAGTGCAATATATTATGACTCTTCTCAAAACAACGATAAACATAGACAATAAGTATATAACTGGCTCAGCTACCACTCATCTCAATCCCAACTATAGGTCAAGTGCAACCCATAGATGGGTGTAGAATAGGACAAATATTCGAATACCAACCCAGGCGGTCTATCTACCCTTACTTCAATTGTTCACACGTTATCTAGCAATCATATTGTGGTTAAAGCTAGAAGACTAAACAAATTAAAAAAGCAAGGAAGTAAACTTTAGTGAGTTCGATTAAGGAAGAATCACTTAGATATCGCTCCCTCTAGTCTTGTGTCAAGGCACAACGAATGAAACTCTAGTGTAATAAGTAGGATCATATACCATGAGGAGGTCACAATTACCTTGGGAAACTCTAAACCTCTTAATCGATCGATTATGGATTGTCACAATTAGCAAGGAAACCTTAAGCCTCTTAATCGATTGACAAAGGATTGCAACACCACTCCCTCGGAAGTTAATCCGGAACGACAAAAAGCAACCAATAAATGAAATTATGGCACTAATTTGATGAATGAGGAATGACCCAAATTTCCCTAGAGAAGTTTACCCGAATTGTCAAGATTGGGCTATAAAGGGATTTTCTCCTTCTAGGTCAACTTGTCCCAAAATTAAGATTTAATCAATCAACACCCTAATTAGTGCCAATAAGAGATTAGCAGTTGTTTGGGGCAGTGGCCGCGACGGTGGCAGTAGTGATGGTCCTTGGTAGGTTTAATGTTGACGTGGAGTAACCAAAGCAACCTCTTGTGGGATATGGAGAAAGAAGGAAGACAAAGACTTCTTAATCAGTCAGGCTTTGGAATTGGATCAACCAGCGATATCAACAACAATTTTTGTTCTTTCCATTAACATTAGTAAAATATTTGGTAAGCAAAGCTATTGAGATTGTACAATGTGATGTTGTGCATAGCTTCTGAGAATAGAAAGTAAATATATTTCACCAATAAATCACGCACAATAAATATATTTCTGGTAAGTTGAAATTGGTGGTAGAACCTCCGAAACTATTTCAACCACCTTTCTTAGACTAATTCACTTCGGTAAATTAATAGTGCAATATATTATGACTCTTCTCAAAACAACGATAAACATAGACAGTAAGTATATAACTGGCTCGGCTACCACTACACTCAATCCAAACTATAGGTCAAGTGCAACCCATAGATAGGTGTAGAATAGGACAAATATTCCAATACCAACCCAGGCGGTCTATCACCCTTACTTTAATTGTTCACATGTTATCTAGCAATCATATTGTGGTTAAAACTAGAAGACTAAACAAATTAAAAAAGCAAGCAAGTAAACTTTAATGAGTTCGATTAAGGAAGAATCACTTAGATATCGCTCCCTCTAGTATTGTGTCAAGGCACAACGAATGAAACTCTAGTGTAATAAGTAGGATCATATACCACGAGGAGGTCAAAATTACCTTGGGAAACTCTAAACCTCTCAATCGATCGATTATGGATTGTCACAATTAGCAAGGAAACCTTAATCCTCTTAATCGATCGACAAAGGATTGCAACACCACTCCCTCGGAAGTTAATCCGGAATGACAAAAAGCAACCAATAAATGAAATCATGTCACTAATACCTCAATCAATTATATTAATCACAAACCCAACACACATAGAATTCAATTCCTACAATTTAACACATCCTAGACTAGGGTTCACAACATCCAAGTGCAATTGGAGACTACTCCGATAGCTAAAGGAGAAAATACAAATAAGAGAGGAAAAAACCCATAGCAATATGATCTTCCTTCTTCTTAGATGTTTTATTCAACCTTTGGAGAGGAAATCAACCTTCCTCTAGTCTTGAGTAGGTGAAATTCTCCTTCCTTCTTCTTTAGCTCGCAGCTCTCTCTAAACATGGAAGAAGAAGCTCCAATCTCTCTCTAAGACTCTCCCTTTCAAACCAACCAACTCTATATAGATCATGAGTGCTCAAATCACGGTTTCACTTCATGCCCATGAAGTCAACAATGAAACTGTGATCTTGGCACAAAATGCGTTGTTTCACTAACAAACTTCACGAGCCGCTTATTGACATCACGGTTTGGAGACCGTGATTTTGACACTGATCGCGAGCCATATAAATCCTCCTAGATCGTGCGATCTTCACGGTTGAAGTGCTGACATCACGGTCTGTGTTTGTGTCTTTGTGATAGATGCTCCGCAACCGTGATCTCTGTACTTTCAGCTATTTTGCTCCATTTTTGACCTCTTTCGTCCGACTTTCGATCTTGATACCAAGATTAATATCTTAGGTCTGAAACATGACAAAATATGAACAAATCCCGCGTAAACTAGCTCAAAGGATGGTGCAAACACATCAAACTTTGAAAGTAAAAGGAGTGCCAAAGTGTGTGATAACACCCAAAAAGGTGTTATTAAGCATTCATTTATTAGGTGTTTTATTGTCATTTTGAGTACAGATTGATTTGTAAACCATCATTTGTAGCCTAGATTGTTTCATTTGTTACATCATTCCGTTTAGGTTGCATTTGATGTTACAATAAAAAAGGGAGAAGATGGGGCTAATGTGTAGAAAAATTGGTGAAAAGGAGCAAACACAAAGATTACAGCCTAAGGAGCAGGATCTTGGTCGAGAAAGTTGCACGTGAAGTCAAGCCAAGAGATCGCGGGCCAAAGCTAGAAGATCGCGGCCGCGATCCTAGGACCCATGGGCGCGAACTTGAAAAGGAAGCACTAAAGAACAGACATAAAGTTTTGCTAGGCGGATCGTAGGCCACAGTGAAAGAAGCTGTGATAAAGATCACGACCACGAGACCACGCTCGCGGCCGCGAACCCTGGGTGCGATCTCCCGATTTGTCAAGACTGTTCGATGAAGCTTAAGATCATGGGCCATCATGGCCAGATCACGGCTTTAATCTTTCAGCCATTGGACGTGAAATTTCCCGAGATGTTCCAGGGCCTATAAATACAAGAGCATCTACACTTGTCAAGGGGAGCCGACTTTGAGAGAGAAAATTAGGGTTTTGGACTGTCTTGAGGGAGAGAAACACTTTGGGAGAGCTTAATTGAAGATCCAATCAAACCAATGAGCAAGGAGGAGGTACAAGCATAGATAAGAAGATAGTTTTCATCCTCTCCTCTCTTCTTAGTTTTTGTTTTCTCCCTCTCTCTATGACTTGAATCTCTAAGGTTATGTAGGAAAGATAAAGCCTATTTTGTACATTGTTTATGGGTCACGTGTATGAATGATTATGAAATTATAATTCATGTGAATTTGATGTTTGTGCATAAATCTCTTGCTTGATTGTGATTGATTGTACTTAACCTAGGTGATAACTTCCTTTAGGTCAAGGTTTGCATAGACACCACTTAGTGTGGGATTATCTATATCCCATGTGCTTGGTTGAAACTTAGATAATAGGGTAGTAACATCATGGGTTTTTGGTTAATTGAGTTTACCTAGAGTTTTTATGCTTCATCTATGCTTAGTAATGTTGGGGCTTTTCTCTCCAACTCTTCTCTACTAGCCTACAACTAAGTCTTAGAACTAGGTGGGAGTTTTAGGGTTAGACTGATTTCAGCGCCTTATGACTAATTAGGTGTAGATGAATTATCTAGGAGAGTAGTTCATGAACGAGGTGACCGTAACTCTACAGATTAGATGTCCACCTATGTAATGCTCGTGGGGTAACGTGTGTGGCCATAGGCTTTCCCGAATTGTGTGCGAATGTATATAATCCGTTATAGGATGTCGAACATGCCCCTAGTTAGTTAACCAGTTGATAACACCTAAATTGGTGTTATTTACCCTTCACGTTTAGGTTTATTTCATGTCAATTCATGTGCATAACCGATTGAATAGCGCCGATTGCATCCCTATCCCATTCCTTTTTTATTATGATATGATTTTAGGGTGCTTTAGACAATACATGCGAATTAGGTATTGAAAAGGACACAAGTGTAGCAAAAGGGACAAAATACTGATGATCACAACCTGGAGATGAAGATCACGGCCAAGAACAAAGACGACTAACTCAAGGAAAAGATTGCGGCCTCGAAGCCTAAGATCACGGCCACGATCTTGGAGGTTGAGGGTGCGAACTTTGTGAAGAAGCCAGCGAGGAGAAATAGAGAGTCTCCCCAGTCCGATCACGGCCATAGTTCGCATTAAATGTGAGGAAGTTCACGGTCGCGATTCACGGATCGCGACCGTGAAGTCAGCCCGCAAACTCCTCGTGTTTGAAGGCCAAAATGGCAACATCGACAAATCACGACCTTAAGGGAGAAGATCGCGACCATGATCTTCAAGCTGCCTGTCCGCGATATTCTCCGTCCTCTGAAGACTATAAATAGAAGACCCCCTTTCCCCATTCAAGAGAGCTGATTTTGGAGATAGAATTTTTGGTTAGAGAGAGAAACAAGAGAGAGAAGCTGAAGAAAGGAGAGGAGGGGAATAAAGAGGAGGAGCTAGAAGAAAGGAGTCATCCTCCTCGACATCAAGTCTTCCCCTATTTCTTCTATGAACCTTCTTCCCTGCTTTATGGAGCAGTCCTCTAAGGTACTAGGAGTTCTAAACTCCAAACCCTAGTTCTAGGGTTACTATGTAATGAATGGATATTCTAGGGTTTTAATGAATGCATGTGTTTATCTAGTTGATTTCATTGTTTATCTAGCTTTCATTGTGTTTGGGTAAGTCGCCCTAATCTTCTCTACTAGCCTACTTTAGCTTTACATTGGGTATGGAGTTTTAGGGTTAGACGGGTATGCGCCATCAAACAAATTGAGGTTAGATGTATGAATAGGATCCTATGGTGGATGAGGCGGTCGTACCCCTACCATAGGAATGCCTTCCTAGATAGAACTTGGGATAAAACCTCGGTGTGGACGGTGGGTAGTACCCATTGAAAGGAGCTATGTTCTTAATGCCACAGATACGATAGCCTAGATCGAGGTGACTAACATGGGTTTAGGGGAGGCGTACTCAGAGGCATGTGGATACCATGAAAGCCCACGGAAAAGAGCTCACTCACCACATTCGACAAACCCTATTTATCTAGACATTGCATAGTAGCCCTAGACTAGGGTGAGTGATAGTTCCCCGAAGTACCTACTTTTATCCTTATTTGTTCTCTCTACTAGTATTCCGCTTGAATTCTTCACCACAAACCCTTAAACCGATTGACTAGATAACAACAACGTGGGAAATAGGCTATGGTACCGAGCCCCGAGTGAATACGACCTTGATTGCCACTATATGACAACGCTACTCTAGGTTAAACTTGGCCTAGGATGGGGTAGTTATTGAGACGTGCTAACTATTGACAATGACTTGCACAGAGTGAATCGATCAAGCTTTTTGACGCCATTGTCGGGGACCCTTAGTAACTAGTAGAAAACCATTGAGTTGTTAGTTTAGCCTTTATTTTCTTCATTTTTTTGTTTGTGTTTGTATTATTTCCATAGTTTTTATCGTTTTATGTTTTGTTATCCAACTTTGTGCGTCACGGGTTGTTGAATTTGTGTCTTGTAACACTTTTGTATGCAAAGAAGGGACTCTTTGGAGACATTTCCTCTTGATACAGAAATCGAGAGAACCCTTCGGAATCAAAGAAGAGTTGCAAGACATCAACCTCCACTAATGGCGGATCAACAACAACTACCTCAAGTTCCACCAAGGCCTAGAACAATGGGATCATACTCAAGGCCAAGTGTGGATAATGTTCAATCACATATTCTTCACCAAAAAGTGTCGAACAACAACTATGAGATAAAGTTGGGCACAATTTTGATGCTTCAAAGTGCAGTTCAATTCAATGGGATGATGAGTGAAGATGCTCATGCACATATCAAGTCCTTCTATGAGTTGACGGATGGAATCAAGGTGAACGGGGTTCCTTAAGAAGCAATTCGTCTGAGGTTATTTTTTGTTTACTCTAAATGGAGAGGCAAAGCAATGGTTGAATAAGCATCCCCATCACTCCTTTGTCTCGTAGGACGATCTCTACAATAAGTTCTTCGCACAGTACATTCCACCTTCTAAGACGACTCTAATGAGAAGCGAGATGACTATGTTCTGTCAAGAGGATGATGAACCATTGTTTGAAGCATTGGAAAGGTTTACATCTCTCCTAGTAAAATGTCCACACCATAGCATCGCCGATTGGTTACAAGTAGAAAGCTTTTATAATGGTTTAACAAGGGAGTCACACCACCTCATCGATGCGGCTAGTGGAGGTACCATAAGGAACAAGGAGGTCGATGAACTTCAAAGATTGATTGAAGAAATGGCTCTGAATAGCTACGATTTGGGGAGGGGAGGGGGCAGAAGGAGAGGTAAGGATGTGAAGAAGGGAAATTTATTTAAGATTGAAGAACCATCGTCATTAGCAGTACATATACAAGAACTTTCCAAGAAAATTAATCAAGTTGCATCATCAATGAAAGGCAATGGGAAGCAACTCATGAAATGTGATTGGTGTGGCGACTCGAGTCACACTATGGAGGATTGTAAGTCTATAATTGAGGGCTCAATTCAATTTAAGCAAGCCAAATTTGTTGGAGTGCAATCTCGAAGAAACAACCCTTATAGCTCTACATATAATCCGTGTTGGAGGAACCATCCTAACTTTCTTTGGTCTTCTCCGACGGATAGAAAGCCTCCAAGGTTTCAATCTCAAGCTCCTATTCAAAATGCTTACCCAAGGCTGAGTCAACCCTCGTACCAAGGAACAAACCAAGAACAAAGTCGACCATCCGAGGGTTGAGTTTCTAAACTTGAAGACTTGGTAGGCCAATTCTTTACGCACTCAAACAAGAAGTTTGAGGCTGTTGACAAAGTCATAGAGAATACTATGACCAAATTCTCAAGTTTGGAAGCGGGTCCATTAGTGAAGTTACTTCGACATCTGTTGGATGTGAGGGTGTCCCTCCAAAATTAAGAGATACGGGAATCTTCACTATTCCATGCACCTTCGAAGTCAAAAACCTTTTGGAATCCGCTAGCAGATTTGGGGTCTAGTATCAATATTATGACTACAAGAATATACAATGAATTAGACCTTGGACCACTCATACCTACTAAAATGCGGGTTGAGTTGGACAATAGGCCTGTTTTCTAATGGTCTTGAACCCAGTGGTCAAGAGTGAGTGATTCAATCACATTTTGCCTGTTCATATCTTATCCCGGTGAGTACCTATGTTGCCCATTCGTTTATTCCTTGGACTTGAACTCTATGCATGGTTAGTTTTGGTTGGTGAGTAGTCATGTCGAGACGTGTATTGATTTGTGAATAGGGTTAGAACTTTTCGTTTGCACGTTCTTAATGGAATCGAATGTCGTTTGTGGTGGATGTTGGCATTGCTTGTAATGGTTCATGTGTTGATGCCCAATAGCCATTGAGATTCACTCTCTTTGAGCCCTTTGATATGTCCCCAAGTTATCTTGTTAGGTTGAGATATTACCTTGTTGGGAATTGGTTTGCTTGGGGACAAGCAAACGTCTAAGTGTGGGGGAGTGATTCGGGCCTAATTGTACACTTTTTACCCCCATTTTCCCCAGATGTTTGAGGCACTTTTACTCCGTGAGATTCGGTTTTATGCTAGGTTGTGGTTGTTTCTAGTATGTTTGAGATCCTAGCATGTGCAATCAACTCATGCAACATAAGTTGGATGAAAAGGGAAAAAAAACCGATCAAAAGGGAGCAAACAAAAACAATTCATTGTGGAGGCTAGTAGATCACGGTCAGCTAGACCGTGAAGAAGGGGTGCAGACCGTGAATCATGGAGTCTAGTGGGTTTTGCATGCCTTGTGGGCGTTCATCATTTCACGGTCATCCGACCGTGAAGTGCCTAAGTGAAACGACGCATTTTTGCTTGACATCATGGTCCAAGCCCAATGTTCAAGGGCGTGAACTTGGACCGTGAAATGCCGTTGATATGGGTATATAAGTAGGGTTGAGCTTAAAGAGAAGAGGAGAGAACCTAGTTTGAGAGAATTATTCTTATTTAGATTTCTAGAGTGAGAAAGTGACGAACAAGAGAAGGAGGAGAAGTTAGGGTTTCATCCAAGAGCAAAGTTTTGGAAAATTTTTCCTCCAAGGTTGATCTCCACACCACAAGGAAGAAGGCAAACATCCTCAAGATGGGTTTCTCTCTTCTCCTTAGTGTATTCCCTCTACTTAGCATGGAGTAGTCCTTTCTTTCACTTGGGTGTTTGTGAACCCTAGCTATAATTATGTGAATGTTTGTATGGATTGAATGACTTGTGTATGGTTGTGTTTTAATATGAGTTATGAGGTATTTTCATGAAGGTTGAGTTGTGTTTATGCATTTCCTAACTCTTATGCCATTTTGACCTAGGTAGAGGGAAATCCCCTTCTTGCTAAGAGTCATGTAAAAGCTGGAATTCCTTGGTCAAATTGCGTCACCTACTTAGGTTAAATTAGGGCAAACCTCTTAATACGTATCAACACCTTGGGTAGGTTGTGTTTTGGCCGTCCGGACTATGGTTTGAGGAAGAAGCCCAAGCAACCCTTAGTCGATTGGCCAAGAGAGCTGCCTTGGTAGCTTGATTCTAAATCTCTTGACCTAGTGACTGAGAGAGTGACGTTTGCTCACTTGTTGCGCTTCCCTACGGTTTACAATCGCCTTTATCACACATTTGCATTCTATCCGAGAAGTCATGATTACTAGCTAGGGGGAGCAACACCTAGGTGAAGACTTCTCAATTAGTCTTCAAATCATTTGCTTTTCCAATCTCTTTAGCTTTAAACCATAGTTTTAACCAAAAACATTTGCTAGATAATGTTTCAAACAATCAAAGTAGGAGTACATGGACCGGCCCGCTTTGACTTTTAAAACATACGTGTCCTATATTGCACCCGGTTAAGGTTAATACTTGGCCCTTAATCGGGATTTTTATTGTGATATTCGGGACGAGTCAATTGCCGCCCAACTTCTTCCTTCCCGCTCCAAAAGATCGCCCAATTTTCATTTGGATTGATCTATATTGCCACCTAATTTTCATTTGGGTTAATCTATATTGCCGCCCAAAAAAGTTGGGATAGGAAAAAATGTTTTTCTTCTTAGCTTTTAGAGTGGTGTTTTGTTTTTCCGAATGTATGGTTTGTTTATAGTATCTATTGGTTGCAAATGTTGATATCACCATTACTATTAGCTAGTGTACTTTACCACTTACAATTAACAACATGACAAGTTTGCAAATCATACAAGTTTATTCAACATTTTGACTAGTTCTTGATTACAAATATAAGTATATATACGAGTTAGAAAGAAATTGGTTAAAATTGTGAAAATATTTTAAATTAGTGTAAAAAAATGTTTAAGTTGGTAGCGAGTAAGAAGTAAATAACTCGATGTGCTGATCCGAACAAACCGCAACCCGATCCGTCCGCAACCCACCCGACCCGAAACTCGACGAACCTATAATTCGATTTGCCCGCAACCCGATGAATCAACAACCCGACTAACCTGCAACCCTTTTGAACTCTATTAAACCCAAATCTAATAAACCCGCAACCCGATGAACCCAGAACGAAACCGCCGATTCACACCTTGGGCTCGAATAGTAAGCGGAGCTACTTTTTTTCTCCTCTCACGCGGTCCCGCTTTACTGTATCGCTCTGTCCTCTCAGATCCGAACAAATCCTCCGGCGGAAAGGCTCTGATAACAATTCTCGTACAACTCTCCAGATTACTCCGGCAAATGAGGATTCTGCAGATTGGGTTCTTGGTCGCTTTGGCATCTGGACTTTCTGCTATTCTCATCTACATTAACGGCGTCACCAATTTCGGTACCCATCCTCCCTCCCTTCTTCCATGCACTCCCGGCGAGTTCGATTTCAGTTTTCCGAAGAGAACTCATCTCTTTCTCTTTTCACAATAATTGACTTGATCATTTGCTTCAGTTGGGATCCAGAGACTGTCTAGTGAAGAAGTGGAAGCGTTGCAATCTCTGCAAGCAAGTTTCAAGAAGTGCGTGGTAAAAATTGCATTTTCTTCTAAACCTTCTTGCTTATTAGTTTGTAAGACGGCCGTCTACTTCAGCTGAATGTTTTCTCCTTCTCATTTCAACTTCTTTTGTGGCGACTTGTTATATGATGCAGAGTGCTAATGGACTAGGTCTTCAAGCTTTCCCCGGGAACGATTACTGCATGGTCACCATTAATTTCCCAAGCAACACTGACTCTAAATGGGTACCACATCATGTCCTGCATTCGTTATGTTTGTTCTGGGGAAATGGAAGAAAAATACCACTAATGGTATATGACTTTTGGTTATGTTCTAACAGAAGGACCCTAAAACTGGAGAACCCGAAGGTTTGTCCTTTGAGTTCGATCTATGTGAAGCAGTGGCAACTTGGGAGCAGGTGAGTTTGGTGTTTCCCGCAGTAGTCTATGGGAATTGTGGGTTGCGACCTCAATGTTGTTTGGACTCTATATGCTTTGCAATTGATTTATTATTTAGTGAGTTGATTGACAGGTTAGGAACAGTACTACCATACTTACAAAGCATTTCATAGATGCTCTCCCAAATGGATGGGAGGACTATGCATGGCGCCGGATCAATAAAGGAATTCAGCTGTATGTTGTCACCCACTTTTCTGTGAACCCACATTGTTTCCTTATTTACGAATTGGCCTTGTGATGACTGGTAGTTTGATGCCACTGCTCTTTAAAATGCAGCAATCGATGTCAGAATAAGACTTTATGTATGGAGAAGCTCAGATTGGTGTTACCTGAAACACCGCCTTATGTTCCCAAAGAGTTTGGCCGTTGTGCTGTTATTGGTAATTCAGGAGATCTTTTGAAAACAAGGTTTGGGAAAGAAATTGATGGTTACGATGTTGTCATCAGAGAAAATGGTGCTCCGATTCAGGTGAAGTGTTACCATTTAGCTTTATCAATTTCAGCTGCATGGTTGCTGCTGTAGGGATCTTGTCAACCTCTCGTTGCAATCGGTTTTGCAGAACTATACTGAATATGTGGGTAGGAAAAGTACCTTCCGCCTACTTAACAGGGGATCCGCTAAGGCTCTTGATAAAGTTGCGGAGTTGGATGGTACATGCATCTCTCCATTTCCTGCTTTTCTTTCAATGCACTTGATACTCTTGGCAGTGCTGATTCGGTTAAGTTTGACAGAGTCGAGGAAGGAAGTCTTGATCGTCAAAACAACAATACATGACATTATGAACCAGATGATTAAGGTAGGTTCACATGAAGACTGAAGTGCATCCAGTAACCTTCTTATTTCCCAGTGTCTGCCTGGAAATGTAATATCTATTGCTATTGCTGCTTACCTCAAGGCTTCACTTGCCTTTTGCTGATACATTTATTTACTGCCCTCTGTAGGAAGTTCCAATAAGAAATGCTGTCTACCTTATGTTAGGTGCATCTTTTGGATCAGCAGCAAAAGGAACTGGGCTGAAAGCCCTTGAATTTGCTCTATCTATGTGTGAGTCGGTGGACATGTATGGATTTACTGTCGACCCAGGATACAAAGAATGGTATACAATTGGGTTAATAGTGATCACCTTCTGTTGGTGCTAAACTCGCAACTTTGATGTGTTTCCCTGAAGTAACTTCTAATATTCTTTCAGGACTAGATATTTCTCAGAATCTCGGAAGGGCCACACTCCTCTCCATGGGAGGGCTTACTACCAAATGATGGAGTGTCTTGGTGTAACTTCCCTTCTCGACTCTCCCAAATTATTATATTTAGGAGGCAAAATATTTTCATCACTTGATAACCTAGTGTGCCTCTAAATTTTACAGCTTATCAAGATTCATTCTCCCATGCGAGCTGATCCCAACCGTGTCCTGAAATGGGTTCCAAGCCAGAGTACTATTATTGCGGCTAGAACTGCATCAGAGAAACTACTGAGGTGAGCCTCTAGTAGTTTATTCCCCGAATGAAGTGTATTATATCCATTGCCACAAGTCTACCACCATTAATCATCATGAAATTTCATGCATATATGGCTGCAACTTGATAAATTGAGGTCTGGGCAACTATATCTTATAACATGTACTTTGGATTAAGTTGAACAAGATCTGGATATTAGAACTCAATGCTTGTCGCACAAGGCTTAACTTTCAATCTTCAAGAACTTTAGGAAGAGGAAAACATTGCTGAGTTTCTACTACTACAAGTATCGATAAGAATATTATCATTCTGTATATCCACACCCATATCCTCTGTTTGTCTTTGTAGGAGGGTTGGAGCAGGCTCTATAGACCCACTGAGAGCATGTGAAATAAAGAAACAGGTTAGGAGGCGGCCATCAGCTGTTCCTAGTCCGAGAAAAGCTGCTATTGATCATCAGAAGTTCGTAAAAGGCACAACATTGTACCCTTTGGAGCACAATCCTGGACATGGTATGCTCTGTACAGTCCCTATGGGCTGAAATTTCAAAACGCATACCAGGCATCTTTGCACGGAACCAGCTCACTGAAGTTGCCAAGTTATTCTTTGATTAATTCACGATGTTATGAATGTCAAGCGCAGAAGCAAACTCATTTGATCTTACGGTTTTCTAATTGCTGGAGAGATTGAAATAGGCGGATGTAGGTAGGTGGAGATTAAATCAACGTAGTAGTATCGACCATAGAACCTTGCCAGCTGCAGACGTGAACACAAATAGGTCTTTTTATGTGCAGGAGGCAGCTAAAACACGACCTTCGTCATCGTTTGTATTCATCTCTACTGTTTCTGTACAAGTGAAAGACCCTATTCATAGCGTTAACCCTCCGTTGCTCAGCTTGCTAGCTAACCTTGAAGTGGCAATTTCCAATCCACCAATCCAATCTACTTCCTTAAATTTCAACTAATGCAATACATTTAAATCCAATCAATTGCCAGGTTTCTCATAAAAAAAATAAATCCAATCAATTGGAATTGGTTTGGTGGATTCATAGATTATTGATACGTTACAGTTTAATATCTATATTTTATATTTTGATACCTAAAATTTACTTTTAGGGGAAAATATTATTGAATTATTTTTTTATGGTTAACCAAAAATTGTATTGAAGCCGGGAGAGTTACAACTCGCATACTCCCTCTCAAAAGATCAACTATTCTTTACAGACCATCAAAACTTTTATACATTTTCGACTGCTTAATCAACTATAAAACTAATGACTATGTTCGAACACATTTTGTACTATCAACCGGAAAAGGAATTTGACCACTTGCAATTTGCAAACATGTAGAACTCCTTCCGAAGTTTGGAGACTTGACTTGGATTTGCTATCTTCCCTTTCCATACAACATTGTACATCTTTCTCGCCAAACATAACTAATAGCCATTATCCATAGCAATCTCACCACAGGTGCTTCATTACTTTTCTGTACCCATTTATGCTTAGCATAGGGTAAGTGAGAGCTCTAATATGATAATGAAGGACAAGTACAGACCTTATTCAATACTATCTGCAATACTGATGCACTAAAGTAGCAGGTACCAAACAAGTGATCGCTGCACTCTAAACCCCCTGGGCATAACACACAACTACCATCACAAGCAATCCCCCAGCTAGAAAGTTTATCCTTAGTTCCTCAAGATGATAAACCATAATAGCACACTATGCTTTAGAATGAATGGTTTATCCCATCTGTTTCATGGTTGTCAAACGAGGTGAATGGTTTTTGAACCATCATCGATGTTGTCAATAACGGTGAATGGCTCACCGCTCACGTGTAATGTGGTGAGACACAGATATGGGAAGAAAATCATAATCCACACCTCACCGCATCCGATGGCCGTGATACGAGGATTCTAGTTTTTCTCCCAAATCTTATGCCTCACAGCGTCCCGCGTTAGTAATTCGAGTCCTTAACCGCCTTTATCGAATGCGGTGAATGCACTGCATTGGACGACTACGATGAAGGCACTGCCTCCATGCCTGCAGTCTCCATCTCCTATAAATTCAGACCTCCTCCCCTCATTTTAGCCACACCACTACACTTCACAATTCTTTCTGTCTCCCTTCCTCCACTCTAGGAATTCCAATGGTTGCGGTTAAGGCCGATCCTCCACAACATAATAAAGTACTTGAGTTATTTCCTACAACCCTCCCTACTAAAAACCCATCGAACATAAGCTTCCATAAAAAATTAACGAAGAGGCTCTCAAGGTAAGTACCTGCTTTCCTTTTGTGATTTTTTTTTGTAATCGAAATAATCTGGTTTCATTTTTTTTTATAGATAGATGCCGAGATATACGATCCTCGATTGTATATCGATTCTGGGCTAAAGGATGCGAAGTATTTAACCAACAAGCAACACATCGCTCCCGTGCAATTTGACACAACAATCCGGAGGCACTCGTAACAAGCTAAAATTTTAATTTTTGAAATCTTGAAGCTTTATATTTTGCTTTCCTTTCACTAATAGTTTGCTCACTTTTGTATTTTTTTTAGGAATCACTTTCCCGAATGGCATGACCGACTCGGGCCGTATTTAGAGAGGACGGGTTTGGAAATGATGAGACACTTCATGCAGATTGAGATCAACATCAATTTGTTGACGGCAATGTTAGAGAGGTGGCGCCCTGAATTACACACCTTCCACTTTCCCGAGGGGGAAATGATGATCACTCTCAGAGACATTGTTCCTCACCGGGCTGTTGATCACCCGAGAGGCCATCATAGGCCACTCAGAAGTTCTCGAATGAGGCTGGGAGCCCCTGATTAGCGAAAGTTTGGGCTTCGACATGCCGCCACCGACGATAGTCGAAGGACATGGACATCCACCGTTGAATGCGGGGCAAATATCGATCCCATGGCTTGTTGATCACATCCAAAAGAAGGTTCCTATCGGCCCACACACCCCCAAAGAATAAGTGAAGCGGTATGCACGTGTCTATCTCATTGCCTTGGTTGGTGGATTCATGTTTCCAAACAAGGCAAATAGGTGGGTACATGCCATGTGCTACCATTGGTGCTCGATGACTGGGACGAGATCGGGAGAAAGAGCTGGGTGTCGGAGGTGCTCAAAGATGGGTGTGAAACAAGCTGGAAGTGCTATGTTCATCCTCCAGCTCGTCGTCTATATCTTCCTCCTCGCTCACTGATCTCAAATCTTCCTCACTTTCCTCGTCGCTGGAGATGAATAGATAGCTCGGGCAAGAAGGATCATCGTTACCGGCACCACCAACATTGTCTTCTCACTCATGCAAAGTACTCCCAGATCGAATGATGTTCTAAAGGTCAGCCCACTCGAGCCCCCAAACAGGTCATTGAACTCCGTCGTACTCAATGAATGGGGCAGGCTCAGCACGTTGCGAGTATTCTTCCAATGACATCACTCCTGCAGAACTACCCTCTCCGTAGTTGCTTGAACTACCACTTCATTTGTACCTTCCTGCAAACCCATCATCATAAAATATTCGTGAGAATGAGTTTCGCCAACCTTCTCGGTCTCAACATATACCTCTGCAAGCTGCATCCTGTTGTCAGTTAGGAACTGTAACATCATGGACAACACGTCATCATCATCTATGACAACTTCTTCGTACATAACCCCGCCAACACTCATGTTTAGATACCGGTAAGTAATTTTACCAACTCCCGACTGTCCGCCCATATAAATCATGTATGCACAAATGTCACGAAGTTTTGCCATGCGAATCTGGACTCAATTTTCAACATAGTGGATTCATCATCTTCATAATTGATCCCAATGTTAGAGTTTATCACCCGACCATTTCACCCAATAAGAAGCTGGAACTTCTTGAATTCATCCATGTCTGCAATTTAATAGAAACATGTAGTATAATTAGTACTTAGGGCTACACAAAATACTTCAGAATCATAATTCGTAACCATAAACAACCACAACTAACTAATCGAAACATGTAGTATAATTGGCATCACTATAACATGAGTATACTAAACAAATTCATCTATAACCAGAACTAACTATCATCCTTCAACCATACTTAATCAAAATATCTGTACTATAACATACTTGCCATTAACAGTAATTCGTTAAATACAAACATATAACTACTAAAACATCAACAATCTAAACAATATCAAATTACAACATACCTTAAATTATAGTTTTTGTAAGATATGGGGAAGGGTTTTGGCAAAAATGGGGAAGAGGTTTGGCAGAAATGGAGTATGGGTTTAGTGTCAGCAGCTACGTGGGAGGTGGGAGTTTATTTTTTTGACATACAGTCTGCATTCACCGCATTTGTCTAAAGCGTTGAAGTGTACACCGTTTTAGACAAACACGATGAACGTTAGGCAGTTGTCACCTACCAGGGCTGAAAAATGTGGAAAACGTTTACCGCTGTTGAGAGACGCGATGAATGATTGACTGCTTTTCTTAATAGCGGTGATGTATTCACTGTTGTCGTCAACAACAGTGATGGTTCAAAAATTCTTCTCTGCGTTTGACAACGACGATGATTGCTACTCTGCAGTTGACAAATAGCGGTAAAAGATCTTCACTGCGTTTGACAACAACATTTTCTTCGAACATATGTAGATTGAGAATTTTTTTTTGTAACGTACGCATGTCCAGGGGCGGACCCAGGGAGTTTTAGGGGTGTCCCCGGACACCCCTAAATTTCGGGAAAATGATTATCCAACCCCGGTGGTAATTTACTTATAGACAAAAAAATATAATTGATAGTGAGGGACACCCCTAAAATTTGAAAAAAATGATTATCCTACTGTCATTTGTGTATAAAAATATAAATGGTAGGTTGGGTAATTCAAATCTAGAACACTATTATTATTAATAAACTTAATTTTCGTTGAGCTACAACTCATTTGGTGTTCGATTTTGAACAATGTGTAATAGTAAAAAGTCATTCCCTATCTCTAATTATTTCAATCTAAACTAATTTCAATCTTCCCTTAATTTGTATTGATTTTATGATTGTACGGCAAGTGTTAAAGAGTCTTTCAACTTTGGGTTACATCAAGAACAAGTTTATAAATCGAATATGCGATAAGTTCCTGAATGAATGTCTAGTAGGGTATATAAAGAATTTTTTTTAACACTATAAACACCAAGTGTATTCTACAATTATTTTCGAATATGAAAACATATCATGGACTTTTTTAATCTATACGAGTAAAGTATTTTCATACTTACGATTTTATTTTTATTAATTATTTTTATTAAATTTATTTTTTAAAAGAGGACACCCCTATGAAAAATTTCTGGGTCCGCCAGTTGAACTTTTTTTAAGAACGTGTGTATTTAGTGAGAAAACTCCAAGTTGGAAATCTCCCGTACTGAGGTTAATAAAAAAAAATTGATTGCCTATAAAAATACTTTCAATGATCTATTAATCTCATCTATCTATCTATCTATACATAATATTATGGCAATTCAAAAATAATTGTTTGCCACCTAAGCACTTGGAGAGCTCACAAATTGCCAAGGTGGATAATATTTTTACAAAAAGAATAATAGTTATTGATATATTTATGGAGCTATCTCTCTCTTCATTTAATATTTCATTTCCCTTTTATCCTTTTTATGTATTATATCAATGTACACAATAATAAATAATGTATGAAAAGTGACATATATTACATTTGTTATCTCTAATTTATTTAATATTTATTTTTCTTTTCCAATACTTCTTTTATATTTTTGTTTTTACTTTTGCACTGTATAGATGTACGCAACAATAGACTAATGTCTTTGAGTCACACATATAACTTTTTTCTCAACCAAAATTTTTTTTAACTCATTTTTACAATAATTTACAAATATGTTACATTTTGATGAACAATTTATACAAACACACATACATAATAACATTTTATCGCGACAAAATAACGATGGAAATTAAAGAGAGAAAACAAAAAACGTTTGAATAGAAACTTGACCAAGCAATAAAATCTATTTCTTAAACAAAACCCTTATTCATTCTAATTAAGTGAAAAAATATGAATCATAGGTGCAATAATTTACAATGTATCCTAAGTTCAAATTACTAATATTTTTCATTTTTGCTCTTGATCGTGTTAATTTAGCAAACTCTACTGAAGTTTTACGTCCTATGTTAAGAAATTTAATTTTCAGACTTGGAGTGATAAATTTTCAAGGATTATAAATAAAAAATTTCAAAATGACTTCGGTATGATTGTTGATGTACTTGACTTCATATCTTAAGATGAGACACGAGATACATTAAAAAATGATACATGTGAAAGTTAGATGAATCTTTGCTAAACTGTATCTATCTATACATAATATTAATGCAATTCAAAAGTAATTGTTTGCCACCTAAGCACTTGGAGAGCTAACAAATTGCCAAGGTGGACATTATTTTTACATAAGAAAAATAGTTATTGATTTATTTATGGAGTTATCTCTCTCTTCATTTAATATTTCATTTCTCTTTTATCCTTTTTTTGTATTATATCAATGTACACAATAATAAATAATGTATGAAAAGTGACATATATTACATTTGTTATCTCTAACTTTTTTAATATTTATTTTTCTTTTCCAATACTTCTTTTATGTTTTTGTTTTTACTTTTGCATTGTATAGATGTACGCAATAATAGACTAATGTCTTTGAGTCACACATATAACTTTTTTCTCAACCAAAAAAATATCTTATTAAAGCTCACTAAGTAAATTTTTAACTCATTTTTACAATAATTTACAAATATGTTACATTTTGACGAACAATTTATACAAACACACATACATAATAACATTTTATCGCGACAAAATAACGATGGAAATTAAAGAGAGAAAACAAGAAACGTTTGAATAGAAACTTGACCAAGCAATAAAATCTATTTCTTAAACAAAAACCTTATTCATTCTAATTAAGTGAAAAAATATGAATCATAGGTGCAATAATTTACAGTGTATCCTAAGTTCAAATTACTAATATTTTGCATTTTTGCTCTAGATCGTGTTAATTTAGCAAACTCTACTGAAGTTTTACGTCATATGTTAAGAAATTTAATTTTCAGACGTGGAGTAATAAATTTTCTAGGATTATAAATAAAAAGTTTTAAAATGACTTCGGTATGATTGTTGATGAATTTGACTTCATATCTTAAGATGAGACACGAGATACGTTAAAAAATTATACATGTGAAAGTTAGATGAATCTTTGCTAAACTGTATGTTAAACATCATGTGTTCATCAACCACTGACCTATGAAGCAAGATTAGAGAAGTTAATCATCGTAAGAGGTATGATCTTTCTTAGCAAACACATGCATTTTTTTTGCAATAAAACACATGCATTAATAATTATATATTTATGAAATAAAATAATTCGATAGAAATTCAATGGAGCAAGAATAGATCACATTATTGGATAAATGAAGATGATAAGTAAGAATAACTTTTTTCTCACTTATAATATGTCCTTCCATCCCTTATTCTCTTTTACAATTGTTCATATTTCCCTTATTTTCTTAACATTTTATAAATCCCGATAAAAAACTAGCATTAATTACACTTAAAAGTAATTAAACTCTTTTTAATATATATGCTTATATATTGACCATAAATGTGGCAATACAAAAAATGCATATATTAGTATAAGTAATGAAATTTTTTTTAATATTAGAAGCTCCGATCAGATGTCTTCAAAGGAGGACTCCGAGCGACTACCTACTGGTGAGACTCAAGGTGTACCGATGAGGCCCTGGGCGGATTTGTTTGGCATCTCGGAGGCTAATCGACTCACCTACATCAAACCAGATGTCTTCAAAGGAGGACTCCGAATGCCTCAAATTGTGTGTGAGGAAGGCTCAATTCGTTGGAAACACAGCCTTGTGGGCCAGTTTTTGCATCCTATGCCAGAGTTACCGATTCTTCGTCGATGGGCAAACCGAATCTGGGGGCGTGATGGTCTTGTTCGAATCTCGTTGCTGGGTGATCATCTCTTACTAATACAACTCCCTTCTCAGGCAACTTGTGACTGGATACTTGAAAGTGGACCTTGGTTCTACCTGGACAATCTTCTCTATCTGCGCCCTTGGGCACCAGGAATTGATGTCGAGGATATGGGACGCAGGGCCCTCCCGATTTGGGTAAGGTTCTCTAATCTTCCTCTTGAATATGTCAATTATCAGGGTCTTAGCAGAGCAGCTAGCTGGCTAGGGGTTCCGCTGGGAGTTGATCAGACCACTCGACTGGGGGGGAGACTCGGGTACGCTAAGATCTTGGTAGAACTAAGGGCTGATGGTGAGTTTCCAGATCATATACTTATATGGCAGGATGATGACACTGCTGTAAAGGTGGGTGTGAGCTATACTCACCTCCCGCCGGTGTGCAGGCCTTGTGGACTTTTTGGAGTCTGTGAATGCCATAAGCAGGTCTGGGTGCGAAAAGAAAAGGAGACTGGGCAGAATAAAGAGGGTGTGCAAGTGGAACAAAGTGGTCTACAGGTGGATCAGGATGCTACGGAATTAAACAAAGGAAAAGCAAGTGTTGTATCTTCCCCAGTTGCTACTGATGTCCCTCAAGGTTCGGGGGGTATTTTGATTGGATCAAATGTGGTGGGACTTTGTGAGAGCTCCGCTAGAACTTCTATGAAGGCTGTTACACACTTGCAAGGTGTTAACCTTGAGAAATGCTTTGCCGAGGTGGAATGTACTTCTCCAGTATTGCCATCTGAGGTTGAATTTCAACAGGTTATTCATGGAGCTAAGCCTCGCATTTGGTCACCACAACCCAGTCCAACAAGTGTGCTGCAGGTATCACATTCTTATGATTTATTAAGAAATTTGGACGATGGTGAAGTAGTTACCTTACAAGCGGCACCAAAGAAAGGTGGAAAGAAGGGAGGGCCCTTGCCCTCTACGTCCCAATGATCTTCTTGTTCCAGAATGTTAGAGGGTTCAACAAACCCTCTAAGCGTAGGGACTTGTCATCAGTCCTTAGGCAGGAAAAAGTAGATGTAGTTGCTGTACTAGAAACCAGAGTAAAGAAAGATAAAGCGGTTGAGATTTCTGAGGGGTTTTATGCTGGGTGGAAGAGACATTTGAACTTTGTGGACAGTGGTTTGGGTCGTGTATGGTTGTTTTGGAATCCTGACAGTATAGAATTGAGTGTTCTGTTACCTAGCAAGAACTTTGTTCATTGTTTGGTGAAATCGGTAGAAGGAGATAGTTGTTTTTTCACTGCGGTATATGGATCTAATGATGAAACAGAAAGAAGGGTCACTTATGCTGAACTGGCTAAGATTAAAGTCTGCAGTCACCCATGGATAGTTGGAGGCGATTTTAATGCAGTTTTAAAGCCTGATGAGGTTTCCAAACGTTGTGACTATACCAGTTGTATGGGAGATTTTGGAAATTGGGTGAATTCTATGGACCTGGTGAATCACAGAGTGGTTGGGCCACAATACACTTGGACCAATAATCAAACCAACAATCCTCTTGCAAAAAGATTAGATCGAGTATTGGTGAATGAAAAGTGGCTTGATCTATTCCCAGACTGTCGAATTGATGTCCTAGCTGTTCATTTTTCTGATCATTGTGGAATCTTAGTGACATCAAAGCCAACAAATCATCAAACCCTCCCTAAACCTTTTAAGTACTTTGATTTTTGGGCAGATAGCCCTGAGTTTCTGCCACTTGTCAGCAAGGCTTGGGATTCGTTAGTTGATGGTTACCCCCTACAACGGGTTAGGACAAAGCTTAATGCTGTCAAGAAGGCTTTGAAGGTGCTGAATAAAGAAAAGTTTGGGGACATCAGTACAAGGGTGAAGGAAACAGAGAGGGAATTAACTAGTGCAAAAGTGGTTGCATTTGATTCGCCATCTGAGGAATCATTCACTTTGATATCAAAATTACAGATTCAGCTGGAGGAGTTCAGGAAAGCTGAGGAATGTCTCTATAAGCAGAAGTCTAGAGTAAATGTGCTGGAATTAGGGGATAAAAGTACACGATACTTTCATCAAGCAGTAAAGATTCACACATCAAAAAGAGCAATTCGCAAACTTATCACTGCTACTGGAGAGGAAATCACAGACATAGGGAAAATTGCAGAGGAGACTGTTACTTTCTATAAGGGTTTATTCGGTGTTAGTGATCAAAATGTTTATCCTAACAAAGGTAGGCTGGAATTATTAGTTCACAAAAGGCTGGGGGTTCAAGAGGCTTCTCTTCTCACTGCTCCTATCACTGAGGAGGAGATTCAGACTGTGGTACTTCATATGAATCCATACAAGGCACCTGGCCCTGATGGATTTTCAGCAGGCTTTTATAAAAAGGCTTGGCCAATTATTCATGTTGATGTCATTGCGGGGGTTAAGGATTTCTTCTCCTCTGGGCGATTACCAGGTAGTGTAAATGCCACTGCTGTATCTCTCCTTCCTAAGATACCTTCTGCTTGTGCTCTCAAAGATTATAGGCCAATTTCTTGCATTAACATACTTTATAAGATTATTGCAAAGATATTAGCTAATCGTCTAAAGAAAGTACTGCCTAAGGTGATCAGTGGTAATCAATCAGCCTTCATAGAAGGAAGGAGGATTGTTGATAACATCTTAATGGCTCAGGAGCTTGTTAGTGGGTACCATAGGCAACATTTATCTTCTAGATGTGCTATCAAAGTGGATCTTATGAAAGCTTTTGATTCTGTAAATTGGGTCTATCTGTTTATGATGATGGAAGTTATGGGATTTCCAGTTGGGTTTATAAATTGGATAAAGTTGACTGTAAAAACAGCAAAATTCAGCATAAGTATTAATGGGGGGCTATGTGGTTATTTTGGTGCTCAAAAAGGTGTTAGGCAGGGTGATCCCTTGTCACCCTACCTTTTCACCATAGCTATGGAAGGTCTCTCGTTGCTCTTAAATGAATCTGCAAATACAGGGAAACTTCCTTACCATCCACAGTGCAGAAAAGTGAGGCTAACTCATTTGAGTTTTGCTGATGATCTTCTGATTTTTACAGAGGGGTCAGGGACAGCTATTTCCAAAGTACAGGAGACTCTTGCTGAATTCTATACTTTGTCGGGTCTGAAATGTAATCCTGCCAAATGTGAAGTGTATTTTGGAGGTAGATCAGTGTTGTTTAAAAGCAGGGCCATCCAAATGACTGGTTTCCAGGAGGGTGTGCTTCCAGTGAGATACTTGGGACTCCCACTGATTTCAGGTAAACTTTCTTCTGTGGATTGTGAGAAGTTGGTAGCAAAGATCACTCAGAAAATAAAATCCTGGAGGGCCAAGAAGCTTAGCTATGCTGGTAGGCTTCAATTAGTCACCTCTGTTTTAATGGGAGTCTTACAATATTGGATGCAAGTGTTTTTACTTCCCAAAAAGGTTTTGAAGCAGGTTCAAAAACTCTGCTCCAATTTCTTGTGGCATGGTGAGGGGGAGGGCAGAGCCAAGATTGGTTGGGATAGAATGGCTCGCCCTAGGAAAGAAGGTGGCTTGGGCATAAAGGAACTCCACTCCTGGAATCAAGCATGCACTGCTCGCATGTTATGGATGCTCCTAATGCAGAGTGGGACTATATGGGTGGCGTGGATCATGGCCTACAGGGTTAAGCAAGGTAGCATCTGGACAATCAGGTCTGGTTCTAGTGGCTCCTGGGCCTGGCGCAGAATTCTGAAGACTCGAGGAGTTCTGCAGCAGCATTTCTCTATGCAGGGGACAACAATACTTTGGAATCAGGTCCCCATGCCCAGGTTTCGATTAAGTGTAGTGTGGGAAGTGATTAGGCCTAAGTGGCCTGTAGTAGAATGGCACAAACTAGTCTGGGGGCATGGATTTGTTCCTAGGAACGGTTTCCTTGTATGGACAATTCTACATGATGGAATTGTCACTGCTGACAAACTGGTGAAATGGGGGAAGTTGGTAGATGATGAGTGTGTTCTGTGTAAGCAGGGGTGTGAAACTAGGGAGCACTTGTTCTTCCAGTGCTCCTATGCAAAGGAGGTGATACAGGGTGTTTGTTCTCTCGGTTTATATAAGACATCATGGTCCGCTACTGTGGCAGCTGCTTGTGTTTTATGCAGGAAAAAGCATGGAGCAATTGCAGGAATGATTTGGTGTCTCCTGGTGGCTTCCATCTGGAAAGAGAGGTGTAGACAGAAGTATGGGGGTCTATCCCAATCAGTGGCTGATTTGCAGGGGGCAATTAAACATGATCTGCTGATTATTGGAGCAAACAGAGGCATCCTTGAAGAGTTGGCAGGCTTTGGCATCGTGTGAGGATTCTGTTGAACTCCTGCTGGAGTCATTGTTTTGCAGTTAGTAAGGATTGCAGTTTTTTCTGTTTTTGTAGCAGTAGTAGATAGAGAAGATTATTGGCCCTTTGGGTATGCTATTATACCCTTTCGTTGTAATTGGTTTCTCCTAGCTTCTTGCTAGTGTTTGATAAATGAGATGAGGAAACTGATTCAACGAAAAAAAAAATGAAATTTTTATTTCTAAACAAATACCAAACATAAATAAATTTTAGAAAACGAAGGTTCTACAAGTTGTAAAATTATACACTAATGCACCATATTAAGATCAAAATCCGTATGTGGGTATCCTGGATTGAGATTCTAAAACAATATATAAACAACGACAATGAGTCTCAGTTAGTCCAAATTAAATTTCAGAAATTAGCAATTGATACATATTGTATAAGAGACTAAATACAAATAAGATCTTACATTAAACTTCATGAACATTCAAAGTGTCAACTTTAAATTGGGATGAAGAAATTTATCCAATAATGAAGTATATATACAAAGAAACTCTCTGAAAGATGTCCTCATCTGAACAACATGGATTCATATAAGATAGAAAAAATTGTACATGGACGTGGTATACCTTTGTGACATGGTTTATGATTAGAGAATTCAAACAGTATAAGTGAATGTGCTAAGTATTGAGAATTTTCAATATATAGACACACCACATACGTACTCACTTATCAATACAAAATATAATAAATTTAGAAGGTCTAAAATAGTTTAAACATATAGATAAATTGAATTAATGTCAACGTTAAAATGAAACCCTCCGGCCAACGGGCCGGATAAAAAGCTAGTTAGAAATTAACAATATTACAATACCAGCATCGGTCAATAATTGCCCAAAATGCCCACCGTCCAGAAGGGAACCACGTGTCAAGCACCCAACAACACTTTTGAAAGGCACTCACATTCACTGACTCACTCAGCGACTCGCTTAACGAACTCACTCGGTTGCCCTCGACTCATTACTCGCTCCGCCTCTTCGATTCCCTCTCCCACCACTTCCCTTCTCTCTCTCTCTCTCTAAGCCTTGCAATTGCAACAAGTTGAATTCCCTTTTCCTTTTTTTCCGTATTAAACAATTTTCTTTCCCTAATTCATATCCTCACTTTCCACTGACGAACCCTAGAGGAAATCCAGTTTGGGTCTCTCCGCCCTCTCGTAAAATGGCAGATATGCAACCGCCAGAATCCCATCTAGGCGGCGGCAGCGTCAGTGCTGGTGGTGGCGTCGTTGCTGCCGTGATCCCTGCCGGAGGTCCCAACCAGGTGACATCATCGGAAACCGTGGGCTCGAAGCGGCAACGGAGGCCCAGCGTGCGGTTAGGCGATATCGGCGGCGACCAGCTCTACGATCCCTATTCCCGGAAGGCAACTAGCATGAGCAAGTCGTGGAAGCAGCACCAGAACCACCACCAGGTCTCGTCGGCCGATCAAAAGAGAGATTCGAACAAGGGCTCCAAGACGCGGGCCCTCACGAACCTGAGCGCCGGCGGGGGCGACTATGCCGAAACCCTAGACGAAGACAATAAGGAATTGAATTTGGACAGAATCGCCATTGGAAGCTGGAGAGTCAAGGAGGCGAAAAAGCGAGCCCCTAGTGCCCCCGTGAAGCGCGTTAGATCCAGTTGGGTCACCAAGATTGACGAAATCGGAGACGGCGGCGGAGGAGTTGGAATCGGAGTCGGTGGTAACAACAATGTGGAAGGGGATGGGAAATACAGCGCTGGAGAAGACATGGACGATTACGATGATGCTGAGAATTCAGACGCTCCTTCGAAAGAACAGAGCCCAGTTCATTCTCTTGAGAATTTGGGGGATGGGAACGAGAGAAATGAGAGGGAAACGTACTACAACGACAAAAGGGCAACGAGAACAAGGAGTGGGAACCATATTTCGAATCATCACCATCCGCATCAGCAGCATCAGGATGGAGTAGAATTGTTATCAGGGCCATCTGAAACAGACACCAGAGGAGGGGTAGGGTATAGGGACAATGAGATGTGTGATGCTGGGGAAGACGGGGTCAGGATTTGGCTGAATAACTTGGGTTTGGGGCGGTATGCTCCAGTGTTTGAAATCCATGAGGTGGACGATGAAGTACTGCCAATGTTGACGTTGGAGGATTTGAAGGATATGGGGATTAATGCCGTTGGGTCGAGAAGGAAGATGTTCTCCGCAATTCAGAAGCTCAGTAAAGGGTTCTCGTGATGGCGGGGAAATGTCTCAGCGAATTTTGTAGCTTTGTTTTTCTTTTCTTCTTTTCATCTTGACAGAGGAGTAGCTGCTGCTGCTGCAATCATCGTCTTGATCATCATCAGCCATGGTAATCCTTATCGACATCATTTCTTGAACTGAAATCCGAGCTATTCCGTTTTGCTTTTAGTAGAGAGGGTAGTGGGTAGTAACAGTCTTTTTCTTTTCTTCTTTGCCTACAGTTGTTATAATGAAATTTTTGTTCCTTACCATCTCTTCTTTGCACAATATGAATGCATTTTTTTTTGTTCAGTGCAACTCTACAAGTAGCATGGACATGGAGTTGGTCAATTTCTCTGAGATAAGTTATTAGTTCGGCTGAGTTGTCCTTGATTACGAATCAGAACATGCCCTACTGTTTCGAATCCAATTTCTGCTGTCTTGGCTTGTGATCAATGGTGGGAAGTTGGCCCGAATAAAGTTGCCATTTCCATAAGTTTTTGTATGTGTGCCCGAATCTGTGTTTGGTTTGCCTTCAAAGTTGTGGCGATTGAATGGACATTGGTTGGCAGAGGGCAGAAAAGCCATCAATCTCATTGCGTCTCATGTGGCTGTGCTGGGAGGTGCCTCATTAATGCATTTTGCCTTGCCTTGAACTCTAGCAAAGCTTCTTTAATCAGAGTTGCTTGCAAAAGAGGAAGTGTATCTAGGCTTCATGATGTCTGTGTTAATGAGATGTCTGTTCTCTGTTATGTTAGGAAACACCTCCATTCCGTTATCTCGCTCGGTTGTTCTCTAGGTTATGCTAAGTAGTTGATATTGCCTTTGCTGAAACTGTATTTTCCGAGCAAATTTTAGGTTCAGTTGGCTCGCATTAGCTTGTAAAGTTGGTGCTAAACGAGGTGTTTTCAATGAAGCTCTGAATCTTGGGCGAAAATTATGCACCGTTATTTTCTGTAATGGACAAACAAAGTCGGAAGGAATTTCATAGGGAGAACTGCTGTATATGGGGAACTAGAAAGAGAATAATCAGAGAATGCACAGAAGACCGTAAAAAATCCCTGGAGGGTACAAGAAAACTAAACAATGCACGAGCAATTCTGAAATGCCCCGGAACAATATCGCTCGTAGCTAACTCTTGCAGAAGTACGGAATACAACCAGTACTCGGTTACACATCTCAGTCGCTGATATGGAAGCAAAAGACAACTGCTGCAACATCGTTGTAAGTTCCTTGGTTACTCCAACTTGATGGTACCATGCTCTTGGTGTTGCTTGTTGGGTTCAGCTGGGAAGTACTTGATGCCCACAAGGTCGCCAACTCCGCTGATAACCTGTTAAAAACAGAACATAAAGAATAAAAAATGGTGACTTCAGGAGGAAAATCACAGGAAGGCCAAGACAGACAGACAGACCTCCAGGGCTTTCACAAGGTCTTCCTTAGTATGAGCAGCGGATATGCATATACGTGCTCTCGCCAAAAGCAAAGGAGTTGCTGGAAAAGCAACTGTGACTACAGCCACCTGCAATATGACACCATCCCACTTCCACGTTTTAATGCCAGATTAAGGTGATGTCCAGCCAAACCACCTACATTGAAGTCGGAATTTTTATAAACTGCAAAACACCAACTCACCTTCTGCCTTAGACATTCCCTGGAGAATGCAGGGATTTTGGCTGGATTGTAGAGCATTATTGGCATTACGGGAGAATCATTATCCCCCAGAACCTCGAAACCCATTTTCTGCAATTCCGATCTGAAGAAGTTGCTGTTTTCACGAATTCTAGCAAGTTTTTGGGCCCCTAAACCAATGAAAAGAAATTTTAATCTAGACACTCAGAACTCATGCTCCCAAAGAAATGCATTGAGGAAAACCAAGTGCCAAAGGTACCTCTATTAGAACCATCTTCTCCAAGAATGACCTTTATCGAAGAGATTATTTGTTGGGCGCCAGGAGGTGATATTGCTGTTCCATACAGATGAGCTGGACAAGTGTACTTGAGATATTGTACAAGTTCCTGGATAAATTGAAAACCTTAAATTTCAATTGGAAATATAGCGGAGGGTTGGACTTTTAATAAGGGGCCTGGTAACATACCAATACAACTTGCAATTACATTCACAGTATTTGGAGAAAATTCTCAAGGGGCCTAGTAAAATACCTTTGATCCAGCAATATAACCCCCGCAAGATCCAAATGATTTTGTAAAAGTTCCCATCATGACATCCACATCTGCAGTATCCACTCCTAAGAGTTCACAGACACCTCTCCCAGATTTCCCAACAGCTCCAATGCTGTGAGCCTCATCTAGGTACACATAGGCCTACAAAAAACGCAACAAAATATAAGACTGGTCACTTCTAATATGATATCTTGCAAAAACGTCCAAGTGTGTGTGCATTTGTGAACAATCACGTACATCAGAATAACAATAAATATTATTTAGAATGTCAATAAAGTTTAATGGCTTTTCATATCCAAGATATGACAATGCAGAAATAAAAACCATTTGATATTCAAAACGGATGACAATAAGGAACAATTGCAGGTCAAAGACCAATCAGTACAGAAAACAAAACCGAACACTTGTGATGAATGCTAGTCATCAAAATATGCTATGGTTATCACAAAAAAGGCGATTCATTTATGTTAAATCACCCCATATTAATCTCCTATATTGAGTTCTTTGCTTATTAGACTTGAAAATAAAAAGGTGAAGAACATGGCACACTGTTAGTCACCTTATATTTCTTGCAAATTGAAACAATCTCGGGCAGTTTGCACAGTTCCCCTTCCATGCTATAAATACCTTCCACAATAACCATTATCTTCTTCCAAGGTCTATGTGTCCTGGGCTGCCCTTCCGCAATCTGCTCTCTCAACACTGTCTCCAAGTGAGATGGAGCTGCACAAAACGTACGGAAGTAGAATGTGATACAAGTGGATTAAAAAAGCAAAACATACTGAGCAATAATAATAAAATTAACAGCAGCCAACTAACTATTATGTTGGAAAACACGTATTGTTGCCCCAGAGCCTCGAGCACCATTAACAATGGAGTTATGGTTCAAAGAATCACTAATTATTAGCCCTCCCTGATGATAAAACAAAAGGAGATGAGTAAATCAAGACAATCCAAACATTTATATATACAAACTTACTAATTGATAAAAAGAAATTATAACCACATACCTTCCCCATCAGAATAGGGAGAATGGCAGAGTTTGTCACATAACCCATCCCAAATACCACGGCAGCAGGCTTCCCAACGAACCTCGCAACACATTCCTCTAAGTCAGTATGCAACATCGTAGTTCCTGGGGAAGGATCCATATCAGTCAAGAAAAAAACATCATCACCCAGAAAAACTTAGAGCAGGTAGTCAAGGAAAAGAATGCAAGAAAAATATTATGCACATACACACCCCCATCAACACGAGTGCTGCAGGTACTTGCCGCGAACTTCTTTAGGGACTCGATGGCACGGGGAGTGCAATATTCATCGGCTGCTGCAAAGCCGAGATAGTTGTAGGAACCCAAGTTGAGACACTTGCTTGTCTTGGTAGTTCGTCTGCAGAGGACACATTGTCAACAGAAAAAAAGAAAAAAAGAAATAGAATAGCACAGAAGAAATAATTGAAGGAACCGATGGAAGTTCATGGTAAAACAACAACACAAGACTGACTCACTTCAACGTCTTGTTGTTGTCATTCGAGTAACGCTCAACAACATCAAACCAAGCATCAGGAGCACTAGATATTGGTCGTCCAAAACAGTCCTGCCGTTTGCCAATTTGAACCAAGCAAAATGAATAATTAAAAAAGACCCATCACTTGGAAATCTAAACCCATCTAACCATCTGCCAAACTCCAGTAAGCCACCGAGGCGCTGAAAAGACTTTCACCGCAAGGCAAGGAAAGCACAACAATAACGAATTGGCTGGCCGCCATCGAAGTTATACGTCTGAGATTATAAGTAGAACTTAGAAGATAAGTCTAAGGGAGAAACTGAACTGAAGTACCTGAATCCGAAGATACAAGCGTCGAATATAAAAGTCTTCGAGCCCTAAACAGATGGGTGCATATCCCTGAAAACCAAATCCAAGATGGCCAATTTTAGAGCTACGACAAAGGAGTTTGGGAAACAACCCGAGAAAAAATGGAGAAGAGGTAGAAAGGAACCAACGTCAAGGGTGCTGGCGCGCCACCAATCAACGATCTTCCGGAAGAAATCACGCAATTGGCCGAAAGCGAAGAGCAGGCCGTAGCTGAAGTAGGTGCTCAACGCCGTCAAGTAGGGAATCGCAATCATCTTGCTACCGGATCTGAGGAGCCGCAGAATCTAATTAAGAATCAAAATGGGAAGGGCAGGGCAGGACCGGGAATGATAGGAGAGCAGATTCAAAATTGAATCCAAAACTTTCCCTGGCTATGTTCTGATTATTTACTCCTCTCGTCTCTTTCTCGGGAAAGGAAAGGCGAAGATGGGTATTGAGAGAGAAGGCTTACAGTTGCAGGTTGGGATGGAGGACGAGGAGGGTTGGAATCGAGAAAAGTCTGCCAAAGGCGAAGAGTAGACAGAGACGAATAGTAAACAAAGCCTAATTTCCCATGTTTCTCCTTCGGCACGGAGGAAGCGGAAGAACAGGGAAGCCCGAGTGAGAGAGATGTCTCGTGAAATAAAACTTGATCTGGTCTCTCTGACGTGTGTTAATTATTAGTTTTCTTTTTCTTTTTGACAGGGTGTTAATTATATTATTACTTATTAGTTTTGGCTGGCGATGGAAGGGGAAGGCTAACTCCAACATTGCATCGTGTCAAACGGGATTAAGTTATAAGTCGGTTTGCAAGGGTAAGGGTGTACAAAGGTTCGATCCAAATTCATAAGTATTGCGGTTTAATAGTGAAAGACTTTTTTTTTGGTAGAAAATGGGACGCTAGAAGGGCGCCCCAACCTTAAATTAACCGATCTTGGGTAATCCCCATAGTGTCATACAGAGTCCAAAAATTGAGACCCGGGTCCGAAATGTCAAAAGCATGAGTGCCTAAGCTAAAACCATGGCCTTTATTAGCCAGGTAGTCCGCCGCTTTATTACATTCGCGGTAGGAATGAGAGAGATGAACCTCCCAATTACGCTGTAAAAGGTTCTGGAAACGCCTGTTGAGGTTGTGATAACGCCTACTAACTTGATCCTTCCCTGTTAAGATGTTCAGCGCTGCTGTACAGTCTAGTCGAAGGAGGACCTTCCTATGGCCTTGATCCCATGCGAGTTGTAGACCAGTGAGCGCCCCGATGATCTCCGCTCTAGTGATGGAGCATCTTCCTAAGTTGGTGACGAAAGCTCCAAAGCAGCGGCCCAGATGGTTGCGAAGCAGCCCGCCTGCAGCAGCCTCCGAGTTGGGTTGCTTGACGGACCCGTCCGAATTGATGACGATCCAATCTGCAGGGGGTGGAAGCCAAGCCAGCTCATGGGGGTGAAAGACTTTTTAATTTCATGTATCGAATCAATCTTGCATTAGGTCCGATCCAAATGTCATTCCTGTCCATTTTTCTTTTGTATTTATAAAATTCATAAAACCAAGGACATATGATATATTCCGTTCAATATGGTCTGGTCCAAATATCGGTTTGATCCGGTATGATGCGGGTTCAACCGATTTAAGCAAAATGAAATAAACTACCACTTCTAGGCATCTACTCACAAGAATCAGACACAAAGAACCAAAACGCATATATTTTCAGGAAGTCAGCAAGAAGACCAACCAGTTTGAGTGATTAAAATGAAACCATAGAGAGTGGAAGGAAAAAAGTAAGTCATGGAAGGTGAATAGCCTAAGAGAGGGAACAATATGACCTCTATATTCAACTCCATAATATAGCTTAACCACCATTCCCGAATGGATTTCAAAAATTCAGAAACAGTTTTGGTCCCCGTTGACGCTTTCTCTTCGGTAGTATTCATCTCTTTTTTGCCCAAAATCCTATATGATGGGTTGTGGAACACGTCGATGGGATGTGGAACTCGCCGAAAGTGTCTACATAAGTTCTTAATTGAATTGTGTAGCCTATTGAACTAATTAGTCTAGCTCCCTATATATAGAGGTAGAACTCGGCCAAAATCTTTATAACTCTACTAAGACAAGGTCTCTCTGACCGGGGTCGAAGTATAGCCGCCAGGATCTCTTTTGGGCTTGGCCTTGAGTGGCGGCTAGAACAATCACTGTTTTTCTTCATGGGCTTGACTCATAGGCCCATAAGTAACCTCTCCTTAAGATTTCTCTGTGATTTGGCTAGTTTGCTTGGGCGGCAATTGTTGGACCCGCTACTGGGTTGCCAATGGTTCTTGCTTTAGTTTGGACGGAGTCTTCCTCCATTAGACTCCTCTTGGGCTTTACTCGTGATTCACAATAGGTTTCTTCATCATTGGACATCGTCTTTTACATGAAAACTTCATATTTTCTCTCTTTTGCTCCTTTGTTCTTACAGAATCATCCAATGCTTGATCCAAATTCTCCTAGTTTGTATTTTACCTTAAAAATCACAAAAACATACCATGCATAGAAGAATACAAAAATACAACCCTAGGTAACAAATGCACATTGATCAAATAGTTATGATTAGTTATAAAATATAAGAGAAAGTACTAAAGTTGCATTGATAAAAGGCAAAAATGTATCAAATATGAGAGTGATAAACCATAACTATTTACTCGGATATGGAAATAAATCACGAATATAGTCTAAGTAATAAAGACCCAAGTTTCCTTTGGGTCCCAATTCCAATAGGGACCCCCACGCTTTATTAGCCCACACTACTCCTGAAAGAATGAGATAGTTAAAAAGAGAAATTCGATACCAATTATAAGTAGAGCGTCATCAGAAATACCCCACACTTGAACTTTACTTATCCCCAAGCAAACATACTCATAATTGTACAACTCAATGAAAACTAACAATAATCACTCAACCATGATCTTAGGTAGTTGATCAAAAGTGAACTTACAAGGTAAGCTATAACACGAGAGAATCCTAACCACATCAATAAGTTAGAACATCATGCAATTTAACCCAAAGATCAACAACTAACTATGCATTAAAGTATCAAAACAATGTGCTGAACCTTTTGATAAACGAGTTAAACTTTGAATGCTTACACCAGAACCTTGAAATTCCTTCAAGCACTTTTGACTTATTCAAACACATTCTTTTTCTATTTCAGTATTTTGCGGATTTTCTTCTCTCGAAAACAACATCCCCCCCCTTTAGACTTTTCTTGTGTGGAGAGCTTTCTATAGCAGAGTCGTATTGGTTTAGCAAGAGCTAGAAGCCCCTATACCTCAACTCGTGGGGAGGGTCAATGAAGCTAAGTGGTATCGAAAGCTTTATCCTTGGCTTTAAAAAACAGATCCTTTAGTTGGCTATCAATTCGATGGGTGGAAATTTTACTTGTAATTGAGAGGAACTAGCATCACCTTATAGGACTTCCCCACTAAAACTCAACTAGTATCTCTTCCAAAACCCAATTTTGTGCAGCGAAAAGAAGCCCTCACACATTGGGCTTACCTACACTTTATTTCTCAACATAGAATAACAATTTTAGAATGATAACAATGCCTTGATAGGTAGATTTTAAATTTTGTAGAAGATATAGTTCACCGTTTGAAAACTTTTAAAAATGGGTGACTTATTTGCTTAATTAGTTATCGATGAATAGATCAAACAACATATCATCCAAACATATCGGTCATTTCATGCCATTGACTATCACATCTTTCATAGTTACTATACTATCCTCCATAGATAGCCTTGTTGACTTGATGAGAAGTTATCATGCTTATAGGGGATGACTAAAAGTCATTAGATGGAAAACATCTTTAGTAATTTCAAAAACTTTAGACATAATATCCTAACTGTTTAGGATTGGAAAATTTTCAAATTTGAATGACTAATCATATAACAAGTATAAAGCATAACAAGGCAAAACATCTCAACACATTCCCACACCACACTTCAAAATGGACATTGTCCTCAATGAACTAAAAGATAGTGAGCTATGAAAAGGTTGGAATGGGCTACTGATAACGATGTAAATGCACATGTTTGCGCCCCTAGTTCTTATCCGTTTGAGGAGTATAGTCGTGTGTTTTGGCCTATTTTACGCCGGGTTGTGCTATTTTGTCATGTTTCAGGTCCCAGGCGTTAAAGGGAAGGCTAACCGCGAGTTTCGGGGCATTCGGAAGTCATTTCGGTGAGCTGGAGCCAAAACACGGGCAGCCTAAGGCATTACACGGCCGTGTACTGCTGGCCGTGCTTTTTATGCCGAGAGCAAATTCAGTTTGGCCAATTCAGCTGCAAACACGGGCACCGAAGCACGGCCGTGTTCAGTCAAAGCACGGCCGTGTACATTGCGAAGCACGGCCGTGTTTAACCCACTTGCTGGCCGTGTAATTAAGCCCTGGCCGAGACACGGGCGGAGTCAGGCAAAGCACGGCCGTGCCCTCGACCGTGCTTTGGCCACTGATGCTTTTAAGCAGATTTTCAGCCACAATTCAAGGAGATTCGAGTTTTTGAGAGAGAGATCAGTTCCTAGAGAGAGAAAGTGACGAGCAAGAGTTCCCAAGTGCCCTAGATTGATCTTCAACACCATTGGAGGCCAGCTTGAGCTTGGAGAAGTGCCAATCAACGTCCAGAAGCAGGAATCCATCCTTCGCAGTATGAATTCCGTGTCTGATTCTGCTTTTGCTTTCTTCTCCATGGAGTAGTTCTCCCATTCATCTGGGTATGGAGAACCCTAGATTTGTATGTTAGGCTTTGATTGTATGAACCCAAGTACTGATTCTATGATTGATTATATTCGATTGAGGTTTTAATGATTGAATGACTTGAATCCTGATCAAATTCCTGTTGTTTCTGCTTTAACCTAGAATGAGAATATCTGCCTAGGTTAATAGAGTACCCTTGATTGAAGGTAGGGAGTTGGTGACTTTAGTCGAGGAGCCAACTCACTATTCTGTACCGGATTTACTCCGGTAGTGGAGGTTTTGTTCTTAGGGCCTCAATCTGTCGACTCCGGTGGAGGTTAGTCGCCCGCTAGAGAGTCAGATTGAGAGGGTCTGAAGACCTTTAGTCGAGACTTCAGGCTGTTTAAGAACCTTCCGCGGTATAACTGTCATAGAAACTGAACTTGGTAATTACAATCCGGCTTAACTGCAGTCTAGGGGGAACCATATCCGGGTGACCTCTTTAACCTGAATACAACCAGTTTACTTGCTTTGTTTGTTTGGTAGTTTAGACTTGCACTCCAGTTTTATTGCTAGATAACAAGAACTCACTGAGTAGTCATCAAATCTAGGACCCGGGTTGATAATTAAACCTAAACCCGCTATACTACGCTTTAGGAAGTGGTTTCACTTGGCCAATTCCTGGAGTGACAGTAGAGTCGAGTCAAGTTTTTGGCGCCGTTGCCGGGGACGGCTAGGTTGTTGAAGAAAAGTGATTTCTGTTAATTTGGCTTTTCTTTTTGCTTTGTTTGCTTTGTCCCACTTGTGCCTTCACGGGTTTGTCTGCTTGAGTGTGTGCAGGTAGTGCATGACCCGTAGCCAGTCGGGAGGTTTACTGCCATTGAAACCAGAGATTGACCGCACCTGTCGCCAGCTCAGGAGACAACAACGAGCTAGACTGGCTACGGAAGAGCGCATAGACGGCCACCTGAGCAGCGATTCTGAAGAAGAGCACGGGATGGACGGAGACTACAACCAACACCAGGGGAATCCACAGCAGGTTCCCCCGGTGAATCAGGTCCTGGGGAACAACCCCATACCCCAGGACCATGGAGTTCATCATCCACCGCAGCCGGGTCCCACCTTGGAGTACTACTACACTCCTTGGATTGCTGACATCCGCCCGGTCATCCTCTACCCGCCGATCCCAGCAAACAACTTCGAGATCAAGCCATGCTAGATTCAGCTCATCACATCCTCGATCCAGTTTCATGGCTTGAAGGATGAGGAGGCCAGGGTACATCTGTCCCGTTTTCTGCAGCTGACAAACGGGTTCAAGCTGAATGGTGTCCCAGATGATGCAATCCGCCTTCATCTTTTCCCCCATTCTCTGGCGGGGAATGCTAAGAGGTGGTTGGAGACCCAGCCCCCATTGTCCATCACCTCTTGGGACGATCTGGCGGACAAGTTCGTGCACAGGTAACTACAGAGATCCAGCGGGAGATCACTCACTTCCGCCAAGAGCCAGATGAGTCACTTCGTGATGCGTGGGAGCGGTACATGGGCTATTTCTGGCAATGCCCCCATCATGGCTTCAGCGATGCATTCACAGTGGGGAACTTCTACAGTGCCCTCTCTCTAGATAGCCAGAGGGTGATTGAGTCTCTATGCCCAGGAGGGGATATCCTCACTAAGACTCCACCCGAGCTTAACCAGATGATTAATACATTGGCTGCCAGAGATCATTCCTGGGGGCAGAGCAGCAGAGGCAGACAGTCCCGGGACCGTGGTGTGCACGCCATGGAGACCAGATCCGGGCTCAAGCAGCAGGTAGCTGAGCTAGTGCAGACATTGAAGCAGCCCAACAGTCTTATTCCGGGCAGAGGTTTGGCTACACCTCCAGTTGCTCAGTGTCAGTGGTGTGAGAGCTCCAATCACCTAGTGGAGGACTACCAGGCTATGAGGGAGTCTACCACACCCCATGAGCAGTTGGCCTTCATCGCCAATGCGAGGCGCCTCGATCCATACAGCATCACATATAATGAGGGGTGGCGCCAGCATCCCAACTTCGCCTAGAGCAGCAACACCACTAAACCACCTGGTTTCCCAGCACCAGCAGGTGGTTTTCAGCAGAGGCAGCCTTTCCAGGCTCGCCAGGGGCCAGACCCACAGCAGCCCTACCAGCCTAGGCAGGGGCAGCCATTCCAGCAGCCCCAGCGCCAGTTTGCCGAGCCAGCAGCAGCTCCAGCCCCAGATGACAGGATGACGAAGCTGGAAAACATTCTAGCTTCATTCATGACGAGCACTCAGGCGACTATCACGAGGTTGGACCAGAGTGTAGCCTCACTGGAGGCAGGTCAGAGGAACCAGGGTGCCATTTTGCAGGATTTGCAGACCTAGGTGGGCATCTTGGCCCGCCAGAACACCACCAGGGCACCGGGGACTTTGCTTGCCACCACTGTCCCGAATCCTCGAGATCCTCATCAGCATCAGCAGCTGGATGCCATTTTTACCAGGAGCGGTAAGACCATATCTGCTGATCCTGTCCCGGCCAGACAGGAGGAACCACTGCCTGCTTCAGCACTTCCAGCCGACGATGCAGAAGTGCGGGTGGAGAAAGAAGCCCCTGCTCCCAAGCCACAACCAGTGGTTAAGGAGCATGTACCCCAGCTTCCCTTCCCCACTCGCCTACACAAGGACAAGCTGGAGACTGAGTTTGCCAAGTTCATGGCAATGTTGAAGCAACTCAACATCAGCATACCGTTCATGGAGGCACTGTCGAAGATGCCCAAGTATGCCAAGTTCATGAAAGATATTTGCACCAACAAGAAGAAACTTGGGGATCTTTCGACAGTAATGCTCAGTGAGGAGTGTTCTGCTATCCTGCAGAACAAGCTGCCCGAAAAGCGCAAGGATCCAGGGAGTTTTACTATCCCCCTTACTATTGGCAGCATGCATGTAGGAAAGTCTTTGGCGGACCTAGGCGCTAGCATTAACGTCATGCCATATAAGTTGTATAAAATGCTAGACCTAGGTGAACTTAGCCCTACTAGGATGAGCATTCAATTAGCTGATCGTTCTATCGTGCATCCTAAGGGTATCATTGAGGATCTGCTTGTTAAAGTAGGTACATTCACATATCCTGTTGATTTTATTATTCTTGATATACATGAGGATGTGGATGTGCCTTTGATTCTAGGTAGGCCATTTCTTGCCACCGCCAAGGCACTTATTGATGTGCATGATGGTAAACTGATCTTGCATGCTGGGAATGAACAGGCTACTTTTTCTGTGACTGAGTTTGATCACTGTGCTATGATTGCTGTCACGCCTGTGCATGCTATGTCTGATCAGGTACACGAGCCTGTCGTGTACCCTTCTGCACCTCCTATTTTGCAGGACCCTCCTATCATTCCTTCGCCGCCACTCCATCCAGCCTCGCCTCCGAACAAAAATCTCAAGGAGGAGTGGCGGCCGAAGCAGCAGGTTGCTAAGCCTGCACGGAAGAAGAAGAGTGGAGACCACTATGAGCTGGTCCCACCTCCTGCACCACGACCACCCTGGCCTTCTGGGTACTCGCTCTCCTGCATCTTGCCAGATGGGCAGGTCGAGCTGACTGATGAGAGTGGTCGCATCCGTCGGGTGCATGGCCACAACCTCAAGCTGTACCTCAAGAGCGACGTGGATCCGCTCTTGGAGGCACCTGTTCCTGCACCGCCCTGAGTATCCACCATGGGCCTCCAGCTAAACGACAGTAAAGAAGCGCTTGTGGGGAGGCAACCCCACCATGGTTTGATCTTTCTTTTTGAGTTGGTTGATTGAGTGAATTAGTGATCTTAGGACCCTTGAATTGTGTGGTGTTGTGGATTCTCTGCCTGTCATGGACTCTTGTATCATGTTTTGAAAATAACAGGTGCTCGAAAATGTTCTTGAAAATAAACGTCTCCCGTGCGAATAGGGCGAAAGTGTGTAAGGGGAGACGGGAATTCGTTCCCAATTTCCACCTACTACCTCCAGCCCCCTTACATGTCTTTCCCCCGCACGAGGCTCGAGACATCCGCTCCTGGCATGGCCGGTAAGAGCAGGTTGGGACCCTTGAAAAAGAAAAGAAAAGAAAAATATCAGAAAACAAGCAAAACAGGAAAAAAAGGGGGTTCCAACCATCTTTAAGCAGAAAATAGAGCACCTTGAAAAATGTGAGTCCATGGTCTTTTGTTTTTGAGAATCTCTCCATCCACAATTCATTTGTCCTCTGTTCACTGTTTGCCATGATGCTGACTCGCCAAAGAAGCTATGAGATGACTTGTGCGTCGGTTGACCTCGTAAGTTGCTAAATGACCTAGGAAGTCCTCTATCTACGATCTGGGTTGTTTGTTGCTATAGAGGTCTGGAGAGTTGCATTGGTTTGAGATAGGTTTGCTTGGGGACAAGCAAACGGTTAAGTGTGGGGGAGTTTGATAACGATGTAAATGCACATGTTTGCGCCCCTAGTTCTTATCCGTTTGAGGAGTATAGTCGTGTGTTTTGGCCTATTTTACGCCGGGTTGTGCTATTTTGTCATGTTTCAGGTCCCATGCGTTAAAGGGAAGGCTAACCGCGAGTTTCGGGGCATTCGGAAGTCATTTCGGTGAGCTGGAGCCAAAACACGGGCAGCCTAAGGCATTACACGGCCGTGTACTGCTGGCCGTGCTTTTTATGCCGAGAGCAAATTCAGTTTGGCCAATTCAGCTGCAAACACGGGCACCGAAGCACGGCCGTGTTCAGTCAAAGCACGGCCGTGTACATTGCGAAGCACGGCCGTGTTTAACCCACTTGCTGGCCGTGTAATTAAGCCCTGGCCGAGACACGGGCGGAGTCAGGCAAAGCACGGCCGTGCCCTCGACCGTGCTTTGGCCACTGATGCTTTTAAGCAGATTTTCAGCCACAATTCAAGGAGATTCGAGTTTTTGAGAGAGAGATCAGTTCCTAGAGAGAGAAAGTGACGAGCAAGAGTTCCCAAGTGCCCTAGATTGATCTTCAACACCATTGGAGGCCAGCTTGAGCTTGGAGAAGTGCCAATCAACGTCCAGAAGCAGGAATCCATCCTTCGCAGTATGAATTCCGTGTCTGATTCTGCTTTTGCTTTCTTCTCCATGGAGTAGTTCTCCCATTCATCTGGGTATGGAGAACCCTAGATTTGTATGTTAGGCTTTGATTGTATGAACCCAAGTACTGATTCTATGATTGATTATATTCGATTGAGGTTTTAATGATTGAATGACTTGAATCCTGATCAAATTCCTGTTGTTTCTGCTTTAACCTAGAATGAGAATATCTGCCTAGGTTAATAGAGTACCCTTGATTGAAGGTAGGGAGTTGGTGACTTTAGTCGAGGAGCCAACTCACTATTCTGTACCGGATTTACTCCGGTAGTGGAGGTTTTGTTCTTAGGGCCTCAATCTGTCGACTCCGGTGGAGGTTAGTCGCCCGCTAGAGAGTCAGATTGAGAGGGTCTGAAGACCTTTAGTCGAGACTTCAGGCTGTTTAAGAACCTTCCGCGGTATAACTGTCATAGAAACTGAACTTGGTAATTACAATCCGGCTTAACTGCAGTCTAGGGGGAACCATATCCGGGTGACCTCTTTAACCTGAATACAACCAGTTTACTTGCTTTGTTTGTTTGGTAGTTTAGACTTGCACTCCAGTTTTATTGCTAGATAACAAGAACTCACTGAGTAGTCATCAAATCTAGGACCCGGGTTGATAATTAAACCTAAACCCGCTATACTACGCTTTAGGAAGTGGTTTCACTTGGCCAATTCCTGGAGTGACAGTAGAGTCAAGTCAGCTACCTTGATTTTCGTACTATTCAAATGCATAAGGAGTAGCTAGTTCTCCATGAGTGTATATAAAGACTCGAATTGTTCAAATGAAAAAGAAAGAAAAAAATAGTTCTCAAATAGGTTGATACTCCTAGTTTCTGCTTCCTCCAGGTCCACTTCCAGGGAAAAGGTGTTGAACTTTTGGCCAAACTCTTGCATCCAAGCATGGTCCCACTGCTACTCTGTCTCTACTCTCTAGAACCAAGCTTGAGTTCCTCACGTCAGTCTGTCTCTATTTCTCAACGACATCCTAGTGTTGCTCATTCAGGGTCTGGTATTAAAAGTAAGTGATCCTGTCTCTCCACGATTGCTCTCAAAGATTCTATCTAAGCTCCATAGCCTCCATATTGATGTGGTGGTGGTGGGTGTCCAGATCCATAGCCTTGAGGAACATGTATCCTCTCTAAGTGCACTGCTAGTCTCTTAGCCTTCCTCCAAGCTGAGTAGTGTGGGCAATCATTTCTATCGAGATCCACTCTCTTTCTTGTCATCCTCTCCACTCCAAAGATGAATGTTGGTTGTTTATTATTGAACCATGTCTTTCAAGAGCATCCTAAAGAGCTAAATCAAATTCCTATTGATGATCCTCAATGTGCTGGGCTATAGTGAGAATATAGCCACCTCCTGGAAGTCCCTCATCGAAGTAAGGTGGTGTATCTCAGAAGGTTATTCAACACCAAACATGTTGGATTTAGCCACCAGTTGTGCATAAGAGCATGATATAAATCATGTCATTGATGGTCACCTTGCCTGCATAGCCTCTCTCCCTCATGTGAAAACTAGTTTGGCCGAAGTAATGCACGAACTTAAAAAATGGTTGGCGGATGCATGGATGTTGATGTCGAATGACCAGTAGAAAACTGAGCCTCTTGATTCCTTTTGATGGTCTTCTATAACTCTCGGAAGATTTTTGTTTGCTCTGATGGATCCTAGCAAGCTCCACGAGTAGCATCGAAGAGTGCTCCTCTCGTGTGATAGGCAAGAATCCCTAGTTCGCTTACAAAGACATCATAACTGTCAATGAAGTTTCATCCCACCAATCTATACTAGATGCATAGTTGGATCAAGCTCTTGCTGGAGATACTATCAATGTGGCAAGGAACTCCTTCGTGAGCACATCATGGCTCTCGCTTCTGATGCTGAATAGTTACAAGAGACCATCCTCGTCTAGCTTGTCTCATTGATGCTCCTCATCATTGGTATTGATTGAAGTCTGGCTAATCAAGCTCTCCTTAGGGATCTACAAGAATGTATCTCTACTTCTCGATCTTCTTCACACTATAACTGTCGAGTGGAACTGAAGCAAAGGATGTTGGGTTGCCTCAGGTGCCTCCTCCTGAATCTCAAGCTCGTTGTCAGTCTCGAGCACCTCGATCCCCTATGGCAGCTGTCCCCTTCTCCTTCATGATATCTTGCTATCCAGTGATACCTTTTACTTCTGTTGCTAGAGGAGATTCGAACGAACTGGTATTGAGAATCCAAGTTCCTCGGATCTAACTCCACATCCTCCTCGACTATAGGCTTCATCCTGTTGAGTCATGCAGACCTCCTAGGAGCTGCATGCTCTGGATCTCTCCTAGGTGGACTAAGATGCATAGGTCCTCGTGAGGAAGATGCAACATTGTCTCCTTTCTTGTTCCTACCAAACCATTCAGTTACCTTCTTCATTTTTCTGCATATTAGAAAAAAATCCAAGTTAGTTTAGATAAATAGGGGAATAACCCTTCAATTTAAGAGTGTTGCTTCTTCTAAAAGCTAATCAAGAACTTCTGATGTATTATCAAGATAGCTACATGTGGCATACTCATTCAATCTTTTATGATGTTAATAACAAATATAATAATAAAAAGTCTTCAAGCTCAAAATGTAGAGATTGTATGAACCATCACTCCTAATAAATTAGAACATTGATAGCTCAAGTAGGAATGGCAATGGGGCAGGTCCGGGGCGGGTTTCTTGGTACCCAGACCCGCCCCGTGGCAGGTCGGGTCCAGGTCGGGTAATTGATCACGGGTCGCAGGTCGACCCAATGGGTATGCAATTTATATTAAAAACATTAGAAATATTCGTTTTTTTTTATTATAAGACTAAGAAAACAAACAATATTATGACAATTGCAGTTAAATTATTGGAGAAATTGAGGTTTTTACTAATTTACAACTTTCTTATAGCTAAAATATGATGCAATAAAAGGAAAATACTAAGTAATTTGACTAAGATTACATGTAAATTAGACAAGAACGGGTCGAGAATGGGGCGGGTTAGGGAAGGTCGGGTCGATGAGACTACCCATGCCCGCCCCGCCCCAAAACAAGTCAAACAGGTCGGGTAACACGGGTCAGGTCGAAATTGCCATCCCTAAGCTCAAGTCATAAGATTAGCCAAAAGATCGATTGTCATGTTGGTACAAGTAAAATGACATGACATTTGATCCAAGAAGACTAGTAAGCAATGAAATTCAGAGTGAAAAGTCACAATGCCCTACTTAATTGAAAATTTTCAAAAGCTTATATCAATAGATTCGAACCCTATCATAGCTTAACATTGAAAGCTCAAATTTTTTGAAAGATACTCTTCTCCATGCCAAATTTTTTGGCATGACCTTTGCTAAAAAATTCATCAATGCATCCAAGCATAAATGCAATAAAATTATCATAAGTACTATGCATTCTTATTCATAAGCATAATAGCTATCATCAATCATTCACAAACATCAATTGTGCCTAATAGAGGTCGAAAATTGTCAGAGAAAACCTTGCTTTTAATCTTGAAATTCTAAACTTTAAATCCTTAATTGATGCTTTAAATTCATGATTCAAGCCCCTAAATTCATCTAAAGATCATGAGTACTTACTTGAATTGAAAAAAGGTTTAGAAAATTGAAAAAAAACCTTGAAAATCTATGTATATATATATATACATAGATTTTTGAAATTTTTTATAAATGTTCTTTGTTTGTATGGTGATGGGTAAGTTGTATCTCAAATTTGAGGATCAAATTTTTGAGTATTTGAGGTAGATTTGGTGATTGAAAGTTGAAGAAGTTGGGAGAAAATGTTGAAAATGAAGAGAGAAGGGAGAGGTTTCGGTTTGAGGAAAGAAGGAAGGGGTGTGAAAATGAGTGGTGAGTGAGGTGATGGCCAAAAATTTGGCTTTTTATAAGCCTAGGGAAGGTGGCGGTGCTGGCCGCCGTGGATTTCCCTCGATATTATTTGTTGGTTTCCATATTTTGTTCGTTATAACACTTATCTTGTTAGTACAAAAGTTGATTTTGTACTTTTTACTTCACAAGTCTCTCCTTCTCGTCATAAATTCAAAATTTTGCTCAAAATGTATCACCTATTCAATGGAATATATATAATAATTTCCTCCAATTTGTAACTCAAATATAAAGCTAAAAACAAACTTGAAATTTCAATAATAACTAGGAAAGACAAATTCGGGTTGTCTCCTCGGTAGCACTTTTGTTTAACGTCATTAAGTTTGACGCCGGAAATGGGCTGCCTCCCATGCACTCTCTCTTTTATGCCTTTGAACTAGGCTCAGCAAAGCTCCTCTTATTTTGTGTTTTTCTTGAACCAGACCGACGCCCACAAAATCAGTGCCACCCGCGACATAAATTTGAAGAATTTCTGTCGCTCTGACTGCCATTTTTTTTAGGATCACAATACCTGGTTCCAAGACTCTAGAAACAGATGAACAACACAAAACCAAAAAAAATAAATAAATAAGAACACTAAATTATGAAAATAAAAGCACATAAAAAATGAACAAAAATAAAAGACACGTTATCTACAAGGAGGCAGAATCTGTAGCTCTAACCGTCGTTTTTGGAAAGAAAATGTTGCTCGGAGCTACAGTTTTTCTGGACTAGCTCGACTAAAGATGAAAAAATAAAACACGAACATAAAAGAAAAAGAGTATAGAACCTTACCTCGTTCCCTTTCTGAAGTTTGCAAGATGTCCCGAGCAACGACGCCAAAATATGATGTCATTGTAGCACATACCAAATTAACCTGGCCCTAAGGCCATGATCGTATTTCCCTAGGGCCTCTCGCAGAACCCTTACTTCGGAAGCAAGGTACGGTTCTATTGAAGAAGATATCGGTTTTAGGAGGTTGAAATGCCTCTAGTTTTTCAAAATGTAAGAGTTCAAAGGTAACGAGGTGCAGAAAAGTAAATCTACACTACTCGACAAGTGAGGAAGCTTAAGAGGAAGATGTTGCACATGCAAGCTCCCCCTAGAGATCCTTTGACTTTGCTACGATTTTGACTACACATAGTCGTGTTTATGGGAACCCAAAATGGATTTCTCCTCTTACTATGCTCCTAATTGCCGTTTCCCCCCTTACGATAGTGATCGTGGGTCTCAAGATTAATCAAGGCACGTGGGAGAGTTGACCTTTAGACTGCATATCTCATGTTATGTAATAAGGCCACTTCCAAACGTGTATGGTAGTCGAGGTGTAGCTATGCAGAAGTTCATACCTGTCACATCTGCCATGCATAGGCATCTCGAAACCATAAGCACGACAAGGAAAATAAGGATACAAACTTCTATGCGCAATCAAGAATCAACTCTTGATCGTTTTTAGGTCTATCCCTATCAATCCCATGGAAATTATCAGATCTAGTAGGAAGAGATGGTGACCCTACATATTTCTATTTTGAGGAGTTCGAAGCAGTTTGACCGATTGAGGATCGATCATGAGAGACTGTAATTTCCAGTCTCATCCTCCCACGAAGTCGGGTATGAGGATATAGCCTTTGAAGCTAGTCCCCATATTAAGCATACAATCGCATCAACGATAAACCAAACGAATAACAAAGAAGAAAGAGAAGAAATCTAATCATATATATCCCAATATCAAGAGTTACAAAGTCAGAGAACATCTAGGGTTCGCAAACCTATACAACTAAGGGAACTAACCAGACATGGGGAAGGGTTCCCGAGGCAATCATCGATCGAAACAACCTTTCCAGAGAATCTCTAAAAACGGCGGCCGCAAGAGAGAAATTAGGACATAGGCTACCATTTTTGCCATCATTTTTTCTTCAGCTCAGCTTCGTTCTAGGTCAGGTGTCCCTCTTTGTCGGCATAGTGACGACCGTTTAATGCCTTCTATCACTGTCTATCGAGTTTTGGACCTCATGGATATTTTTATATGACTTTGGATCAATTTTTCATGCAAGAAAAATTGGCTTTTAGCGCGTCTTCTAAGCTTCCACCAAGATTCCTCGACGTAGGCACCATGTGATACGACCCCATTCACCCCACATGATGTCACTCGATCTCAAATTGGATCTCTACATGGACCCTGGGTCAAGAGATGGTTTAAAAGGCTTAAAGAGAGCTTGGGAGCATTCAAGGTGGAAGAAAAGGGCTCTACAAGCTAGGGCTACGAATTTGTTGATGTGAAATTGATTGACATAATATATAATTCTCGTGGTCTAAAGATGAAGGTCCGAGTATGACGATACAAAGACCAAATTGAATCATTCTTGATGGATCTGGATTTACTAGAAGGAAATCCCATCAGATTGCTACGATTTATGGACCAGAATGAAGAGAATATGGGCTTGGAGGAAGGAGAAGTGAATTCGGCCTTAAAAGGAAGGAAGATGTCTCATGGTGTGAGCACAAGGTGTGAAAGGCATACAAGTGTGATTCGGGCCTAATTGTACACTTTTTATCCCCGTTTCTCTTTGATGCTTGTGGCAATTGAGCTCCAAAAGGAGTGGGTTTACGCTAGGTTTCTTGTGTTTCAATGTGTTTTAGAGTCTAACTGGTGAAACCAACCCCAGAGTCAAAAGTTGGAAGAAAAGGAGCAAAGACCGGGCAAAGAGGAGGATTCAGCCAGAATTTACGGTCCAACATTGGAGTTCACGGTCGCCAAGACCATGAACTGGAACCACAAACCGTGAACAGCAAAGCGTCGAGAGGGTTTTCTAAGGTTACTAACTAACGTCAAGGCAGTTCACGGTCGCTAAAACCGTGAACCCCAGAAGTGAAGCGGTGCGTTTTGATCCATCTCACTGAGTTCACAGACGCGTTCTAATGTTCACGGCTGTGAACTAGGGCTGTGAACTGGGCACGATCTCAGTATAAATGGAGAGCTAAAAGGAAGAAGAAGAGGATCGCAAAGTGAGAGAAACCTTCTTCTTCTTAAAACCCTAGAGAGAGAAAGTCACAAACCAAGAGGGAGACGAGGCTACGGTTTGCTCCAAGTGAAGATTTTGGGAAGTTCCTCTTTTTTGGAGGATCTCTTCAAGCACAGTAGAGTTGGAGGCATCACAATGATGGTTTCTTTATTCCTCTTTTGTGTTCTTCATTTGTCTAGCATGGAGTAGTTTCACTTTTCACTCAGGTGTTGTAGAACCCGAGCTAAGCTTCTCACCAAGAGTTTTCCACCCTTTTACTTTTCAAAGTCTTGCTTTTAAATCGTAGATTGTAGAGATTTCAACAAACAAAAATCCACTAGATAATGTTTCAAACAATCAAAGTAGGGGTACTTGGGTCAACCCGGGTTGATATTTAAACATACTTGCCCTATATTGCACCCATCTAAGGTTTATACTTGGGCCTTAGGTGGGATTTTATTGTGATAGTTGGAGCGAGTCAAGTTTTTGGTGCCGTTGCCGGGGAACTTCGGTCCGTTATCTTGAAAAAATTGTTTGTTGTTAATCTAGCTTTTATTTTCAGTTTTGCTAAGTGTGCTTGTGCTAGACGTGTTGTGTTCTTTAAGTGTGTGTAGGGAGGTGCATGACCCGGAGCAATTCGACGCCTTTAATACCACTGGACGAGGACATCAACCTGACTCTCCGACTTTTAGCTCGAGAGAGGGAGCTAGCGGAGGTAAGAAGGAGAATTGAAGAGAGGGGACAACAAGTTGGTCTCGGATTTGAAGGAATTGAAAGAGAAGTTGAAGTTGAGATAACGGGGAATCAACATCGAGGTGATAATCCGCTTCAAAACGAAAATGAGTAAGCGGGAGCCGAGGAAGAGCCAAGGACTATGGGCTATTACATGGCTCTAAGGGCGACGGATATCCAATCTCGCATCTTACATCCACCCGTGGCCGCCAACAACTTTGAAATCAAGCCCGCTCTTATTACGATGATTCAAAACAACGCCTTATTCCATGGGCTTGCCAATGAATCGCCACGAGAGCATGTCCAAAGGCTTCTTGAGCTTGCGGGAAGCTTGAAGATAAATGGCGTCCCTGAGGTGGCATTGCAACTGAGGCTATTCTCCTATTATTTGGCGGGGAAGGCTCTCTGATGGCTCAACAACCGTCCGGCTTGATCCATCACCTCTTGGGACGATTTACTCAACAAGTTCATGACCCGATATTGTCCTCCTTCCAAGAAGGCCGAGTGGAGGAAGAAGATCGCTCACTTTGAGCAAGAGGAAGATGAGACTTTGAAGGATGCATGGGAAATATTCTCCGACTACTTCCTTCAATGCCCTCACCATGGATTCGAGGAGAAATTTCGGATAGAGACTTTCTATGGAGGTCTCATTCAAGATGATAAGATTCTCATCGACTCTCTTTTCCAAGGGAAGTTGATGAACATAACCCCACCTCAAGTGATCGAGTTGCTCGTAGATATGGCTCTTAAGGGATATGATTGGGGCTTGAAAAGAAGTGGTAAGAGAAGCATCGTAAGAGGAGTGTGAAGTGTGGGAGAAAGTGCTCCACTTGAGGAAAAGCTTGACAAGTTGATCGAGGTGATCCTCAAGGACAAGAAGCAAGGGAAGAGAGTGGTGATGTCTAGTGATTGGTGTTCAAGCACTAATCATGAAATTGCGGATTGCTAAGCAATGAAGGAGACAAGTACCCCCGAGGAGCAAGTGCGTTTCATTGCTAATGCTAGAGGGAACAACCCTAATAGCAACACCTACAACCCCGGGTGGCGCAATCATCCAAACTTCGTTTGGTCTTCCCCTACCAATCCAATACCTCCTGGTTTCCAAGGTCCAACGGGAAACTATCAACCTCGGCCAACTTTCATCCAATAAAGGCCTCAATTCCAAAACTCGAACTTCCAACAACCATACCAAGCACAAGGTGGTCAAGGGTTTCAACAGCAACAACAAGTCGACAAGTTCTCTAAAATTGAAGACCTTGTGACCACCTTTGTGAGTACAAGCTCTCAGAAGTTTGAGAAGATTGAGCAATTCATGGATGTGGCAACCTCCAAGTTTACCTCAGTTGAGGCGAGACTCTGAAGTCATCAAGCAAGTCTATAGAACTTGGAAGTGCAAATTGGCAGTCTTGCCCAGATCCTCACCGAGAGACCGAAGGGAGCCCTACCTTCTCAAACCATTACAAACCCCAAGGATCATGCCGGGGAGAATGCAATTCATTTGAGAAGTGGGAAGGTGATTCCGGAGGTAGTTGCCAAAGAATTAAATGAGAAAGAAGACCCTCTACCCGAGGTGGAGAAGAAGAAACCTCGGGAAAAAAGAGAGGAGTGGCGAGGAAGGCATCCCCAACGCCACCACCTGTGGCTAAGTACACGCCACCCTTACCTTTTCCCACGAGGGTGCACAAGAAAAGATTCAAAGCGGAATGTGGAGGTTTCATGGAGATGCTCCGAAAGCTCCACCTGAACATTCCCTTCCTTGAAGCAATGACCCACATGCCAAAAAGGCATATTCCCCATGTCCTAGAACCTAGCCAGTCATTTGAACCCGAGCCTAAGACCTTCGGACAAACTAGTGATGATAGTTGTCTTATGAACTCTAGCATTTAGAGGTTACCGTCATGGTGAATGGAGGATAGGGCTGACTTTTGAGTGCACATATTTTGCATGAAAAGTCTTGCCCCCACTGGTCGAGAGTGAGTTATTCATTTATCTTTTCATGTTCATATCATACATTCTGGTGAGGACCTAGTTTGCTCGATCGTTTGTTCCTAGGACTTTATCTTTATGCATGGATAACTGTGATTGGTGAGTCGTCATGGAAGGTTATGTGTTGGTTTGTGAACAAGGTGAGCACTCTTCGTTTGCACGTTCTTAATGTATTCGAGTATCATTTGTGGTGGTTTTCAGGATTGCTTGTTGTTGTTCATATGTCGGTGCCAAATAGGCATTGAGATCCATCCCCTTTGTGCCCTTTGATATGTCCCCGAGTTATTGTGTTTAAGTTGAGATATTACCTTGTGTGTGATTGGTTTGCTTAGGGACAAAAAAACGTCCAAGTGTGGGGGAGTTTGAATCGGGCATAGTTACTCATGTTTTTACCCCATTATCTTGTGATGTTTGTGGCATTTACATCGCCCGAGGAGCAATTTTACGCTAGGGTTGTGCGTGTTTTAGCATGTTTCAGATCTAAGCAGGTGGAATTGACCTCGGGAGCGAAAGTTAAACGAAAGAGGGCAAAAATGGAGGGAAATGGACAAACAGGCAGTGATCATGCCTAAGGTTCAATTATCACGGTCAGCCGACCGTGAAGATGGAGCCCATACCGTGAAGATGAACAACTTCCAGAAGGCTTTGCACGTCGAGCGAGCAAGTCTGATGTCACGATCACCAGACCGTGAAAATTTCCACCCAATCGTGAAGTCTATCAATGAAACGACGCATTTTGGGTCGAGATTACGGGCAGGCTTCCAACATCAGAGGCGTGACAATTAACTGGGAAAAGTGTCTGATTGGAGTATATAAAGAGAAGAGAGCTGAAACCTAGGGGAGAGTTCTAGAGTGAGATTAGGTTCTTCTTCTTTAGTTAGAGAGAGAATGTCACAAACCAAAGGAGAAAAAAGAGGGTTTTGACCACCCAAAGCTTGAAGAGTGGAGATCTCTCCTCCAGTGAGGCAATCTTAGAATGGAAGCATCTTACCATTGTTGATACCTCAATCTTTGTTGTATTCTTCTTCTTAGTCATGGAGTAGTTCTCCAATTCACTTGGGTATCGTGAACCCTAGTCTAGAATGTGTTAGATAGTAAGAATTAAACTCTATGTGTGTTGGGTTTGTGTTGAATATAATTTTTGAGGTATTATTCATGAATCTTGAGTGTTGTTCTTCATATCTCAATGTTAGTTCAAATTGACCTAGGTGGAGGAAATCCCCCTTTGGACCATATGAAGCTAGATTTCTTAGCCAATTGGGTAACCCCATCTAGGGCAATTAAGGGCAAGCCTCGAACAACATATTAGTGCCATGAATACATACGTGATTGCTTACTTTTTGCCGTTCCAAATTAGCTTTCAAGGGATTGGTCTTTGCAATCCTTAGTCGATTAGTAAAGAGAGCTAGCTTCCTAGCTTATTGTGACAACCTTGATAAATCGATTAAGAGAGTTGGGTTCTCCTACTGATAGCATCCTCCTCACGGTATATAATCACACTCACCACACTAGAGTTACATTCGGTTGACCTTGACATGAGACTAGTGGGAGCAATACCCGGGTGAAGCTTTCTCACATCGAATTCACCATAACTTATTTTCTTTGCTTGCTTTTATTTCTAGTTCTTTAGATTTAACTCCAAACTGTTTACTAGATAACATTTTAAACGATTGACGTAGGGGTACATGGACCGCCTCAGATTGACATTTAAATACTTGCCCCGGTCTACACCCGGTCGTTGGTTATACTTGGCCATCGATTGGGAATAGTGTAGTTAGTAGCGAGTTAGTCATCAACATCATTATATCTCATTCTCACTCTATGGAGTAGACACACTTCTCAATCGGGTATGAGGAAACGTAGTCTTGTTTGCTGAATTGGTGATTGTTTAACACTATAGACAGCTGAAGTCATAGTTTATATCGTATCAGCTGTCTATAGTTTATATCATATTAATGCATTATTTAGTGAACCGTTTGAATATTGATCAAGGTTTTATGATTTTTGCTAACCTTGGAGAGATAGAAATTCGAATAGGTTGATTAGAGTAACATCAATTGGAAGTAGGGAACCGATTGCATAAGAGTATTTTTGTCATCAATCAATCGGAACCCAACTCTATGAATGCTAGTCTACTTTTTCACCTATACACCTTTCTTCTAACATAGCAACAATTAAGTTTAGGGCTGTATAATGTTGAAACTAGGGGCGATATATGATTTTAAATGAGTAATCTTGATGATTAATGGTCTCTTTTGTAATAGTTTGGATCTGTCGATCGTGCAAGAGATATGATAGAGGTAAAAGAATTTACCGAGGAGAGACCTTGAATGCTCTTCCTCTTGAGACTTCAGTGCCTCCCTCTCAACTTCACTATCATAGACGTGATCGGAGTTTCTGACAAAACCATAAGCTCAAGAACCTCAACAAGTAGACCACCAAGGTTGAGGAAACAGAAGAAGAGGACCAAGGATGGTGATGCGTCGACTTTGCCATGCATAGTGGAGCACTATAACTAGTACCTCAGAGTTTGAGAACTACTAACTGGCGAGGGTGAATCTCTCAATTGGGTTATTTTCAGCCAACTGGGATCAGAAGAGACCTATTACAAGAAAACATATGTGTTGTATCGGTTCACTTAACCGACACTAAAAATTAGATTTGCGTTGGAGATTCGTGTCGGTTAAGGAATCGACACAATTTCAGCGGATTTGTGTGGATTTTACTCAAACTGGCACAATTTTTCATCAAATTTGAATTTCACAAAACTCCTATTCTATTTTGGTTCTAAACAATTTAATGAATTTCACCAAACTCGAACCTTTAGAGCAAAGATAAACAAGCCAGAGTGGATCATTCTTCTTGCTATCCATGAGAGGATCTACATGGTAATATTGATTGACTTTCTGAGCACCATGAAAGTCAATGATTTAGGGTGTAGTTGTCAGTTTTTTGAACATAGAGTTCATATTTGGAGGAACAAAAAGGCATATGTCAATTAGGGAATTTAAGAGGGTGATGAATATCTACCCTCAAGAGTTCGTGGACTTCTCTTCGTGCACGGGTCCTATATTGGGGTTGCTTAGTATTGTCAACGATCGAGCTATAAATTGTAAAGCTCAAGGTTGACACACATCACACATCCAATAACCAACTATTGAATAAAGGTTAAAAACATTTACTAGTAAGTGAGAATTTTTTTTAGTTGCAAACGTGAAACATATGGATAAATAGAGTGACTAAACATAAAATTTACCAATGATAACCAAGGTTGTCTAACCCGCAAGGGGACCATTTTCACCGAGACCCCGAGTCCTGAACGAGCGACAATAACCCAATAGGCAATCACCCTAGATTCGGTAGAACCCGATCAAATCAGACGGTTTGATCTGTTGACCGAGTCACTCTCACAGCCTCCCAACCTCAAGCCTAGAAGTTCTCTTAAAAAAAAGTATTCTAATTTCCGATGGCGGTGCTCTACGATCGCCGATATTGTTTGTACACATATGTCCGACTATTCTCGCAATCTGAAACCTAAAAATCAATAATCTTCAATCTCTAGCTCGTCAATTGACTCTCCTTCTCCCTCCTACATAGCCCTCGGAACAAGCAACCAAACTATCCTATCGCATATGTTCGGTCGATCTCCTTTCAACACTCCTTTCACGCGCCTTCTCCCTCCAGTTTTTGCCAACCGTACGTAGAAGCGGAGAGGAGAAGAGACACATATAAGAAAAAGGAGGGGAACGAGAGAAGTAAATTGGAGGAGGGAAGACTGAAGCGAGAGGAGTAGATTAAAAATAGATCTGGGTTGAGGTGGAGAAGAGAAAGGTGGAAAAAAGAGGGAGAAGAAGATGAAAGTAAGTGAAGAAAGAATTTTTGGTTGCATGTATATTTGTTTAGTATTCACAAAGCTCAAATGAGACTTTTGTAGATTGTTCAAGTGGTAGTGGGTTTTTTTTTATTATACTTAGGACAAAAAAATATAAAAATCAATAATTGTCTCAAATTTGAGTTGACCCATATTCAACCATTGATCTAGAACCAAGTTGTTGACCGGGCTTATGGGTCCATTTAGATTAACAACCTTAATGATAACAGATTAATAGCTAACATTTATTTTGCATTTTCAATGATTTAACTAATATTTACTAAAATTAAATTTTTTGGCAATGATTCCCTCCTTGTAATTGGGATGAAATCCTGAAATACACATGTTTTTAAAAAAAATATTCCAAAAATACACACGTTATAAAAAAAATTCCCAAAATACACATGTTTGGACATCACCGCTATTGTCAACCGCAGTGAATGCATTCACCGCGGCAGACCAAAGTAGTGAATACATCACTTCGGTTGACGGCTCGCGGTGAATGCCTAACGTAACACTGAAACTTCAAACAAACGTAACTTTGCGCTCGGTTATCCGATTGTAGCGAAGTTTTTTTATTCCATATAAATTTTCAAGATCTTTCAATCTACAACAAGACTTCATCTAAAAAAATGTTGTTTGTTACCCCGAACGAGCAATTTTTCGATTTTGACAAACTTTGGAAGGACATAACTTTGAGCTCCTCAATCCGAACGTCGTAAAGTTTTTTTTTTATTGCGCATAACTTTTTAACAACTAAAACTTTTACTAGGAAAGAATTTTTTAAAAACGAAATATTTTTGGGTATACGGGATTTTGGGAATAACTTTTCCTTTACTTTTCAAATATCCACATACTTTCCAAAATTATGGTTATAATCAAAGTTTGGGTGCGCCTACGGTGACATGCACTTTTCGGTCGACCTCAGTTAAGATTAGGTCGACCTCATGTAGGATTAGGTCGACCTCATTTAGGATTAGGTCGACCTCATATAAGATTAGTTCGGCCTCATTTAGGATTAGGTCGACCTAATCGGTTGTTTCAGTGTAAAAACAGTTTCAAGGTGCCTACTTTGGAGATTCATATCTTACAATTGGCTCGATGACAATTGGAGATTAATGGCTTGTTTTGAAGCTGGAGTGTCCCTCTACACATTGAAGTGTTTGGGAGCTCGATAGGAAGTCCAGAAGACCATTTTTGAACTTCATCAAAAGGTTATGCCAAAACTGGAAAACTGGCTGAAAATGGCCAAGTGTGGGAACGTGTTTGTAAGCCTACTTTGGAGCTCAATTCGAGAAGTATGGATGCGAGTCGAGTCCAGGGGCCTCTACCACGTTAAATTAGGTATGTTTTTATACAAAGTCAAGTCATTGGATGAAAGATTCGATATCTGTAAGGCTTCAAACAAAAGGGTCGAAGTTGCTACGAAGGATGTTTTTCTGGCAGCTTGCTTATGTTCGAAGTCTGCCAGAAAAAGTCTTCGTAGCAACTTCGACCCTTTTGTTCGAAGTCTTATAGATATCCAATCTTTCATCCAATGCCTTGAATTTGTATAAAAACATACCTAATTTAACATGGTAGAGGCCACTGGACTCGATTCACATCCATGCTTCTCAAATTGAGTTCCGAAGTAGGCTTCACAAACACGTTCCCAGACTTAGCCATTTGCAGGCAGTTTCCAAGTTTTGGCATAGTCTTTTGATCATGTTCAAAAAGGGTGTTCTGAACTTCTTATTGAGCTCCCAAGTACTTTAATGTGTAGAGGGACACTTCAGCTTCAAAACAAGCCATTGATCTCCAATTTCCATCTAGCCAATTGTAAGATATGAATATCCAAAGTAGGCACCATGAAACTGTTTTTACACTGAAATAACAGATTAGGTCGACCTAATCCTATATGAGGTCGAACGGAAAGTGCATGTCACCGTAGCAAAATCATAAAAAGTTTCATGACAGTGGGATTGTGTAGCACAAAGTTATGGAATTCCAAAGTTTGTGAAAATCGAAAAATTGCTCGTTCGGGGTAGCACATGAATTTTTTGGGATGGAGGCTTTTTAAAAATTGAAAGATCTTGAAATGTTACGTGGAATCAAAAAAAAATTCGCTACAATCGGATAACTGAGCACAAAATTACGTTTGTTTGAAGTTTTAGTGTTACGTAAGGTATTCACCGCGACCGTCAACCGCGGTGATGCATTCACCGCTTTGGTCTGCCGTGGTGAATGCATTCACTGCGGTTGACAACAGCGGTGATGCCTAAACATGTGTATTTTAGGAATTTTTTTTATAACGTGTGTATTTTGATAATTTTTTTTAGAAAAATGTGTAGTTTGGAATTTTTTCCATTGTAATTGCCTCCCGCCAGCTGCAGTCCAACCAGAAGCAACTCCGCCAGCCCGCCACTGCCCGACGGACGACTCAGTCACAGGCTCACAGCCCACAGGTGGGTTGTGTTGTGAGATTCTTATGGCAAACTTGCGCTGTTAATTTAGCAAGTGGGGCAACACCGCGTTGCTAATTTCAGTCATCCCTCCTGTCCTGCCTGTTTGTTAAGGCCCGAAAGTGGAGCCCACAGCCGCCTGACAATTTCGCCGGAAGTAGCATCCACGCTCCAGAACCGCGTGTGAGCCACTCTTTCACTCCATCGTTTTCCCAAACTCAACAAACCCCCCCCCAAAACATTAAAATAGTAAAGTCAGTCCAAAAATACTTATATATGTCTTTTTTTAATATAATCTCCTCCATCCTGCAGTCCAAAATACATATTATCAAAACTCAAAAGTGAATAATCGGTATTTCCACAAATAAATAAATAAATAAATAATCAGTCTATTATGATAAATAAATAAAAATTAACTAATCAAGTAATTAGCTTCAGCTCCGCAATTCATAAAATCAAAATGAGTCCACGCCAACCCCAACACAACCCAGACAAACACTCTCTGCCATTCCCTGCGTTCTTCTTCGTCGTCGCCACTGCAAGTCCGCTCTCTCTCTTTCCTTTCCCCTCAACCCTACCTTTCAGCCTTCTTTCCCAGTGCCGCCCGCCATGAAAGCTCCCGAGACCGACCCGGTGGTCGATGGCCCAACCCGGATTCTAGCCTCGGTTCTGGAACAAATCCCGGGCGTGGTCGCCTTCAAGGGCAAATGGGCTGTCATCAAATCCAAACTCGGCGACCTCCACACCCTGCTCCTCGATTCCAGCGACTTCCCGGCTTCCACTTCCAACCTTCTCTTCCTCGACCTCCTCCGCTCAATCTCCCACACCCTCGACGACGCCGCCTTGCTCGCCGCCAAATGCCAGTCCTCCAATTTCCTATCCGAAGGCAAGCTCAAGACCCAGAGCGACCTCGACTCCGTCCTCGCCAGGCTGGACCGCCACGTCAGCGACGGCGAGCTTCTCATCCGCAGCGGCGTCCTCCACGACGTCTTTTCCGGCTCCTCCTCCAAGCGCGACGCGGTTCGAGCCGAGTCCAGGAACTTGTTGACCCGGCTCCAGATCGGGGGTGCTGAGTCCAGGAACTCGGCGATTGACTCGCTCCTCCGTCTCCTCGGGGAGGACGACAAGAACGTCATGATAGCCGTCGCTCAGGGAATAGTCCCCGTGCTCGTCCGATTGCTCGATTCCAACTCATGGGAGATGAAGGAGAAGACTGTGGCCGCCATTTCTAGAGTCTCGATGGTTGAAAGCAGCAAGCACGCGTTAATCGCTGAAGGCTTGCCGCTGCTCAACCACTTGATTCGGATCCTGGAATCGGGTACGGGTTTCGCCAAGGAAAAAGCCTGCATCGCGCTCCAATCCCTAACCCTTCCCATGGAAAACGCTAGAGCAATCGGGTCCAGAGGTGGGATTTCTTCCCTGTTGGATATTTGTCAGGCGGGAACTCCAGCTTCTCAAGCTTTCGCAGCTGGGGTGTTGAGGAATCTGGCGGCGGTGGAGGAAACCAGAGAGAATTTCATGGAGGAAAATGCTGTGTACGTTCTCATGGGTCTGGCGGCATCAGGGACTCCATCAGCGCAGGAAAATGCATTTGGGTGTTTATCCAGTTTAGTGAAAGAAGATGATGAATTGAAGGTCTTGATTGTTAAGGAAGGAGGGATGGAGTGTTTATCCAATTTCTGGGAGTCGTGTCCTCCAGTGAGATGCCTGGAAGCTGCGCTTCAACTAATCAGCCATTTGGCTTCAAACGAGGCAATAGCTGAAGTGCTGGTTTCACATGGGTTCGTCTCTAAAGGGACATCGGTGTTGAATTGTGAGGTTTTAGGGGTGAGGGTAGCGGCAGCGAAAGCTGTTTACCAGCTCGGGTACAGTTCTAGAAGCAGGAAGGAAATGGGGGGAAGTGGAGAAGGGTGTGTGAGCTTGCTGATCAGGATGTTAGATGGTAAAGGAGTGGAAGAGAAGGAAGCAGCAGCCATGGCATTGTCCCGCCTGGTTCTGTGTCCAGGGAACAGGAGGGTTTTCAGAAAAGACGAGAGAGGGCTGGTTACTGCTGTTCAGTTGCTGGATCCAAATGTGGAGAATTTGGATAAGAGGTATCCAATCGCAATACTGTCATCGCTTGTTCATTCCAGCAAGTGTGCGAAGCAGATGGTTGCAGCTGGTGCTTGTCTGCACTTGAGATCGCTGGTCGACATGGAAGTGGAAGGTGCTAAGAAGCTGTTGGAAGGTCTTGGCAAGGGCAAGATTTGGGGTGTCTTTGCCAGACCCTAATAGCAACAACAATAACAGAAAAGCCTGTGAGTGAATTCATCCCAGTCCCACCATGCTTGCAAGCTCTGTAATGTACATGATCTCTCTCCTTTGGTTTGCTGGGTATTTGGTTTTGAAGCATCTTTCTTCTTTTGTTCATATGGGGTTGAGTTGTCTTAATTTAGGGATCCACATCACAGGCTGTTACTTAGCACCGAAAGCTCCTGTTTGTAGACACGTAATCTTTTGGTGGTTCAACTAACTAAGATTCGGGGTTCCAGTGTTATTTAATGCGAAGACCCAGAAGAGCAGCTCAATAATGCACACTAATGTGATTGTACACCATACTTATTGCTTTTCTTCCTTTTCATTTTTGAGCTTTTGACTTGTAATTTGTATATGCTTCCCAAGCTGAAGTGTGAATGATTGAAGACTTGTCAACTGCTGCTTTGTTAAAATGTTTCAATTTTGAGTATGAAATTGCAGGAGGCGGTTCACTTTCGCAACCTTTATCTACCACCACTTTCCCTAAGAATAATATAACTTTTCGGGATGAAATTTGCTTTGGAAAATGGATTTTCAGCCTTGATTATCATCCTGATGAGCATCTGCCCAACCTAGTATTTGTCCAAGTCCAAAATTTTATTAAATTAAAAGTATACCGGTACCCCAATTTACCCTCAATGATGAAACCGATTTCCAACCGAATAATACTTCGGTTCGGTCTGGCCAAACCAAAATATAAGTTGGTTCGGATCGAAAATCTCAACTAAACCGAGCTTTAATTCCCCCCGCCTTTCTCCACAACTTCCTTCTTCATTAATATCCAATCAATTGATAACCTTGAAGAGAGTTGGCGTTTTTACCAAAAAAAAAAAAGAAAAAAAGAAGAGAGTTGGCGACTGCGAGAGATGAGGAGAGAGTTGGTGATGCTGCGACAAGAGGAGGATCGACGGCTGTAATTGGTTGCTCGGTCGGGGACGGCGAGAAATGAGAAGAGAGTTGGCGGACGGCAGGAGACAAGTTGAGGATCGGCGATGCGGCGACGGGGGATGGCGATTGATTCAGCTTTGTGACTTTCGGGCTATGGCGGTTGGTGACTTCAATTGGTTGCAGAGTCGGCGACGGTGAGAGATGAGAGTTGGCAACGACAGGAGATAAGAGCAGGGACGGGGATGCAGCGATGAAATTCGAAACCTCGGTTCGGTTGAAAGAATTATGGTTTCAAAATTAGGACATTTTTTTTGAATTTCGAATCGATTAACATTATTTTGGTTTTGGTTCAAATTTAGTTCAGTCCGGCTCAGATTGCTTTTACCGAACTGGTTGCTCACCCCGATTATCATGATAATATTTTTTTATGGTATATTAAAATTTCATGAAGTTCGAGATGAGTAAAGTAAGGAACTTTTGCGCCCCTAAAACACAATGTTACAATTATCAAAGGTAGCTATTACAAAACTTCATGTAAGTAAAACTGAGACCCTATATACTGAAAATAACTAACAACCTATCTATCATCCCAAATTCAACTTGTCCAGACTTGATCACCTTGAACTTGGCTTAGCACAATTATCTTCAATTCATAACTCATATGCTCTGGAGCCTCGGCAACCGCCTTACCATACTTTTGGGAACATCTTTCCCTCCATACCAGGCATATAGCCACACACCAGACTATCATGTTTACCAATTCAGCATAAGACCGATAGAACAACGAATTCTAACTTCCCAAATCTGGCGGTCGATGATTCTGCTAATTTACTTGCAACATATACTGGATACAAGAGCAACAAGTGATCCACGACTCTCAATTCCACCTGGGTATAACAAACATAATCCAATTACATGCTTACCCCAAAGGAGCATCTTATTCTATAACTTTACACGATGGTTGATGACCAGCAAAAGAATAAACCCATGTCGAGGGATAATGTCTCTACCACAAACCAAAGGATACCACTCTACTTCTGCATCATGCGGTCTTAGGTATTAACATACTCTTTTAACCGAGTATCTCTCCATTTCTTTCCCATCCCACTTTAGTGATGAACCCTCCCCCCGCGTAATGAAGGGTCAATAATCATATCTACATTTCAAGATTCTCTTCAAAATCCACGATCCTGTTGCTGCATGCTTAGTATCCCAAATAGAGTTAAGATTTAGTCTATCCATAAGCACCTAGGCCACCCAACGGGAACATCTAGCCGCTACGACTTCCTAGAGATGTGGAGCAACGCAAGCCTTATTCCATATTACAAATTTACGAATACCTAACCCACCTTATTTTTTATGGTGTGCTACAAAGCTAGGAAGTCACAGCTCTAGTTCTTGTACTCGAATAATCTATGTCCTAGATAAACCTGTTACAAAACATCTTTACTTCCTTGATAACATACTGAGGCAGTAAGAAGAGGTTCATACAATATTGTAATACACTAGTAAGTAAATAAGAAACCAATTGTAACTTGCCTGCAAAACTCAGGCAGTTTCCTCTCCAACTTTGAATTCTTTGTGTTATCTTATCTTCCAACACTCGAAAATCCATCATGGCAAGCTTACCAGTAATCATTACCTAGGTACCTAACAAGGAGGCGACCCGATGGGAAACCATAATTCACTAATATAGAGTTATTTCCTCATTTGTGATTCCCCACAAAATAACTGGCATTTTGCAGGGTTACACTTTAGACCTAAGAGCTTATAAAAAGAATCTAATTGCCTATAAATCCTAGCCACTCCATGCATAGATCCATTAGGAAAAAAAAAAAAACAAGCAGATCATTGGTGAAAGTTAGGTGAGTAATAGCAAATATCTTGCACCTAAGATGATATGAGATCTGACACTCATACATTACTTTTTTCATCAAAGCATCCAAACCTTCATAACAATAGTGAAAAGATAACAAAACAAGAAATCTCTTTGTCTTAAGCTTCTCTTCATCTCAAAGTAACCACACATCCCACCATTTGTACCTACCGCTAGTCATGGGAGTGCTTATGCATGGTCCCAACCAATCAAAAAATATATCAAGGTACACCATGACTTGAAATACGGAGAACAAGAACTCCCAATAAACAGAATCAAAAGCTTTCATGATATCTATCTTCACATACAATAAGGACTGACAAAGTTTTTATGACAACGCCAACTAGTTGTGAAACTAGAAAGATGTTATTACTAATTTAAGGACCTCTAATAAAGGTTGACCGAGGCACAGAGACAAGTTTAGGGAGCACAATTAGTAACCTGCAAGAATTTTTTTATATACCTTTATATAAAGTGTTGCATCAGGAAATGGGATGGAAGTCCCTCATATTTTCAGCACTTGGTACTTACGTTATCTGCTTAGAAACAGTAAGGAAGCTCAGATTGATCACAACGTAGCACCTACAACCTTACTCATTGCATTGGTTGAATGACTACGGTGCGATTAAGGTAACCAAGCTAGCCTTGGTTAAATTAGAGATGAGGGAGTACAAAGATGAGATTCTTTATGATGTTGCACCAATGCAGGCATCTCACCCTTTGCTGGGTGGTCCATGGAAGTTTGATCGAGGCATAGTTCATGAATGGTGGAGCAATTACTACAAGATCAAACATGAAGGTTGGAAGATTATTCTCAAACCATTGTTGCCAGCTAAAGTCCGAGAAGATCAATAACAGATGGAGCTTAATTGGGTAAGGGAGAAAGGAAATGCAAGTGGCTCGAAGTCGGAGGACGGAAGTTGAACCCATCTTATGGCTCGAAGACACATATTGACCGATGAGAAGAATTCAGGCGGGAAGTTCTGGTGATGGTCTCTCTTGCATGAACACACAAGCTTTGCGGGCAAAACATCTTCAACAAGGAGGGACTGATGCGATTCTTCGATCGATCCAGAATCAGAAGGCAGCGATTGGGGTTGGCGGGCGGAAGACCCCAAGCCAAAAGAGATAAATCCTTGACCGGGAATAGGAGCAGGGGACCCCTCGGTCAGGAGGATTACATTCCCCGATCGGGGATCTGGCGCTGACGGGTTCAAATTACTTTTTGCGTTCAAATTTTTTTTCCTTTTCGAGTTTTTGATTTGTTTTTATTTCTTTGGTCTATTTAAAGGCTTAGACTCGAGTTTTAGAGAAGACTTTGAAGATTAATGATTTTATTCTTATTCATTGAGTTTTTGTTAGCTTGTGAATTGTGCTTTTGTATCAATAAAGTATTCCTCTTAATTGTAGTTGAGCTTCTACCTTATACTGATAGAGCCTTCTTCCAGATGTGAGATTGCATTTAAATTTCGTTCCATCCTTAATTCTAATCCATGTTCTTTACTGAGCGACTTTGATAACTACGCGCACCAATTCTGTGCTCGTATCAACTTTCTCTTTAGATGCCCACTACAATATGTCATTGTCGGTGCGGGTTTTGCGAAACCCAAACCCAAATCTATGGGTTTATCCGTCAAAAAAACCCGGGGTAAAACCCATTGGGTTTGGAAAACTCAAACCCAACCCAACCCGCTGGGTATCCGCGGGTTCATGGGTACCCATGAAATTTTGTGGTAAAAAATTTACAATAACAAGTTCCTAACAAAATATAATTCAAACATCAATTTCCCCATACAAATTATCCATACATAAAACACCATTCTAGAAAATTCAAACATATCACAATTACACTAAATAAAATCACACTGAATAAGTGTAGTGAGAGTTAGATTGGAGGAAATTAGAATTAGATTATGATTTGGGGAGAGTAGGGCGATGAAATAAGTGTGGGTGGGTATCCATGGGCCGGATACCCCTAAACCCAAACCCAACCCAATCCGTTGAATAGTGTACGAATTTAAACCCAAATTCGAACCCATCAACTGGTTCGAAATCCATTGTTGGGTCACACATTGAGCCACGCGGCCCGTAAGCCCAGAAAGCACTCAAGGCCCACAAAAGAACAAGCAAGGCCCAAAAGAACGGCCCAAAGGATGCTAGTACTAAGGGACCGCCCGACACGGGACAGATGTGACGTCAAGAGACCGCCCGACACTCTGGATCCTATGTATGAAGTCTAACGAAGACGTAGGGGAATCCAGAGGCGTCTCAGAGCGCCCGGCATAATATTTAATGCACATAGCTCGGACGAAACTAGTATAAATACTCCTCATAGGATCACATTTATGGTAACTTCAACTACTCCATTCTCTCTCTTATTTACAATTCTCTCAATCCTCTCTCTAACTTAGGCATCAGAGGAGGTCCCAGGAACCCCCTGAGGACCTTTCTTGTAGGTTTCGAAGACCGTTCGCCGCCATTGGAAACCGCCTGAGCCCGTGGAGCTTCACCTAACCGCTTGGTACATTCCAAGCACAAACATTTTGGCGCCCACCGTGGGGCCCCACGACTTGGTTTCGGTGAAAAAGGGAGACGACTTCGAGACCCCTCTCAAAGGGATGACAAAAAACAACACCCTTCGAGGCCTCTCGCCGAGGGTTGAAGATGAATCGGAGCTCGAGGAGGTTGTCAAGAGTCAAGGCTTGCAGATCGCAAACATGCAAGACAGCCTCTCCCAAATTCTCCAACTTCTGAAGACAAGAGAAGACCCCACAGAAGGCTTAAAAGGGGAACTCCGCAAAGATAAACAGAAGACCGCCCTTGTCCTCGACATCCCTACTCGGACAGAAGGCGGAGGACAAGAGGTAGAGGATGTAGACCTTGGGTTTTTGGAAGAGCACTTGCGGTCAACCTATGGGAAGCGCAAGAGCCCCACTGTTCTCCAAATCCCATTGTCGCGGGAACTCTTCAAGACCCCAGTCCCGCCTAATTTCTCGTCACTAGGACTCCCCACGTATAGCGGAACCTCAGATCCCGCAGACCTCCTTTGCGCCTTCATGCTTAAGATGCAGCTCATCAACGCGTCCGACTCAGACTTATGTCGGGCATTTCCGGTCACCTTCAGCGGTCAATGTAGAACGTGGTATACCTCCCTCCAAGAAGGGATAATTGAGAATTTTGAGCAATTCGCGATGCTCTTCTCCACGAAATTCGCCTCCCAAAGGCGGCGCAAGCTCACCGTGTCCGCGCTCATCAATTGCCGACAAAAGAAGGAGGAATCGCTTGCGGAATTCTACGATCGATGGAATGCGATCGCATGTGAGATACAAGGCGGCTCCTCGGTCGTAGCCGCGGGAAACCTTAGGATTTCCACGACCAGCATCGAGCTCAAAAGGACCCTGATCAAAAAGGAAGCCGCCTTAACTTCATGGTCCGACCTGGATCAGTTGGTAAGACGCGCGATACTTCTAGAAGAGGCCTTAGTCACTGATGATCGGAATCAGCAAAGCCGCACGCGGCCCAAACCACAGGAGTGTGGTGACACAAGACGCGGAAGGCGCTCTCCCGAGCGAAGGAATTATCGCAACAGATATTCAGAGCGAGATGGAAAAAGAGAAGTGTTCTCCACTGACCGCGAAAGAGGAAGAGAAAGACGAAGGGGAGGAAGGAAATCCGAGGCTTCTTCCGCACAAGAACCACAAGATGGGAAGAAGTGGTGCGACTGGCATCAAATGACTACTCACGACACCGCAGAGTGCAGAGAGATCAAGGGAAGCCTCCGATATCTGGCTCCAGGAGATCTTCGAAGCTGCCTCAAGACGCGGCGACCGCATCGGGAACTTTCCCAAGAAATGCGAGAAGATTCCATCAGTCCTGAGGTAGATAAAGCAAGGAGGTCAAGGAAGGAGCGATCAAGAACGCCCCAAAGAAACAAGGCTGCATCGCCACAAATACAGTCTCCCGTCTACAGGCCGCCGCGCAACGATGAAGATGGGATGGAGATCATAACTATCGCGGGCGGCAGGAAGCGTCCCCGAACAGAATGAGACCGCCTAGCCCATTGCTTAAACATGCAACGCAAGGTGTCAACTGATGTCACCTTTCTTCCATCCCAGCTGGCTAAGGAAGAAAATTCAGAGAATCCATTGATCGTTTCGTTCAGGACCGCCAAGTTCAAAGTCACCCACGCCCTCGTCGATAATGGAAGCTCAGCCGACATCCTCTTCTACTCGGCCATCAAAGGAATGAAAAAGAGCGTCCAAGACCTCAACCCGTCCAACACCAGTCTGGTAGGATTTTCAGGAACCAAAGTCCGTGTCCTCGGCTCGATCACACTTAAGGTCACCATAGGAGAAGGGGGGGGGGGTCACAAAAACTAGGCCAGTAGAGTTCCATGTGGCAGACTGCCCTTCAGCATATAATGCCATACTCTGACGCGGTTTCCTTGCCTCGTTTGAAGCGGTCGCATCCACCTGTCACCAAATGCTTAAATTCCCTAGCGGGGGACAAACAGGATGCGTCCGAGGGAACCCAAAGGAGGCCAAAGAATGCTACCAAGAGACCATCGAGCACCTCGAAGTCGACCTCGTCGACACAAGGGGTGATGTCCCAAGACCTGAGGCGGTCAAAGGAGACGTAGCGGTCGCTCTAGACATGGAGCGACCCGAGAAGACGGTGCGTATTTCCGCACACCTCCCCGAAGAAGAAGCCCAGAAGTTGCTTACACTCCTTAGAGAGTTCCAAGACCTCTTCGCGTGGGGACCAGAGGACATGCCGGGTGTTCCCCGCAAGGTCTCCGAGAACCGCCTCTCGGTCAAAGCCAAGGCGCGTCCGATACAGCAACGACGAAGACATCTGTCGGTAGAGAAGCAAATGGCCCTAGAAGAGGAGGTGCGCCGCCTTCTCAAGGCCGGATTCATCAGGGAGGTGAAATAACCCACATGGCTCTCAAATCTAGTCTTCGTACGCAAGGCTGGAGGCGCTTGGAGGATGTGCATCGGCTTCACCAGCCTCAACGCGGCCTGTCCCAAGGACGCATATCCCCTTCCCCGCATCAATCAACTCATAGATGGGACCGCCAACCATGAAGCCCTCAGTTTTCTAGATATGTTCTCCGGGTACCACCAAATCAGAATGGCGGAGGGCGATCAAGAGCTCCCCGCTTTCATGACCTCTATGGGCAACTTCTGCTATGTAGTTATGCCCTTCGGACTGAAGAACGCAGGGGCAACCTATCAACGAATGGTGGATGCGGTCTTCAAAGAACAAATGGGAAGGAACGTAGAAGCGTACGTCGACGACGTGCTAGTCAAAAGCAAAAAGGCAGGTGACCATCTATCAGACCTGAGGGAAACCTTTGAAACACTAAGAAAGAGAAGCCTAAGGCTCAACCCACTCAAGTGTGTCTTCGGTGCCGAGGCGAGAAAATTCCTCGGGTTCATGATCATGAAAAGGGGGATAGAGGCCAACCCAAAGCAAATCGAGGCCATCCGCGGTCTAAAGCTGCCGAAAACTATCAAGGAGATCCAAGCGTTCAATGGAAAATGGTCGCGCTAGGGAGATTTATCCCACGGTCTGCAGACAAATGCTCTCCCTTCTTCCAAATGCTAAAGAAATCGGCATCAAAGCTCCAGTGGGGTGCCGAATGTGATAGAGCCTTCCAGTTGCTGACAGACCAACTCAGCAAACCACCAATCTTGAGCGCCCCCATCAGCGGAGAGCGGCTCTACCTGTATCTGGCGGTCTCCGAGCAAGTCGTTAGTTCTATCCTGGTGCGGAGAGCCCAAGACGGCTCCGACCGACCTGTTTAATACGCCAGCAAGGCGCTTCTTCCCGCTGAAACAAGGTACATGCCTGTTGAGAAAGCGGTTCTCGCCGTGGCCTCTGCGGCCAGAAAATTAAGACTGTACTTCCAAGAACACCCCATCACGGTGCTGTCACACCTCCCTCTCAAAAGTATCATGAGAGGCATGGACGCCTCGGGCCGGCTAACCAAGTGGGCAATTGAACTAAGTGAATACGACATCGAGTATGACCCAAGGCCAGCCATTAAGGGGCAAGTCCTGGCGGACTTCATCGCAAAGGGATTCTCTCTTGAGGCCGCACCCTCATAGGAGCGCAATCAAATATGGCGCCTATCCATAGACGGCGCGGCCGGAAAAACCGCCTCAGGGGCAAGGATCGTCATCGAGTCACCCGAGGGGGTAGTACATGAAATCTCTTTGAGGTTCAGAGAGATCAAGACCAACAATGTCGCTGAATACGAGGCACTGATCAATGGGCTCCGAATACTGTCCACCCTAGGGGCAACCGACGTGCATATATTGTCCGACTCTCTCCTGGTCGTCAAGCAGGTGCTCGAGGCGTTCGAAATCAAAGATGAGACGCTAGCGATATTGGCCACTAAGGTGCGAGACTCCTTGTCCCAACTGACTTTGTGGAAACTCGATCATGTCCGAAGAGAAGATAACCAACATGCAGACGAGCTTTCTAAGCTTGCAACCGCCATGGACTTCGAGGGGGACCGACACTTCGTCGTTACCAAAGAAAATGAATCCCAGGAGGAAGCCATGAGCATTGGAGCGGTCGCCGACTGGATGACCCCCTTAATCCAGTACCTGGCGCATGACGTCACGCCACAACACTCGGTCGAACGAAAAGCGCTTAAGCGAAGGGTGGCCCGGTATTCGATTGTGGACGGCCAGCTGTTCAAAAGGTCATTCTCAGGAGCCTACTTGAAGTGCCTCGGAGCGGAGGAGGCCAGATGGACATTGAAAGCGATACACCAGGGAACGTATGCCACACACGCCGGCCCCAGATCGCTCGAAAGAACAGTCCTCTTACAAGGCTACTTCTGGCCTACCATAAAAAAAGACGCATCAGACGTCGTCCTCAAATGTCACGCGTGCCAAGTCCACGCTTCCAAGCACCACCAGCCAAGTTCTGAGCTACAAAGCGTGGTGGGACCATGGCCGTTTGCCAGATGGGGTCTCGATCTCTTGGGACCCTTTCCCACGGCGCCCCTGGGGAAAAATACTTGGTGGTCGCAGTCGACTACTTCACCAAGTGGATCGAGGCCGAGCTGCTAGAAACTATCACTAGTGCGAGGGTGCAGAAGTTCGTGTTTAACAATATCATGATCCATTTTGGTATCCCGCATTCGATCATCACAGATCATGGGACGCAGTTCGACTGTCGACCGTTTGAGAACTTTTGCGCTCGAAACCACATCATATGCACCATGTCCTCCATAGCATATCCACAAACCAATGGCCAAGCAGAAGCTTCCAACAAACTGATCCTCCAGGACTTGAAGAGGCGCCTTCGAGAAGCCAAGGGGGCATGGACCACTGAGCTTCCACACATCCTATGGGCACATCGCACCACTCACAAGACAGCCACGGGTGAACCCCATTCGCCTTGACCTATGGCTCCAAGGCGGTTGCCCCAGAGGAGATGAGCTTACCCTCCCTTCGCGTTCAACTTCAAGCATACAGTCAGGAGCGCAATCACGAGGAGCTGCTAGCACAACTAGACATGATAGAATCAAGGCGTGATGCGGCCATGGAACGCATCATGCGGGAAAATGCCAAGGTCGATGCCTCTTCCAACAAGAACGTGAAACCGCGACCTCTCGTGGAAGGCGACATGGTTCTTAAGCGCGATTTTCAAAGAAAGGATGAACACGGCAATTTGGCCGCCACATGGGAGGGACCATTCCTCATTGGAGAAAAGACGGGTCCCAACACTTTTCGCCTTGCCACCATGGAAGGCGCTCCCGTATCCAAGACATGCACTACAAGCGAATAGGCCAAGCCCAGCGATTCTCTTGCAAGGGTTAGAATAACCGCTGTGGGGATTTATATCCCTTCTCCTTTGGCAGCGGACGGTCCAGCGGATCTTTTAACCGCTGATGGGCCCAAACGTGTAGCATGTTCAGCTATTGATCCAACGGAACAAGACAACCTAGTTTTTTGTTTGTAAAAAAGAAAAAGAACAATCCAATTTTGAATTTTTACGGAAACTCATTTTTTAACAAAATTGTTTTATCTCATTTCTTACTATCGTGAAAAAGCTGTGCACTTAACAAAAAAAAAAAAAGCTGTGCACCAAAAAAAATCGAGAAAGAGCTCTCGGCTCATCTCGCCATCCTCTCCGATCTCCAAGCCGTCGATTCTCCTGTTTTCTCCTCTCGTCGACTCTCCGATCCTCCTCCTCCTCACTATCGAGAAAGAGCTCTCAGCTCATCTCGCCATAAGCTTATCTCCGATTTTCGATCCGGTGATTCTCCTCCTCCTCCGAAGCCGTTTTCTTCTCTCGCCAGCTCTCCGATCAGCGATTCTCCTCATCCGAAGCAGTTTCTCCTCTCGCTAGCTCTTCGATCCTCCTCCTCTTACTGATCATCGATTGCTACTGCATCCCATCGATTTATTCTGGTACTCTCTAAACCTAATTTGTGTTTCTGGATTTATTCTGATCTCGAGCGTAATATAGTTCTTAAATCTGATTTGTGCTTTTGGATAGCTCTAAACGTAGTATCCGAATCAGCCGATATCCGAATCAGCCGAGTCAAGTGAATTTGCGACGAGAAGTTTTCTTCACAAATCTTTGCAATACATCCCGATATCAAGAAAAGCCAGCCATCTGAGATTTCGTCAACTTGTGTGAGTTCATCCCTCTTCCCCTTTCGTTAATTTTCTGCTCTCATTAGTGTTAGATAAGTTCAACTGCTTCTGTACACAATAGGAGTTGATATAGTTGGTTTTGTGGGGTGTATATTTCTAGCTAGCAAGGAAGAGAAGATAAAGGGTAGTTGTTCTTGTGTAAGCTTCTTACCTGACTTGTAAACTCACGTTTATGGGATATTTATCTGTACATGAATACTTGCATAATAGGTTATCCATGTACGTAGTTGCAGGTGGTATGAATGGTTCTATTATATATGCACTGTAGAGATATGAACATGTCGGTTTAAACAAGCCCATGAAGGCATGATCTCTCTGGATAACATGCTTGTCTCTTTCTAAACTCTATTAGGTTCTAAATGTGTCCAAATCCAATAAGATAACCCTATATCGGTGCTCTTGTTTAGGTTCTCGCAAAGGCAAATTGCTTGGTGAATGTGAAACAGCTAGGTTCATATCGAATACCAAGCTAAGAACAAAGGCTCTCATAATATGGGAAGTTCCCTGCTAGTGTGAGTGTGAGTGTTTCTATGTCAGTATTCTGGTGTTGAAGTAGTTTTGATATGTGGAGTTTCCAAA